AAATCTGTATAAAACACACAACGCTATTATATCAAAATAATAATATTAATAATAATAATGATGCTGAAATAATAATTATCAATAATAATAATAATAATAGTATAAAAACAACCGTAGGTATTAATCGAAATAATTATTATTAAATGCATTTTACGATGGCAAAAATTAAAAAATACAATATTCAATTGTCAACAGAAATTAATTTTAATAACAATGTCAACATTTTAAAATAGTTTTTTTTTATTAACAAAATATTTGATATTTTTTTATATTAAAAATCTGGGCTATTGCAGCAAACAGTAATGCAGTCTCTATATGTTATGATCAACTTAAATAAAATTTTAATCAGTTCAATCACAAATTCAGTAGCGAGTTCGTCGTTGCGCCGTTAGATGGCGTTAACATAAAAAAATAACGTTAAACGTTGAGCTTCTTATAAAAAAAATCATTACATACAGAGACAGTTTCAAATACAATAATTACATGCACAAAATAAAAATGTGATATTATAATATTCGTGTAAATTCTAATTAGTATTTTTGTTGTTCCAATTTTTCAACGAGGTTATTGCGTTTAATTTATTTTATGAACACACAAACAAACATATTATGCAGGCATTAAGTTACCTCTAATACAAAGAATTCTAATACATTTACCAGAACGTTCAAATTAAATATTTTAATTAGTAACTAGTGTATTTCTTTAATGACACGAGTTATATCCACAGAACACTGAAAGGGGGTTAGAAGTGTGAACATAGATCATATTATAATAGTTTGTATGGGAACCGATGTCGCCCCCACTACGCTTCCATGTTATAGATCAGTGATTCCCAAAGTGGTCTATATTGACCCCTAGGGGTCTATGACGACCTGCAAGGGGTCTACGTCAGCAAAAAAAAAATTTGGGGGTTCATGAAATGAAAATGGGGGTCCACAATAATGGATCTCAACATACACTGATAGCACTTATTTACTTACATTATGCTATCTTCTATTAAAAAGACATATACATTATTTATAAAAGTACCTATGAAATAATAAAAAATATCTCTTATCTATTAGACAAGTCCGTCCGTCCGTGGTGCTGTTTCAGCGGCCAAACCGTAAGAGATAGATAAAGAGAATATTTAAGTTATAAGTTAAGAATAGTCTGATAAGACTACAAACCGGATTTGAGTAACGTAGCACTTCCGGTTTTCGAGAAATCACGAATTTCAAACTAAACCACACAAAATCTCCGAAGTTCTCAATTAATTAAATACATTTTTTTTTTATATCAGGTTTTGGTGAACATTTGGTTCACTGGTTTGCTAGTTATGTATAATATGTTTATAAAATTTTGTAATTTGTAAGATATTCGTTTTGTGGTCGCAATATATTTTGAATTTGTATAAACCTGCATATAATGATAAACCAGTATCATCTTGTTACACTAACTTCCCTCCAGGTTGAAATTTACAAAAAATCAATATCAGGTAAGTAGGGGTCTACCCAAAAGCAAAAAACATGCAAAGGGTCTACGCCATAAAAAAGTATGGGAACCTCGGTTATAGATAATAGCCAAAACCAATCATAGACGCAATCAGAACAAAGTTTTGGCCAAGTTATGAGCATTCGCTCACACAACTGTGGCGCACCTGCCTCTCCCACGAGGGCATTCTAACATCTTTCCGTGTTCTGTGAAATTATCTTACATCATCATAATAAAATAGTTTTTCTTCTTTATCGTTCGGTCTGTATGTTCATAAATATAATATAACATTATGATTGGTGGACTAGATAGCTGGTTTTGTTCAATTGTATACCCATTGGTCATTATATCGAATTACATGTAATGACTAAGTTATAATTATTAATGTTGACGCGAACGTTCTTAGTTCATGAATAGTTCGCATGGCGAATAGTTTGATAAACGAATAGCCATTGTTTGCGAATAGTTTTGTTGTCGAATAGCAATTTTCGAACCTCTGTAAGGAAGCTCGTGTTTTAGAAGAAAATAACCGCATATGTCGACATGAGACATTCTGTCCTTATCGCACATGCTATCCTTATTAACATGTGAGTGAAACAGAAAGCCTTCCTTCGGCATTTTCGATTGCTTTCTTTAGTGACTCGAGTTATAACAATATCAATGAAATAGTTTTCCTATGCATCTAACCACTTTACTCTGCCAAACTCTAAGTTTTTTCAAAACTCAATCATGTACTTAACTTCCTAGACAACTATTTTTTAAAGTTTTCTTATATTATCATACCGTTTTCCATTTTGACAATATTTTTTGGAATTTATTTATTTTTATTTTTACCGAAACAATTCTACACTTACTCTCTTGTAAGCATGAATAGTTCGGTCATCGAATAGTTTGACTATTCAATCGAAAAGCCTATCTTCTCATCGTTTCGGGATTTCCCTGTAATCTTGTATAAGGGTACCCCAGTCGTATCACAGATCGTAAATCATTTCATCTTTCAAATTCTCCAAAATTCGTTTGATGCTTAGATAAATATGTATTCAGTAAACACAGAACCATTCGCGTCAACCGCTTAAGTTTAGTTTATAAATTGATATATTCTCGCTGTTACGTTGATTTTATTTATATTATACAGGGTGTTACAAAAATACAAATAAATCTTGATCAAGGCCCTTCAAAAGTACATCATCATTTAAGGAATCTTCTCTAATTTTCTTTATTACAGCAGATTTATTACTACTCCTGGTAAAGTGCATGACCTCGAACTAGTGACGTGTCTAAAATGGTCGCTATTATTATTAATCATATAAAATAACTGTTTTTATAAAAAGTTCAAACTTGTTGCAAATATTTTAAGAAAATTAGAGAAGTCTCCTTATATGATGTACTTCAACGCCTTTCAAGCTTTATTTGTATTTTTGTAACACCCTGTATAATTTTGACATCCTTTATAATATCAAAAATCTTTGTAATTTATTTACATACATACATGTATTAGGTAAATTTGAAAGTTTTTAACAGTAGCTATATTATATTATTTCTAAAATAGATTCGCTTGCAACCTTAGGTCGAAACAGTACCTACTGAATTTCAGTTCGTTATTTCATACAAAAAAATGAGACCATCGATGAAAAATGTTACTTACATATTTTATTTATATAAAAATATTTATTTACTACGCCTCCAGAGCCAATCAACAATAAAATATATATCAAATATTGGCTATATCAAAGGTTGGTATCAAATATTGGCTATATCAAAGGTTGGTATCAAATATTGGCTATATCAAAGGCTGGTATGTAGCACATATTTTTTTATAAAAAGGCAGTTTTTTTCGATTTCCTACTGTTTCGATCTACAGGTGCAAAAATCTTATATTCAACTTATGTACGGAAAACATGTCAGCGAGAATACAACAATTTATCATGCTCCATTCCGAATATAAATAATTTTGTTTTCAATTAAATATATCACATCTCTTTCTGTTTGCAGATGCGAGTAAGGAACATCTGAACGAAAAACGGGTATGAAGTTGCTCCTTGATGCTTTCTAAGGTTCCGTGCCTCAGAAGAAAATAAGTGGTACCCTTATCATCATCATCATCAGCCTATTAATGTCCCCACTGCTGGGGCACAGGCCTTCCCTATGGATGGAATAGGGAGATTGGGCCATGACCCACCACGCGGGCCCAGTGCGGATTGGTGGGTGTTAACGACTGCAGATGCAGCCGGGACCAACGGCTTAAAGTGCCTTCCGAAGCACGATGGAACTCGAGATAGAAGATTTTTGGTCACCCATCCAATGACCGACCACTGCGAAAGTTGCTTAACTTCAACGATCGCAGCCGAACGCGCTAACCACTTGCGTCATCGAGCTCCTCATACCTCCAGGGGGGGGGGTCATATAGTCGTGGTCAAGTCATAAGAAGTTTTAATTAAATAAAATACCCCTGGGCTGGGCCTATCTGTACCCTTAGTACGAGTTTTACAATTACGAAAACTATGATAGTTTTCGTGAGCTTGCACTCTTTGATTTTATTGTTTCCGTTTCAATAGAAATAAACAGTGTTTTAATTCTATCATAAATCATTTGCATCTTCTTAAATTTTAAGTATATATTTGGTTACTTTTCACCAAAATGGACATAGAAACATAATTTACAATTACGAAAACTCGTAACAAGGGTACTGTACCCAGGGGGGGGGGGACATGACCCCCATGACCCCCCCCCCCCTAGATCCGCCCTTGCTCTTATAGGATCATTTTGTTGTCCGCCAGTCAGTCTGTATGTCAATACCCTTTATCTCGAGTTTATATCATGTAGGTACAAGGTTCTACACTAAATTCTAAGTTTACTTAATGGCGCGATTATACTTGGTCGCTAGCATGAATACGAGTGCCAATGGAATTCGGGTAAATGACTAAGTGTAAATGAACAGTTGAACAGTGTCGAGTAGTTTTTGCGTTGGTTACCCGACGCCATCTTCCAGCCCTTATTCTAGTGTAAATATTACATAGGGTATTTGACAAGTTTAAGAAAACGATCTCACGTGATTGACTAATGTTTACAGAGTCCGTAAAAAGTGGTTATTCAACATTCTGTTGTTTATTTTAGTAAAAATAACCAAATCAAAAACTCCATTTTCAATATGCCGCGAAAACGTTTCTCTGGACAATATGGCGTTTATATTGTTTTAAACTTTCATGGTCACTAACATTATAGATATTAACGGGATTGTTACCATGTACCTTGTTTTTTATGAGTCTCCGATATTTCGGCACTGTTGCAAGCGGATGATGAACAAGGTACATGGTAACAATCCCGTTAATATCTATAAAATATGGCGTTTTACTAGTGTGTGACGTCACACGACTGTACTTAGAACGTCAAACGATACAGTGTAATGTCACTTTAGCCGGAAGTTTACTTGCGTGTGACGTCATTTTAGGCTCCGCCAATCCCAAGCGTTTTGGGTCACGTGACAATAGATAGGAAAACTATTATCTTTTCCGTGGGTTTTTAGTAAAATTATGAATATTCTTTTTTTGTAAAAATTGTAAAAACCCCTGCCAATATTCATTCTAAACACAGATGCTAACATTTATGGTACTTTATTTTTAATACTGTCAAATACCCTATTTGAGTAATGTCTTTCCCGCACCCGAATACCAACGATTAAGGGCCAACGATTAAGTGTAATTGAACCATAAACAAAGGAATACAGCTGTTTATGTGGCGTAACTATAAATTTGTACGGAACCGTCGGTAGGCGAGTCGTACTTCTCTGAGATTTTTTTCTATTAAAAACAAACACCTTTAGCATTTCTAATCACGCAGATTAATGTAAGAAATAAAATGATTTAATGCTTCTATTCGTGTCATCTCTTTCCGTTCTAGTAAAGACAGAAAAGGACGTGCTATATTTAATTAAAAATTACGTAATTAATGTTCGGAATGGAGCAAGCTATGTTAGTTATCCTATCGTATGAGATAATTTAAGACTCATGCGGAGGTATTTCATGTGTTGATGAGTTGTCGCTCCCAACTGTTGGTTAAATTTCATACTGTGGCCCTGCGAAGAGAATTTAATCGATTTTACTTTTGTGACGACGACATCTACTTGCTAAACATATAACTAACATGGAGGAAATATTTGTTTCTTAGGTTTTCACGCACATCACTCATTAAATAAAACTAGTTTTTACGGGTTAATGCACGAAACTTTATTTATTTATTGACGTTTCGCAGGTCTGCATCGTCAGAATAATGATTTTTTTTTTCTTAGGTTTTCACGCACATTAAATAAAACTAGTTTTTACGGGTTAATGCACGAAACTTTATTTATTTATTGACGTTTCGCAGCCTTTTCAGATCTGCATCGTCAGATTTTTTTTTTGAGGAAATAATCACTCGCCTCCACAATAGATGGCGCTACCTGCGCTGCGATCACAATGGGTGTATTCCGTAATATATACCAGTATACTGGCCAGTGCTAATGGCGTCATGAATCGATGCTATACTGGTGAATTGTTCCGAAATATATAGGCCAGTGCACTGACATCATAAATCGACGAAATAAATAAATATTTCCGACACTCACACCAATTAGCCTAGCCCCAAAGTAAGCACTATAAGGCTTGTGTTATGGGATGCTAGGGTAACGGATAGAATACATATACTGTACATATATAAGTATATTTATATAATTACATATTAAACATCCATGACTGGAGTACAAATGCTCGTATTCATCACACAAACATCTGCCCCCACCGGGATTCGAACCCCTCGAGTCCCGAGACCTCTCGAGTCGGCGACACCATGAAACCCGGCGTACAAACCACTCGGCCACGGAGGTCGTCAACTATTAAAAATAGTGCGAATAAACAAATTTTTTTTTATTCATCTCATCAATTAAAAGGAATTCTATTTGTTCGGATGCTATTATTGTTCTTTAAATAAAAAAGAAGTTAAATTCGAATGCATCTCACGCTAGCTCGGTCATACGTCATATTCGTTTTCCCGGTAAAAATATGGTAGCATACCAGTACAATATGGCATCGGAATCGTGACGTCATTACCACTGTCCAGTATACTGATGTACATTTCGGAATACGCCCAATAGCTTGGAAGCTTACATCGCGCAAGTGAAATTCGGAGGCTAACACTTCATATATACAACGCCCGACCAACGACCGAGCTACCATCATCCAGCTCGGATGATCTTCCCCTTTGGCCTTCCTACACTTTAATCAATACCTTCGTAGATGGAGGACATGTAGAGAATTTCACACTGTCTGGATTTCGTATGTGCTTTGTTTGTGACAAGTTGATAACAAATATCAATTCAGAACATATTTGTGCTAATTATAAATAACCCTAAAAAAAAAAAGTAAATGATGACCAAAAAATACAATCGGTCATAAAGCTTAGTATAGACAGTTGCCTTCCCCCCCAATTTAGACAATAACAGCCACAATATAAACATGGGCCTTCCCCCACTTAAGACACTACCCCCCTATAGACAGTTGCCTTACCCCCACTTTAGACCTTAACCCCCCACTCTCAACACGGACCTTCCCCCACTTTAAACACTACCCCCCCTATAGACAGTTGCCTTAACCCCACTTTAGACATTAACCCCCCACTATCAACACGGGCCTTTCCCACTTTAAACACTACCCCCCTATAGACAGTTGCCTTACCCCCACTTTAGACCCTAACCTCGCCACTATCAACACGGGCCTTCCCCCACTTTAAACACTACCCCCTATAGACAGTTGCCTTACCCCCACTTTAGACCCTAACCCCCCACTATCAACACGGGCCTTCCCCCACTTTAAACACTACCCCCCTATAGACAGTTGCCTTACCCCCACTTTAGACCCTAACCCCCCCATTATTAACATGGCGCTTCCCCCACTTACACACTAGTCCCTCCATTTATCCACTAGCCCTCCCCCACTACTGCAATGGACCGTTCAGATGTAACTCAATGCAACAAGTGGGGGAGGGTCCCTCCATGTGGCCAGGGCGGATACTGGTGCCACGGTCTCTAGATACTTACACCCCCCCCCCCCCCCCCCAAGTAATCACAAGCCTCCTCACTATAAACACTAGCTCCCTTCCCTGCGACAGACACTTGCCTGTCCCCCATTTAGACACTTTCCTTACCCCCAGTTTAGACATTAACCCCCCTCCACTATAGACATGGGCCATCCCCCACTAAAGAAACTAGCCATTTCCCCCACTATAGACACTCGCCCCTTAAATACACACTAGAGTACACTCCGCCTTCAATAATCTTAATATATTCTTATTAAAATTCATTCATAAGGGTCGCAATCACAAAAACAACGTCTAAAGAACGAGGATCAAAGGCTACTTACCCCACATTATTACCTAAATTTCTATGCACTCACCTAAGACACAGAGGAACAGGGTAAGCGTGGGGAACCCATCTGCGTCAGCACTCGGTCCAGCCATTGCAATGGCCCGTTCAGATGTAATTCGATCCAACAAGAGGGGGGGACAGTTACTGTATGTGGCCAAGTTGGATACTGGTGCCACGGTCTATACACACTGACAAACCCCCTCTCCCATCCAAGTAATCACAAGCCTCCTCACTATAAACACTAGCTCCCTTCCCCACAACGGACACTTGCCTTTCCCCCATTTAGACACTTGCCCCCCTCCACTTAAGACACTCCCGCCCCCCAAATTAAGACACTTGCCTTTCTCCCATTTAGACAATTGCCCCCCTCCACTTAAGACACCCCCCCCCCCCAACTTAAGACACTTGCCTTTCCCCCATTTAGACACTTGCTCCCCTCCACTTAAGACACCCCCCCCCAACTTAAGACACTTGCCTTTCCCCCACTTAGACAATTGCCCCCCTCCACTTAAGACACATGCCTTTCCCCCATTTAGACACTTGCCCCCCTCCACTTAAGACACTCCCCCCACACCATATCCCCCACTATATCAAAGGCTACTGACCCCACATTATTATCTAAACTTCTACGCACTCACCTAAGACACAGAGGAACAGGGTAAGCGTGGGGAACCCATCTGCGTCAGCACACGGTCCAGCCATTGCAATGGCCCGTTCAGATGTAATTCAATCCAACAAGGAGTGGAGGTGACGGTTTGTCGTCTGTTGAAAACATGAAATAAATAATAACATTAGTATTATAAAGGCGAAAGTTTGCGAGTGTGTATGTTTGTTACTTCTTCACGTCTTGAGCGATTTTAATAAATTTTGGTATGGAGTTAGTTATGTCAACCAGAATAGGGAGATTGGGCCATGACCTACCACGCGGGCCCAGTGCGGATTGGCGGGTGCTAACGACTGTAGATGCAACCGGGACCAACGGCTAACGTGCCTTCCGAAGCACGGAGGAGCTCAAGATAGTAATTTTTTGGTCACCCATCCAACGACCGACCTGCTGCGAAAGTTGCTTAACTTCAACGATTGCAGCCGAACGCGCTACCGACTTGCACCATCAAGCTGTTCCAAGGCTTATTTTATTTTTATATATTTTATTTATTCGCCTCCTCACCTGTACTCCGCCCCCCATCCTTTGACAAAACTCATCCTTATAGTACACATTCTTGTCAATTGGAATACAGCTTCGAATCCTTGCGACACCGACTGCGAGAGTAAAGCGGCAAACTCTTGGTTGTTGAATATCTTCAGATTGCAACCTGTAAGGCGGGAGAAAAGAAGATTTGTAAGTAGAAATACGGATTTTCTACGCCACATCAAAAGTGACAATTTACCGAAAACCCGATACAGCGATTTGTCATTTGATCGAAATTTCAATAAATCGGTTTTCAACAGATCGCTGTGACATTACATCGAAACTAGCAAACCAGTGAACCAAATGTTCACCAAAAAAAAATATGTATTTAATTAATTGAGAACTTCGGAGATTTTGTGTGGTTTCGTTTGAAATAGAAATCACGTGATTTCTCGAAAACCGGAAGTGTTACGTTACTCAAATCCGGTTTGTAGTCTTATCAGACTATTCTTAACTTATAACTTAAACATTCTCTTTATCTATCTCTTACGGTTTGGCCGCTGAAACAGCACCACGGACGGACGGACGGACGGACGGACTTGTCTAATAGATAAGAGATTCCGATAAATCTATTTGTAACAGTACCCCTAGCACGAACCATTATCGAATTCGTAACGTTTGCGAGTTAGAAATGTCATTGTCAAATGTGTACTGATTTTTAGTTATTGTTACGTAATTTGTGGTGCTGCTGTTCAAGTTTCTGCTTTTAAAGTTGACAATGACATATCGCATTCGCAAACTATTCAAATTCGGTAAAGGATCGTGCTAAGAGTACAGGTTGCGATACAAGTGTTGACAATTTAACATACACTTTCAGACACATATATCGACCCACTTAAAGTTATAAGTTCCAATTGAAGATTTGAGTACAGTCGAAACACCGGATATAACGACATTGAAGGGACCATATAATTTTGGACGTTATGTCCGATAATTGTTATAAGCAATATACGCAAGTAGTCATATTATTGTCATATTGTAGTATGGTTATAGATAATGACTATAAACTTGTTTTCAAAAATATACCAAAAGAAGAAATAATAAGTTTATTACGAAAATAATGAAGTATCTACAGTATATTTTGTTTTGCTGGAAAAAGTAAAACGCTGGTCGTTATAGCCGATGAATATCGATATGAACTTTATCAATATTCATTACCTATAAGTCGTTTTAAGCGATATATCGCTATATTCGGTGGTGCTTTAGGCGTACGTAGTTTACGTAGGGGTTTATTTTATATAGGGTTTCGGTCGGGACCTCGCCTAATGGTCGTATTTACCGACACGTCGTAATATACGATGTCGTTGTATTCGGTTTTGACTTTACTTATTTTTCTCTTAATCAGCAAAAATTGGTTTTGGTGTTTTTAAACCAATGGCACTTACGCCCTACCATTTCCACCGATTTGATGTTTTTCTTAAGCGTCATATAATTCGTAAAGTACACTATGTACTTTTTTAATAGGGAGATATTTAGAAAATATTATTTTATAGCACAGTGTGACCTAAACCCGCACTTTACGCACGCTTTTCCGTGACCTAAGTTGCCTATTTCTGCACGGTGTGTAAATGAATTGACCAACTTCACTCTCATGTAGAATTAGTACATTACGATACGCGTAACTTAACTTTACTATGCCAATCAAGGAATAAACGTTCATGGATACATTGAAATTCTATTCTATTTTGTTGTAATGATATTTGATTTTTTTCTTTTGCAATATACTTTCAAAACACTAATCGCATCCCCCCCGAACCCCCCCCCCCCCCTCGCCCGCGTCCGGGGCGGGTTTATGTCACACTTGCTATAAAATAGTATACGATACTTGTGGCCTAAGTTGTCTATTACTGCACGGCGTTTAGCACCCTCCCTCACGCGTATCGTAATGTACTATTACACGTCACTTCTTCACAACTTCTTACAGTTATGATATTTGTTGTAAAAAAAACATGTGTGCTTTTGACAACGCGACTGAAGTGAAACTTCTTATCCATAGCTCCATCTGTAATATGTGTGTACAATATGAGGCCATGAGAACCCTAGTGGCCTAACTCATTTTGACGTGACAACGTCTTAAATTAGGTTGCGGCTGGGAGTCACTTATGAAAAAGTGTAACGCTCGGTAACGTTACGATGAGTCTCTCGTGTTAAGTTTAAGTTTACATGTACAATGTTTTAGTAAACAAAATATATTTCTATAGTTAAAATTTGTGCAATTCTTATTTTCATTCAATTCCTTGTTCCTATTGTGCAATTTAATTATATTCATATCAATAAATATTCTACCGAGAAAAAGACGTTGTCACGTAAAATCTTCGCCCGTAAAACCGACTTTACAGGCAACCATTTTTTTTTTTTTTACAATATTGAGTTTATGAATTTAGCCAGTTCAAATTGATCATTTTGATAGAACCAGAACGGTCTAAAAGTGATACAACGAATATTCACTAGATGGCAGTATAATCACTGTTACGGTTTTTAGTCTGTGATCTAAATTTGAGGTGCCATACTGGCCTAAGTAAGATAGGTCACTATGGTTAAAAAATGAGTTAGGGCACTATGGTTCTCATGGTCTCATATATACATGTAGGTGTCTGTGCGGAAAGAGAATGGGATTTAGATTGGAGGGCGCTGTAGTGCTTTTCTACCGTATTTGTAAGGTTTTACCCCTTTTAGACATGATTAAATACAAAAAACCGCAAGAAATCACAACAACAAACAAATCCGTATCAATACAAAACTTTGACGTTTTACCGATTGCTGGGTTTGATTGGCAAATAAAAATCTTAATGTTAGTTCCGTTTTTCGCCACGCCCATTCTCTTTCCGCACAGACTCTATGTACATATTTCCTTTACTAGCTATAAGAGAAAGAGAGAAAGAAAGAGAGAAAGAAATAGTGCGCGCGCACTGCTTTCTCTTGCTTATATCCCCCACTCAACTCCTGTTCGCCTTCGAGCTGAAATTTTGCATTTATATTTATGTGGCAAATCGAATTTTCGTGAAAATAATGGGGATTGTGCGGAAACGCGCATAATTATATCCCCCAATGAACTCCCGTTCGCCTCGCCCGAACACACTTTTCGTAACGCGTAACGCATTCGCCAGCTTACCCCCCAAGTCAAGCGTGCGTAAAGAAGATTCACTCCAAAAATATTTCGACCCGCGTCTCTGTAAAGTTACTAAAGTGACGTTTAAGCGATTTCGCTTTACCACTGTTGTTATCTATGTATATAAAACTCAAAGGTGACTGACAGACTGACATAGCGATCTATCAACGCACAGCCCATACCACTGGACGGATCGAGCTTAAATTTGGCATGCAGGTAGATGTTATGACGTAGGCACCCGCTAAGAAAGGATTTTGACCAATACTACCCCTAGGGGATAAAATAGGGAATGAAAGTTTCTATGAAACTTTGTCAATTTTAAACCGATCGCGCTGGGACTTTGCATGCAGGTATAAGAAGAATCATAGATGAATGTCATTGTGTATGATACAAGCCTGAGAACAAAAACTGTAGTCTACACTTCAGCTCTACACCGAAGCGAAGCGAGGTCGGGCCGCTAGTATTTCATAAAGTTTAACTCACCAGGCGGTATCTTGCAGACAGTAGCCGGATGCCATCCGTAGCGCTGGTTACAGTTCGGACTTTGGACGAAGATCGATGAATCGCTTAGACATTCAGCGAACACTTCGCCTAGAGCAAAACGAAATTGATAAATAATAATATTATTAAATACTGTGGGTTACCTACAATGCGAAGAGATGGCGCTGCCTTGCAGCTTAAGGCTAGGAAAATTTCGACGCGGCTAATAAGGCCGTGGTAGCATAATGGTCAGTGCATTCGCCCGGATAGCGAAGGATGCGGGTTCGAGTCCCGTCCGTTGCCTGGTCTGCGTGGATTTCTTTTCTAGTAAACTTTTCTTTAGATAATAAAATGGTAGGACAGTCAAAACTGTACATTGAATTTAAAAGAATACTTGGGGTGTGATCTACAATCAGTATGAAGCCAAAAATATAGTTTTTAGAATTTTTGTCTGTTTCTCTGTATGTATGTCCGGGATAAACTCAAAAAGTACTGCATGGATTTACTTCAAATTTGGCACGAATATTATTAAGAAGTCGGGTCAATATATAGGCTACATATTATCACGCTATCCCCTACGGGGAACGAGCGGTGAACCTTTATTTCTAATTAAATCCACGCGTACGAAATCGCGGGCGGCCGCTAGTAATAAATAAATCCAACACTCACACCAATTAGCCTAGCCCCAATGTAAGCACTGTAGGCTTGTGTTATGGGATACTAGGGTAACGGATAGACTACATGTACTGATACATATATCATCATCAGCCTATTAATGTCCCCACTGCACTGGGGCACATGCCTTCCCTATGGAAGGAATAGGGAGATTGGGCCATGACCCACCACGTAGGCCCAGTGCGGATTGGTGGGTGCTAACGACTGCAGATGCAGCCGGGACCAACGGCTTAACGTGCCTTCCGAAGCACGGAGGAGCTCGAGATAGTAAATTTTCGGTCACCCATCCAATGACCGACCACTGCGAAAGTTGCTTAAATTCAACGATCGCAGCGGAACGCGCTAACCACTGGCGCCATCGAGCTCCTCGATACATATATAAGTATATGTATATACAAAACACATATTAAACATCCTTGACTGGAGTACAAATGCTCGTATTCATCACACAAACATTTGTCCCCACCGGGATTCGAACTTGTGGAGTCAGCGACTAATATCCAAACGCGAATTTTGACAGCACCGTTATCGTAACGCATCGTCAAAGTTTCTATGAAAACTAAGCAGCGCCTCTAGCGGATGTAAGAGCAAACTGGCTGCTTAAGTTATTTAAGTCTTCTAATAAGGTGGAGGTTACTTCCACAGACAGACGTAATCCCTTTATTAACATAATTTTGTTTAGAATTTCTTTCGTCTTATAGTCTTAGATTAAAACAAAAAGGGTAGATACGGCACTAGCCTCACAAAAGTGATCCGCACCAATTGTGGTCTACGACCCTAATCGCTTTAGTCACAACTTGACATGCAAACGATGTACATGTGAACGCCAAAAAGAAATATTGCTAATATTTTGTGTTTATATGATAAAACAATCCCTAAGTGTGATTTTAAAAAGTGCTCAAATTGCTTAAAACCTAAAAATAAAACCCACGGCATCACTTTTCATTCGTAAGTACTATAAAATATATTTTTTCATAAAAATTGTTGTTTGTTTTGAATCTTATTCGGTAGTGACGTCGAGTACTGGTCGCGTGATTGGTCGGTAGTGCAGTGACGCGGATCTCGCCGTCTCGTTCGCGCTGCCGTTGAAACTTAACGTGCTGTTTCGTTCGGGTCGGTAATGCAGTGACGCGGATCTCGCCGTCCCGTTCGCGCTGCCATGGGATCAGTTTTTGTTTGATGCAAGTATGAGCGTACCGTATCTACCCATTTTGTTTTAATCTAAGCTTATAGTGCAATAAAGAATTTATTGAAATACATGTTGTTGCGACTGTTGAGATAGCTAAACAATGGAAAAAGTCACATTTCATATTTATAGAAAATCCCTTTATTAACATATTTTGTGGAGCCCGATGGCGCAGGTGGTTAGCGCGTTCGGCTGCGATCGTTGAATTTAAGCAACTTTCGCAGTGATCGGTCACTGGATGGGTGACCAAAAATCTTCTATTTCGAGTTCCTCCGTGCTTCGGAAGGCACGTTAAGCCGTTGGTCCCGGCTGCATCTGCAGTCGTTAGCACCCGCCAATCCCGCACTGGGCCCGCGTGGTGGGTCACGGCCCAATCTCCCTATTCCAACCATAGGGAAGGCCTGTGCTCCAGCAGTGGGCACATTAATAGGCTGATGATGATAAACATATTTTGTTTAGAAATTCTTTCGCCTCATAGTGCTGTGGCAGCGACATCTACATGCCCCACATATAACCGACGGATGAAGTAAATAATCACTAGCCATCTTCAAGAGATGGCGCTACTGGCGCTGCGATCAATAAGTATGGAAGCCTACATCGCGCAAGATAAATTCGGAGGCACACACTTAATATATAAAATGCCAGAACAACATCAGTCGAGCCCATAGAGGCATAAGAATAGAGTAGGAGAGATATAGACTCTACTACAAGTGGTAGTGTCCCTCTAATAGAAAGAGAAAGAAGATGAGAGACCGCTAGCTTTCTCTCTCTAATCGCGCATGCGCATTGGCAACCGTAAGCATGTTACTATTTCGATATGATGCCATTGGATGCCATGCGTCACAAGAGAGAGAGATAGCTAGCGGTCTCTCTTCTTCTTTCTCTTTCTACTAAATACACTTTTTTTTCCTAAGGGCTTCGCACGGCTTGTGCATTTAGCCAATGTCAAGTGTTAAAAATGTTTACAAATTCTATAGCATACGTGGTCAAAGTAATAAATCAAGTCAAAGTGGCAGTCAAGTCAATCCCCCTTTCCCTGTTTTAGTAAAAGTGTGGGGATTTACTGGAACCTCCCCGTGTACTTCTTGAGGGAACGTCGAAAGACACTTTCCGCTATTTTGTTTCACTTGCCAACACTTGTGCATTTTCCCGAACACTTAGTGGTTAATAATCCACCATTTATTTATTAGACACTTAACATCCGCCACAACACAATTTTGCTAAAGTGACGCTTCCCGATCCCACCAAAAAGTCCGACGGACACTTTTAGACCCACCGTCCTCACTCTATTCTTGCCTCTACCTCTATGGTCGGGCCGCGGCCCCCGAGCTACCATCATCCAACTCGGAGGAAGATTCCTCTTTGGCCTTCCTACAGTGCAATAAAGAATAGGGTATTTGACAAGTTTTAGAAAACGATCTTACGTTATTGACTAATGTTTATGGAGTCCGTAAAAAGTGGATATTCATCATTCTGTTGTGTATTCCAGTAAAAATAACCAAATCAAAAACTCCATTTTCAAGTTGCCGCGAAAACATTTTTCTGGACAATATGGCGCCTTACTAGTGTGTGACGTCACACGACTGTTATTAAAACGTCAAACGATACAGTGTAATGTCACTTTAACCGGAAGTTTACTTGCGTGTGACGCCATTTTAGGCTCCGCCAATGCCAAGCGTTTTGGGTCACGTGACAATAGATAAGAAAACTATTACCTTTTTCGTGGGTTTTTAGTAAAATTATGAATATTTTTTTTGTAAAAATAGTAAAAACCCCTGCCAATATTGATTCTAAACACAGATGCTAACAATTGGCACTTTATTTTTAATACTGTCAAATAGCCTATTCATTGATCTATAATGTTGTAGCGACTCACCACCTATGTAATACAATCGGACCCCTTTGCCGATGTGCCGGCGGGTTTGTTCAACAACCTCGTTCCGGTTCACGTTCGATAACAGACCCAGACAGAATCTGTGGGCAAAATATCATAAATAAAATCTATACATATAATAAAATGGTGGGAAAGTCAAAACTGTACATTGAATATATTTTTAAAAGAACACTTGGTATTGTTTTAAACTTTCATGGTCACTAACATTATAGTAATATCAGTTATTTACGATACGCAGAAATCAGCCATCGCGGATCATTTGATTGATTCTGGTCCTAACCACTGGATTGACTTTCGTAACCCACAGATTATCTCGACAGAACGCCACTACATACCAAGATTGGTCAGGGAAGCGATAGAAATAACAAAACATAAAAATTTCAATCGTGAGGACGGGTTTAAATTGTCGAGTGTCTGGAATCCTGTGGTGCGTATGTGTGAAACCAGACATAATCAAAAAAGTGTCGTGTCGCGATACGATACTGTAAGTGTTGTGTATCGAGAACAGTTTCGAGTGAATAATGAGAATGTGAACAGTGGTACGGGTATCGAACGCAATAAAAGACTTCGCCGGAGGGTAGACCGATATGTCTGCCAATAACAGCCTACCCGCAATTACTTCAGTTACTCCGTGATCATGGCGCTTGCTACAGTGCCGAAATATCGAAAACTCGCTAAAAACAAGCTACATGGTAACAATCCCGTAAATAACTTATATTAGTAGAATACTTGGGGTGTGATCTACAATGGATAACGAAGCCAAAAATATAGTTTTTAGAATTTATGTCTGTTTGTCTGTGTGAATGTTCGGGATAAACACAAAAAGTACTTGCATGGATTTACTTCAAATTTGGCACGAATATTATTAAGAAGTCGGGTCAACATATAGGCTACATATTATCACGCTCACCTACGGGGAACGAGCGGTGAACCTTTATTTCTAACTAACTCCACGCGTACGAAATCGCGGGCGGCCGCTAGTAATAAATATATTCCACACTCACACCAATGAGGGCTATCGCGTATGAATCCGCCGCTAGAGGCGCTAGTGTAGCGTGAGGTCTCCGAAATGTCAAATGTTATTGCTTGTTGGTTGACTACGCGGGTTTATTTCTAATTAAAATAATGTTGTGAATAATTGGTAACAATTCGGCTTAATTATGGCAAATATGAGTTATGTGGCAATGAATGTCAGTTATTAATAATTTGAGCTTAGAAAAATGATTATGTTCCCATTTTTTCCGAATAAAACGGAACTGCGCGTCACTGTGGCATGGCCTATTATGTTTAGGATATGGTTCTTTTGTGTTAAAATACGATCTAAATGTAACCTTTGATTTCATGTGCGTATTAATAAACTTTAAAAGTTACAATTTAGGACCTCACTCAACAGTGGCGCCATCTGGTGAGGCAGAAAACGGTAGCCCTCATTAGCCCAGCCCTAAAGTGAGCACTATATAATGCCGCGTAATCATTACGCAACATTTGTTGATAAACTGTCTATGAAGTTCATCACCTTGTTTATAAACAAGTTTACCGTAAACACTATTTCTGAAACATGGCGCGTCAAGTTTAAAAATTCTAAATAGCAAAACCTCTCGCTATTGCTGGGGTCGGTGAAGCCGTCCACCGTAATGGACGGCTGTGACGCATGAAATGTCTCCCCCACCCTGGTGTTGAGCTCGTAGTATGAAATGCTGCCTGTTTGCTAGCTAGATAGCGTTGTACATAAACTGTATCGTAGAAACCAAAGTTTCCACTCTGCCAGTACAATTATTTGGGTTTAGTGGATCGATAGTATTGCAGATTTGTCAATATCGATTGTATTATAGATTTATCGATAAAGATGGCTGTGTCAATAGTGCTGTTTAATCATCGATAGTATTGTCTGTAACGACAGTGTTGTCGGACCATCGATAGTACAGTCTAACGATAGTGTTGTCCGTGTGTCAAATACTGCCAATAAATCGATAGTTTTCATACATAGACATATCTATAGTGCTGTATGTTTATCGATAGTTTTATCGCCATATAAAGTATTGTAAGTTTATCGATAAAATTTTGCATTTAAAGGTAAAGTTATCTGGCTCTCTATTGCCGGGGTCGGTGAACCCGTCCACTGTGATAGAAGGGTGTGACGCATGAAATGTTGGCCTATTTTGTTTTGTTTTTATTTATGTTAATATGACTACGTTTAAGGCTAATGAATTTATTTCTATTCTATTAATTTAATCAACTTACCTTTCGCTATTGCTGGGGTCGGTGAAGCCGTCCACAGTAATGGAGGGCTGTGACGCATGAAACGTCTCCCCCACCCTGGTGTTGAGCTCGTAGTAGGAGATGCTGCACCAGAACGCGGGCTCGTGGTACAGCACCGGGGCCGCCCCACCGCCAGGGGGTGGCGAGAGGCGGGTTATGTCTGAATCAAATGAAAATGAAAAGAAAAATTATTTATTGGCCATCATAAACATAGTCATCATCATCATCATCACCAGCCTATTGATGTCCCCACTGCTGGGGCACAGGCCTTCCCGGTGGATGGAATAGGGAGATTGGGCCATGACCCACCACGCGGGCCCAGTGCGGATTGGTGGGTGCCAACGACTGCAGATCCAGCCGGGACCAACGGCTTAACGTGCCTTCCGAAGCACGGAGGAGCTCGAGATGGTAATTTTTGGTCACCCATCCAATGACCGACCACTGCGAAAGTTGCTTAAGTTCAACGATCGCAGCATAAGCTAACATAGTGAGAAAAGAAAAAATAACTTCTCTCACCATGTCGGCGCTGTTATTCTGGCAGGACCTGTGCAAGGTGGCTTTAATGGATTGTAAAACATTCAAAAACCCAGTAAACACTAAAAACAGAACAATACGAAAAAAACCCACATCACCATAGAGTATGTATATAATATACAGGGTGTAACAAAAGTCCGAAATAAAACTTTAGGGTTTGGTTGTGTTCCTTGTATAGAATTACCTACGAAAGTTTGACGCCTTTCAGACCACTTTTATTTTCTAATTAAAATAATAAAAATATCGTTTTATACCTGCCTATGACAACCCTATAAATGCGTACGATTACTACTACCTAAACAGACCCCCCTCTCTCCCCCAGGCGCCCCTGCGCCCCGCTCAGTTACCTACAAATTTTTATTTCGGAATACATACCTACAAATTTTATTTCGGAATTCTGTAACACTCAGTATATTAATATAAAGAAAATTATAATTAGTCGTATACTGTAATTTATACATAAGTTTGTTTAAGTATATAATGTAAATAAACCATGTACCCGAAGTTAAGTATTTAATTTACACTGTCATAAGGACTTATGTCAAAACTTACGTTGACAGCACCCGAGTGCATGTTCTGAACGCAGACTTGTACGGTTCCTATCATCACTAATCTGTGCGAATGGCTGCCATCTCCATGCATTGTCATGAATGAGATTTATTTATTTATTTATCTTTAACAAAGTTTCTACAGCGGTTTTTTGTGGAATTTAATACAATAAATTATACATCTATGGAATTCTCCTCCGGTTTCTATAAGATGTGCGGAAACTATTTATACATTTAAAAACCTTCTGAATTCCCATTTTCTGACATTGTAATACTTTTATTTTAATATCTGATGTGCTTGCAACTGCCTCCTGACTGGACTAGATCCATGTATGTATTTTTATTTATACTTATTGTATGTATGTATATACTAATATATATATATTTTGCTAGCGATTTACACCGCCGTCTCTCCCACTTCCTTCTAATCCTCTCCATCCAAAGGTTGCCTGGAAGAGATCGCTTTAAGCGATAAGGCCGCCCATTGCATCACGTGTACTAGATGGTTTTGTACATAATGTTCAACTTTTTTTTTGTGGTGTACAATAAAGAGTTATTGTATTGTACATACAATCTTTAGGCCAATTACATTATTAACTCATTATGTACACATTAGATACTAACGCCGTTATTATATGTCAATAATTATTACATTTAATTTTAAAAATTGTATAAAAATTATACAATTTACTAACATAGCAGATAATAATAGTACATTATGATATAAGTGCGGTAAGTTGACAATTACAGCCGAGGCGATATTGTTAGCCCGAGCCGTAGGTGAGCGCTATAAGAAGGCAGAGGCTGTAATTATCAAACCGCATGTAAGTCATACGACGTTTTATAACACACTAGCAAACCAGGCGAACTCCGTTTCGCCATCAGATGGCTTCGTTTTATGTAACATTTCGTTTGGTGATTAAAAGAAGAATTTTTTTTTTTTGAAATTTTTCCTGAATTTTCTTTGCTATAAACCTCACGGAGCCCGAGACCTTTCCAACGAATGCAAAACCGTGGAAATCGGTTCGTGCGTTCTGGAGTTATAGCGTCAGGAAGGAAAACCCGACTTATTTTTATATAGTAGATTTGCGAGGAAATAATAAGTACTACCTACGTACGTACTTTCTGAAAATGAATTTGCACCTTTGTTTTCCATAAGATGAAATTTTGATACGCTTGACTGTAAGTATCTATCCATCCGTGGATTTTTCGGGCAAGAGGCTTAGCGAAGCCTTTTTCGACTTCTGGCGGTGTCAAATTAATGAATTCGTTCCTACTTAACAATATTTTCAAATAAAAATAATACGGCGAAAAGAAATAACTTTTTCACAGATTAGCGATACGCGCGCAACAATGCTTTTTTAGGCAAAGGAACAAAAAACAGCCACTGTTACTAATAAAGTAAATTAATATTTTTGTGAATTTGTTACCGATACATGGTTGTAATTTATTGTCAAAATGAATCAAATTAAAGAATTAAATGTTTATATATATTATATTTTATCTCCCAAAGTTAATATTATTCAGAAAATGTTGGCTACCTTTCTGACATAAAAATTCTTTGCTAAGATTTAAAAAAGTATCGTTCGTTTTTAGACGGAACATAATAAGCCGTGCGTTTTATCTCGGGTTTGAGTCCAGTCTGCTGCCTGGTCCGCGTGGATTTTTTTCTAATATTTTCTTTAGATTTAAACATCGAGCAGTTACCTACATGTTTAAAAAAAATAAGAATTGAATGTCAACAAACATTACACTCACTCATATTGTCGTTGTGATCCATTGGGTCACCGTCTTCACTTATGTAGCCGGGTGGAGGGGTTTCCACTGACGAGGAACTCCTGTTAACAAACATTTTAAAAGTAAATTTTTATTTTATTTATTTGAATAGGTACAGATACAGCAATACATATCATACATTACAAAATTATTAATAACATAAATACACTTATTATATGCTTGCCACTTATGAGTGTACACAGCATTCAGTATAAAAATGTCGGTTTTTTAACTCTATGAAAATTTAAAAAACCAATTAAATAAGTAAATTAGAGTAAAATTAAAATTTGATTAAAAAAATTGACAATTAAATCAAATTAAAATTCATATTAAAGAGGCTGAGATGGAATTCAGCAGCTTATGTCTGAAGTGATTTTGACTATCATTGAATTTGTCAGTGTCTCCCAATTTGCCATTCATGTCATTATATGTGGAACTAATTTTAGAGAGTAAAAAGGGAAGAAATTCCTTTAAGCTGAGCTGATTTTTGATTTGATACAACCATTTTATAGATAGATAAACTTGAAAAAGTGAAGGGAATAATTATTAATATAATGACATTTGTTATATCATTATTCGTACTTTCAAAAAATTCAAAATTCAATATCGTTTATTCAGTCTAGGCTGTTACAAGCACTTGTGAATGTCGAAAAGCTACGCCATCGGTTCGCAAATCTACGGCGGGAGACCTTGTACTGAGAAGAACCGGCAAGAAACTCAGCAAGGGCTGTTTTTTTCTCCCTGTATTATATACAGAGTCGTCAAATTGAAAAATGACTTCAATATGAGGTAACTCATAAAGTCACTTTTCATTACAAACAAAAAAAATGCAAATAATGTAAAAATTATGACTATAAAATAAAAAATTAAAATATGTAAAAAAAAATAAAACTACTAACCGTTGAGCTAGAGAAAAATTATATTTCATTATTGAATCTACAAATAAGACCCTACAAAATAAGGTAAAAGCCACCTTTGTACAATTTTTTTTTGTAGCGATACTACAGTCCATACTACGATGGACATTCTCCTTTGTGCCAACCCAGTGCTGAAGTTGCCATCAGTACTGGTCTTCCTTTGGAACCGGTTTAGTGACAACACGAAACTATCACTGACAAGCAATAAAATATATAAAAATAACTAAACCTTAGATGATGAGAAAACAAAAAGGGAAGATACGGCACTCGCGGCTAAAAAGTGATCCGCTTAAATTGTGGTGCATGAACACAATTCGCTTGAGTCACAATTGGCCATTCGAACACGCTGCATGTGCACTCAATATAACAATATTGCATATATATTTTTTTTTTTTTTCAACGCACACCAATTAGCCTAGCCCCAAAGTAAGCACTGTAAGGCTTGTGTTATGGGATGCTAGGGTAACGGATAGAATACATATACTGTACATATATAAGCATATTTATATAGAAATACATATTTAACATCCATGACTGGGGTACAAATGCTCGTATTCATCACACAAATATCTGCCCCCACCGGGATTCGAACCCGGGACCTCTCGAGTCGGTGACACCATGAAACCCGGCGTACAAACCACTAGGCCACGGAGGTCGTCTTTATTTATATTTATATTCTGTGTTATAAAGATAAAACAATGCCTTCGATGCTTTTATAAAGAATTTCTCAATCAAAATAAAATAACAAATGACTCAGCAACACTTTTCATTCGTAAAACTGTAGAAACATGTTTTTTCTGGAAAATCAAGGTTTGCCGTGAATGTTATATACGTAATCGCCATTTTGTTATCAAGAAAAGGACAACAATACAGCTCTGCCGTGCGGTCTCGCCTTTTCGCTCGCGCTGCGTTGAAGCATACAGTACAACTAGCACGAACCAATATCGAATTCGTATCGTTTGCGAGTCCGAAATGTCATTGTCAAATGTGTACTGATTTTTAGTTCTCGTTACGTACTTTGTGCCGCTGCTGTTCAAGTTTCCATACAAAATTTGACATTGACATTTCGGTTTGCAAACTATTCGAATATGTTAAGGATTCGTGCTAGGGGTACAGTTCTGTGTTGTCTATGGAGTGTAAACGAAATAATGTTTTAAACAGCCTCAACATGTATTCTACAAGCTTTGTATAAAACTAGTATATGACTTGTTTCCTGGTGTAATCGAGGGGTAAGACAATTTGCATACTGGTAACATTAAATCTACGTACACATGTACTGTAGTGTTTCCTGGTACTTGTTGGGCCAGTGTTGCTTCCAAATACATGGCGCTGTGGCCCAATACTCCACCCGACTGCATAACGCTGTTAAAACAGAAAAACATTTCATTATAGTTATATTCTTTTATTTTTTAAGCATGTAACTGCTTGATGTTTAAATCTAAAGAAATATAACTAGAAAAAATTCCACGCGGACCAAATTTGACATAGTGGGTTACCTACAACGCGAAGAGATAGCGCTGCCCTGCAGCTTAAGAATAGCTAGAGGAATTTCGACGCGGCCGTCAGGGCTGCGGTAGCATAATAAAAATAGCATAATAAAGTCAGTGCATTCGGCCGGATCGAAAAGGGTTCGAGTCCCGTCTGCTGCCTGGTCCGCGTGGAATTTTTTCTAGTTATATTTTCTTAACATTTCATTATATTATGATTTTTTAAGCAATTAACTGCTAGATGTTTATTTAGATTTAAAGGTCTAGGATGTTTGTGTGGGACTTTTTGGCGGGATCGGGAAGCGTCACTTTAGCAGTTTTGTTTTTATTGTTAAAAATTGTGTTGTGGCGGATGTTAGTGTCTAATAATGGTGGATTATTAACCACTAAGTGATCGGGAACATGCACAAGTGTTGGCAAGTGAATCAAAATAGCGGAAAGTGTCTTTCGACGTTCCCTCAAGAAGTACACGGGGAGGTTCCAGTAAATCCCCACACTTTTACTGAAACATAGGGAAAGGGGGATTGACTTGACTGCCACTTTGACTTGATTAATTACTTTGACCACGAATGCTATAGTATTTGTAAATATTTTAACACTTGACATTGGCTAAATGCACAAGCCGTGCGAAGCCATTTAGAAAAATGTTTGTGTGCTGAATAAGAGCATTTGTACTCCAGCCTAATATAATAAACTTATATATGTATCAGTACATGTATTCTATCCGTTACCCTAGTATCCCATAGCACAAGCCCAAAGTGCTTAATTGGTGTGAGTATTAAAAAAAAAGGATGGGTGACCAAATACTTAAAATTTTTCACTCCTACGTGCTTTCACTCTTCTAAATTCTTTCTGTATTCTGTGCTCGGGTCCATCATTTCTTCCAAATTATTGTAAGCGGTACGCAGTTCACCGGGTCAGCTAATCACTAACTAATATTATAAAGGCGAAAGTTTGTGAGTGTATGAGTGTGTATGTTTGTTACTTCTTCACGTCTGAACGGCTGGAGCGATTTTAATAAAATTTGGTATGGAGTTAGCTGACACCCTGGATTAACACATAGGCTACGTTTTACTGCGGTAAAGTATCCCTTATAAATCGCGTGTAACACCGCGGGACACAGCTAGTCTTTCAATAACAGCGTTCCTTCTGTAGTAGGTTTTATTTCTTTTTTTAGTAATATGTATAAGGTGAGGTTTCAAATGTTACACATCATACGCGACTACTGTAAGGCTCGCTCGTTCTATTTTTTGCCAAGTCAGGATTTAGCAACTTTATGAGTGCGAGATTCTTTCGTCGTAAGCGGGATTTAGTAAAAAAACCTTTATGATTAAAAGTTATAGAACATTTATCTTTATAACGGGCCGGGCAGGCAGCCAGTCCGAAAAGTGGGATTGAGCCTGACACGCGCGGGACTTTAAATTTTGATTTAAAAATCGGGACGTCTGGCAATGCTGTTCAATAATTCAAGCTCGATGGCGCAAGTGGTTAGCGCGTTCGGCTGCGATCGTCGAACTTAAGCAACTTTCGCAGTGGTCGGTCATTGGATGGGTGACCAAAAATTACTATCTCGAGCTCCTCCGTGCTTCGGAAGGCACGTTAAGCCGTTGGTCCCGGCTGCATCTGCAGTCGTTGGCACCCGCCAATCCGCACTGGGCCCGCGTGGCGGGTCATCGGCGAATCTCCCTATTCCATCGATAGGGAAGGCCAGTACCCCAGCAGTGGGGACATTAATAGGCTGATAATGATATATGAATATTTATCATTATTACGCGCCGGGCAGGCGGCCAGTCCGAAAAGCGGGATTGAGCCTGTCCCGCGCGGGACTTTAAATTTTGATTTAAAAATCGGGAGGTCTGGCAATGCTGTTCAATAAGGGGCCATTCAAGTATTACGTAAGCACTATAGGGGGGCAGGGGGGGTCATATTCATATTCATATTCATTTATTGCATCTTGTTGTATACACAGGTGTTACAAGTATGGTTAGGTTGCAAACAAGAGCCCTGTAAGGGCACGGCAAATTATTAGATTATTATTACAATTACATATTTTATACAAAATTAAATCACATATCTTAATAATATTATTAATTAATAGTAACATTTAAATACAAAAATAGCTTTACAGTTTACATTAATATTATGGGTTTATGTCGAGATAGTGATTACGTCAGCATCATGGATTCGGGTGTCATGGACTGAAGACTGTATACATTAGTGATGTAACGAATATTCGCATTCGCATTCGCAAAATCTCTGCGAATGTTTTGCGAATATGAATATTAGAAAAAAACAATTTGAAGGAATTGTAGTTCTGCCTTTCCTTGAATATTCATTGTTACACAGTTTGCATTTAGCTCGTTCAGCATCGCAAACTGTGAAATAAGTCCATGTTTCACTAGAATTCGATTTACTCATGTTAATAAATCACTATTACCACTCATAATCATTAACCTCAAAATTCACTTGTTTTGTTTACGGAAAGACCGGTGCGAGCGGAATGACACTTCAGTCGGATGAGTTCATATCAACCCGGCAATTCGAACGAGACTGACATGCCATAGACAATTGGCGCCAATTTAAAAAAAAACTAAATATTCGCATTCGCGAATGTCGGTACCAGACATTCGCATCCGCATTCGCATCCGCGAATGTTCAAAAAATGACATTCGTTACATCACTAGTATACATATACCAAAAATTTGAAAGAAGTTTGTTTTGTTTGTAATAGTACCTTACTCTATGTTGAATATATTTTGCCTATTTAAGTACTGCTGCTCATGAAGCTCATGAAAGCTCATGAATCAAGAAAAAAACAGAATACATTAAAGGTCCATGTTTACGTAAGCACGTGAGGGGGGGGGGGGTAAGAGCTGTGCTTACTTTTGCTGACAAGGGGGAGGAGGGGGTAAATAATTGTAATAAATCTGCTTACGTAATACTTGAACGGCCCCTAATCATAAAAACTCACGCGTCCGTGTGTTCGTGTGGATGGTGCAGTTGCACGTAGTCGGTGTATGGCGGCGGGGCCCGGGGTTCCGAGCCTTCGGTGCACCGCGGTACTAAGATTGGTGGTAATGCTGTACGGAATAATATTAATATATATATATATATATATATATACATACAGGGTGTTACAAAAATACAAATTAAGCTTGAAGGGCTTTGAAGTACATCAAATAAGGAGGCTTCTCTAATTTTAACGTTATAATAAAAATATCGATAATTTTAAGACACGTCACTAGTTCAAGGTTCATTAAAAATAACTGTTTTTATAAAAAGTTTCTCTTCAAAACTTCATCCAAATATTTTGAGAAAATTAGAGAAGCCTCCTTATTTGATGTACTTCAACGCCCTTCAAGCTTTTTTTGTATTTTTGTAGCACCTTGTATATAGATCGATCGATGGACGGCCTCCGTGGCCGAGTGGTTTGTACGCCGGGTTTCATGGTGTCGCCGACTCGAGAGGTCCCGGGTTCGAATCCCGGTGGGGGCAGATGTTTGTGTGATGAATACGAGCATTTCTGCCGTCCTCAAGCTAAAACGAGGCTAAATGACAAAACCAACTTTTGAGATATGGCCAATAAAACGGCGTGTAAACTTTAATTTATTGCTATTTTGTAACCATTCATCAAATGACGGATTTTTAGACTAAAACTACAAAAGAAGCGAATACTTGTTAAAAACAGATCGATAGAAAATTTAAAACTTTATAAGACGCAATTTGAGACTGAAAAATCGACCACATGTCACTTTGCCCGCACTTTAGTTTGAGGACGGCAGATTTGTACTCCAGTCCTGGATGTTCAATATGTATATAAATATACGTATATATGTACTGTATATGTATTCTATCCGTTACCCTAGCATCCCATAACACAAGCCTTACAGTGCTTACTTCGGGGCTAGGCTAATTGGTGTGTTAAAAAAAAAGATATTTCCAACACACACAAATGAACCTAGCTCCAAAGTAAGCACTGTGGGCTTGTGTTATGGGATACTAGGGCAACGGTTAGAATACATATACAGTACATATATAAGTATATTTATATAGAAATGCATATGTTCGGTTTCAAATATATTGAACTAGCAAACCAGTGAACCAAATGTTCACCAAAACCTGATTTAAAAAAAAATGTATTTAATTAATTGAGAACTTCGGAGATTTTGTGTGGTTTCGTTTGAAATTCGTGATTTCTCGAAAACCGGAAGTGCTACGTTACTCAAATCCGGTTTGTAGTCTTATCAGACTATTCTTAACTTATAACTTAAATATTCTCTTTATCTATCTCTTACGGTTTGGCCGCTGAAACAGCACCACAGACAGACGGACTTGTCTAATAGATAAGAGATGCGTTAGATATGATAACGTAACATTACATCCGCTTACCCACCTACCTTTTCCTATCCCTTGGACGATTTTTTATTGTAATACGAGGGTAGACATGCAGTATCTGTCAGCTGCCTGTTACAACTACGACGCCACAGCGATCGGTCGACTTCCGAAAAGCCCCGATCCAAATTATATATAGTTAGCGCGGCGGTTGTTCAACGAGCACAAAAGAACATCATCAAATCAAAAGATTACGTGAAGGACAGTTAGGACTAGCTCAAGATAACATTCCTACAACATCCGGAAACTTACGAAAATACAGGCAGACTAGCGCTGCTCTAAATGCTATCGGAGAAAATAAGAAATCGTAAGTCCAAATCACTTTCTGTCCCTCACAGCATATTAAACATCCATGACTGGAGTACCAATGCTCGTATTCATCACACAAACATCTGCCCCCACCGGGTTTCGAATCCGGGACCTCTCGACGTAGGCGACGTCTTGGAACCCGGAGTACATACGACTCGGCCTGGGAGGTCATCGTGCGTAATGAACAAAAGTTACTAAAATACTAGTGTTCTATTAACTGAATTAACTCAAACCATACATTAATAACAATTTGATATGCATGCCAATTACTACTTTCATCATCAGCCTATTAATGTCCCCACTACTGGGGCACAGGCCTTCCCTATGGATGGAATAGGGAGATCGATGGCACGGGTGGTTAGCGCGTTCGGCTGGGATCGTTGAAGTCAAGCAACTTTCGCAATGGTCGGTCATTGGATGGGTGACCAAAAATCTTGTATCTCGAGTTCCTCCGTGCTTCGGAAGGCACGTTAAGCCGTTGGTCCCGACTGCATCTGCAGTCGTTAGCACCCACCAATCCGCTCGTGGTGAGTCACGCACGGCTAGTTACTATCCAAAATTTTAAAGGTCCGGACATTTTAGTCACAAAATGCAAACATCACGTGGTAGCAGACGCTCGCATCGCGAGGGGGGTCTCGTTGTTGATTTTTGAAGATGATTTATATTTTGTTTTAAATAAATGAGAACTTCATAAAGAATATTTGATGTAACCTAATAAGTAATTTTACTTATATTATATATATAAAACCGGACAATTTAAAAAGCCAGACATAGTCCAGACAAAAGTCAAAAAGTCCGGACAAAAAAAAGGACGGATTGTAACCTTATGCACGGTCCAATCTCCCTATTCCATCCATAGGAAAGGCCTGTGCCCAGCAGTGGGGAAATTAAGAGGCTGATGATGATGTAGCTGAATTTAAATAAAATCATGTTGCTTTATCTCAAATTACATAAAGCTGTCGAATATAGTTTTTGTTCAAAGGCTCGTATTATACACAATGACTTTCTTCATAATAATTATAAACTTTTTTTTTTGTCCTGTCATTTAATTTTTTTTCTATTAATTTAATTTCATGTCAATTATAATCCTTCCATTCCAAGTAAAATATTCGTTGCATAGTTTAGGACCCGTTGTGCCGCTCCGGCATAGGCCACCACGTCTGGGGACTGCCTGGTACCCTAGCGCAGCCCCCCTGAGGCGCGTCGCCCGGTCCACTCGTTGGGCCGGGCCTGCCCGGGGGCGTCCCAGTGAAGTGGCGCACGCTAAGGTGCGTCGATCCTGAGACGCCCCCATATGGGCGTAGGAGGGTACCGGGGGGTTTTAGTGGAGTAGGATCAGTGTGGCCTTCCGCACTGGTCCTGCTTGAGTAGGGTCGGCACTGTTTCCCGTGCCGGCGAGTCCCACACACGCCGTGCGCCTAGTCAGCGTCACGGTATGGTGCGTAACTGCATATCCCCTCGTCACAAAAAAAAAAAAAAAAGGACCCGTTGTACCGAATACAACATTGTTCTGCTATTCCGATTTGACAGTTTATGTCTATATTTTAAGTTTGACTCACTATAAACCTTTTTTTTTTTTCAAAATAACGCGGGTGAAACCACACGGGACCTCTAGTTGTTACATAACTGTAATAGTTAGACATATGGTAATGCGGACTTTTTTGTAGATATTGGTATCCTTCATAAAACTTAGTACATCACTTTGCTCTATTGTCAAGGACTGCCGCAGCGTACGCGATATAAGGCTATATTTTACACACATAGGGTTACATTATCATATGGAGCCCTAATTTTTTTGAAAATACACTATAACCTATATTAATCAGTGATAATGCAGCATTCAAATGGTGAAAGAATTTTTAAAATCAGTCCATTACTTTTTGAGCCAATTCGTTACATACAAATCTTTCCTCTTTATAATATTATTATAGATAAGACTCACTTCATATTTTAAATGCTTCACTTGAAACTACATACTAAGGCCTGTATTATAGAGAGATTCTCAGCGATTGATCTAGTCTTGAGCATAGTTAGAAAGGGATGTCGCTATATATAGCACATAGTGTCATCCCTTTCTAACTGTACTCAAGTAAGGATCAACACTTAGTTGTCATTCTGTAATACGGGCCTTGAACACTGTGAAGAATTAACCAAACAAAATCCTGTGCTGTATTGCAAATGAGGAACTGCCAAACAAAACGGTATAATGACATAAAATTAAATTTTACAGGAACAGTAAAAACTTGAATGACACTTTTGTTTTTAATTTAGTAATTTTTACACTGTTGAAAATGAGTTGAGATTCAAATCAGCAGGCCAAAAACCTTCGGACTATTGGTTTTGTCAGCCAGCTCGTCAAATCAGGGCTTGAAACCGGTTTCGAAAATACCGGTAAATAAAGGTTAATACCGGTTTTTAGTATAGGTTTCGTTCGGAGCGCGTCCGAAATGAAAGCGGTACCTAAAACCTTAATAAACCGGTTTAATCCAGAGCGACACGTGCACGCGTCGGCATCGCTTGAAGTTTATTTTGTTTGAAATAATCAAGTCACAACTTGTTAATGCTCAGAGATTGATGCATTTATTGATACGTTTGCTAGCGTCTAGTGAATCAAGTTATTCATTTATTATCAATTCCGTCAGTAAGAGTGAAATGAAACCCTTTAAAACCTCTAAATTGATTCAAAACCTTTTGATATTTGATTTCGCTTTTTAGGTAAACCGGTTTTTTGAAGGTTAAGGTAGAGCTAAACCTAAATAAAACACTCCTAATGTACTTGACTCTGATTTAGGTTTGAAAATTAACTGGTAAACAAGCGGTGCCTCAAATATTATTTTACCTATATTGATATAATTATATTACTATTTAGTTAAAAGATTAGTGGGAACACTCACCAGGCGAATCAATTTTAGTGTAATGGTAAGGGTTAATGCACACTTCGTCCTTTTTCAGTTGATAAGAATACTCGCAATGATCGACCGGCTTCAATTCATGATGGCTCTGGAACATAACATATTACTGTTAAAGACATATTCTTGAAGAAGCAGTAAAAAGGTCAAAGTATTATATTAACTTTCATCCCTATCATTGCCTAAATTTGATGGAAGATAATGTGAGCCAGTTCAATATTCTGAATATGCAATGTTGTTGATTTTTATCAACAAAAAATGGAATTATTACTAGTTGCCAAGTTCAGTGAATAATTCTGGAATTCGTTTGGATTGAAATAAACTAATTTTGTATTTAGCTGCATCTGCAGTTGCCAGCAACCACCAATCCGTACTGAACCAGCATGGGCCAATCTCCCTGTTCCATTTATGGAGAACTGCCATAAATAAATTTAAAGATAGTATAAAAAAAGCAGTTAATAAAAAAGCTTAAAAAAATACCATTATATTACAGACAAAAATGCTTGGGTTTGAACTCTCCAATCATTCGCACAGGTTTTCTATATTAAATAAATCATAATTGTATTGACGTTGTAACAACATAATGATTTGTAAATGTTTTTGCATTAGACTTTTAATGTAGTGGAGTTTTTTTCGCTCGTTTTTCTCCGCAGTTATAAAATATGTACATAACGAGTGGTAGGGAAAGAAAACTTTTTGGACAATTCAAAAGAGTTGTACGTACTAAACGTCCAATTTGAATAAAGATATTTAGATTTCTGATTTCTGTCCCCAGCAGTGGAGATAATAATAGACTGATGATGATGACAAATCCATCACTGTAGCCTTCCCTTTTTTATAGTAAGATAGGCAAATGACTATAACCCACCTTAAGTGGTAAAAGTCTAGATAATGGTACAACAAATTATAACTACCACACCAACCATCCTCATCTTGCCAGCCTGCACAGATTTTTCACTTGTTCCTTTCAAAGGGTCCCCCAAAAAATAGGGTAAGGGAAATAATATTCCTCAATTACCTTTACCTAAATTTACTTAATATGAAAAAAACTCATGGAATAATCACCTGTAGCTGTGGCCAACGCCACAGCCTGCAGTAAACAACATGCGGCAACCCCTTGCGGTACTGTCCGTTGATGATGTTATCGTTTGGTTTAACTCTGCAAGAAAAAAAGAATTTTATTAACATTAAATTACAACTATTGTGATAATTTCAAAAATTATTCAATAAATCACTAATTTTGTGAGTTATTATTAATATTTTATATGAGAGAAAGAAAGACAATTTGATATTGGTTTGTGCTAAGGATATAAATCTGTCAAAATACATGCTTGGGGTGCTGCTCAAAGGAGTATGTTATGTATAGCTTCCACATTATCTACACCACATTATTTTTTAAAGAAGTAAGAACTATTATATTTATCATAGAAATAGTTTTAGGAATTCCTACATTGATATAGCACTAATATTAATAGCTTAGTAAAAAAAGAGAATCATATTAGGCAAGTTTGTAGTAACATTCAATTTCAGAAATCCAAATTTAAAACACAAGAAGTTAGCAATAAGAATGAATTTAACAACTCATTTACATCTTATAAGAATATTAATAGTTGTATTTTTATTAATAGTTCCACTGCTTTCTCACTTGTTCATTGAAATATTAATATACATAATTACTGTGCATTAATGGACTGCAGTCATTTAATTACAATTGTCATTATTGATATAAATAACAACGAGTGTATCATTTTATTGTATAAAATTGAAGTCACAATTGAACTAAATTGGTAAAGGAGTTTACGGCGGATCATCATTCAAGTAACATTAATAATCATGCCCTCATTAACGACAAAAACTTTATTTAGATGCATTAATAGGTATCATAATTAAACATACTATTTACCTGCTTTATCTCATTAAATGTTGGTTTAATCAAGGACGATTTGTGCACATTAACATTTAAACTCTTTAATGTTATGGAACAACACAAATGAACTGTTATTTATGGCGATTTTGCTATAAAATTGCAATAAAAAATTCACAACTTCACAAGGTCCAAAATATGTCCGCCATATTTGACAAAATACCTTCGATTTGTTTTGACGGCAATTTGACCTTTCCTATCTGCGTCCGTCTGCGGTTATGTAACCAAATTGGGGAGGTCCCCTCAAGCTCTGGGGTCAATAAACTTAGAGCACTCCGCCAAATAGTCGGTTAATACCCTCGCTAATCGTTACCGAACGAAACTGTCCCTTTTTGTTTGTTTCTCAGCAGACAATATTAATTTCATAAAAGTGCATGATTGAAAAACTTAATATGTCCCCAGTATCATTGCAAGTTGTGATAGAAATCAATTTTGCATATAATTCAAAATATACAATTTCCGAACGTAGAATTTTTTGCAAATCATACAATAATGAATGTTAGTACAATACATATAGAGACTATTATGTTTTCAACAAAGGGTTTTCAACCTTTGACGACCAATGTGATTCGGAGCAATTTTTATAAAATAATCAATAAAACAATTACCTGGGAATTGTAACACATTTTGTATGACTATTTTGACTTGAAATTGCCTTCTCTAGTTCTTCTAACGCACCACTCTTTTTTAATTTTTTCACTAAACTTTTTACTGCCTTTTCAGACCACTTATCTTCTGCTACGGATGTTCCTTCAGGACCCTTTTTCCACCCTAACAGCCGTTTTACCACAGGCGGCGTTAGCGGAAACATACCGCAATAGTTTAAACCTAAGACATTAAATTAAACTTATATAAATACAAAAATAGTTCGCGCACAATTATTACGACCTTTTATTTAGATACACTATTATCGGCCATATTGAAATCGAATGACAGTTCTCCTGTCACGTCACGTCAATCGACAAAATATATTTATCTCTGTTACACGTAGCATTTAACAAAGTCATTACGGTGATTTTATTAATACATAAGAATGATTTAGTTTACACTAGTTTAAAATAAGGTGAAGTTTATAATTGTTCATAGATAATTAAAGATATTAATTAAGAAATAATAGAGGTTACATTAAAATAATAAGATTCGCCAATATTAGCTTTCTCTTTCTGTTCATATTTACTTCTTTGTTTTCTGAAATTCATAGACAACTTTGATGAACAGTGACGTTCCATTCAAATGTATTTCAGTCAAAATCGAGAATGTACATAGTAAGCAACTCATACTCATTTTAGAAAGGCTTTACGGTTTTGCTTGCATTTAAATATTTTTTTAAGTAGGTAATTCATCAGAGCTCTTTAATAATATATTTTTAATTTCTATTGGTGATTGGCCGCTGCTATAACCCTCTTTATTTTTTTTGCATTTCGTTTTCACCTAGTCGACCAAGGACTTATGGTTTTGCAAATGCTTTCATACTTTGATATGGACATGTTTTTCTCCTTGATGACTGATGACGATTCTGGCATGATTCTCTAAACATAACAGTGTATCCTTGTCGTTGTCTTGACATAATGAAAAGGAGAGACTGACTGAGGTTTAATGTAGTTTAAAGATCAATTTTAAGCTTAGTCATGCCATAATCGACACCACTGTTGTTAAGTTTAGAGTATCATGCCAAAACTTCTGTTATTATTTGAAATATAGGCTACTGAGCTTACGGATAGAAATATATTATAACATTTACAAGTATATTTTACGTAAAAATATATCAAAAGCCATGCATAACTCAGTACAAAATATGCTCGTATTAATTACCTATGCAAACATTTGTTCCACCAGGATTTAAACCCACATCTCGAAAACTGATGTTTGTACAGCAGTTTGTACACCTTGTAAATACTATTACTAACATCACAGATAGGATATTCTTTAAAGAACTTGAATAGTTTATTTTATTGAAATCGAATCAATTTATTAAGTAGGTAGGTAATTATTTATAAATGAAAAAATGGATGCGTGTAACTTATGTACGCGCGTGAGAAGTTATACTTCTTTAGGATAATGATGCTAAAGAAGTATAACTTCTCACGAATGAATTTTTAATGAAAAATATTTTTTAATTGCATGCAAATAATTAATAATTACAAAACACATACTTCATATATGTATAAAAAATTATTGTTTTTCCTCACTCAATCTTAGTAAGTTTTTATTAAAAAATCTGATGGTTTGATTTGATGATTGATGATGGTTAGTGACCATGAAAGTTTAAAACAATATTATACTGATGGTTTTTCTCATTTAATCTAAGTAAATAAGTTTTGTAACACCATAGTATTAAATATCATCACGCCGCCCGTTACAAGATGGCGCTGTACGCATGTGAATCGCGCTATCCTATACCGACACCGATTGTATGGTACATCATAGGATCAAATATCATCACGCCGACCGCTACTAGATGGCGCTGTACGCATGTGAATCGTGCTATACTATACTGACACCACTTGTATAAGGTGTTCTTGGGAAATTGACCAAGTCATCGCTTCGTAGGTAGGGCCTATTGTCTTGCACGCTATACGCTTCCACCACGTGGGACGTCTTAGTGTCTTGATAATAGTATACATGTACTTCCACCCTTGTGGGATACAGTAATACCATTTCTCCTACAAATATTGAATAGTAATCACAATATAAGTATTTTCTACCTACGCCTATCTTTATTTGACGTCAGTCTTCTCACACTCCCCCTTCGCCCTCCCGCACATTCTTACAGTTTTATTAAATTATAAATATGAAAACAGTGATCAGAGGCGACCAGCGTCCCAACATGTGCGACTAAGAGATCCTATTACTATTTTGTTGGAAGCTTTTTTTCGAGACTTACGAGTAATGTGCGGTTTAGCGGCCGACTTCATGGTGTTACTTTTCTGTTACAGTGTTGCGCGCGCATCTTAAAATTTCACTCTCATCATTTTTTCATAACGCGCCCGCGGCTAACTTCATTATGTTACTTTTGTGTGAGAGTGATGCGCGCGCATCTTAAAATTTCACTCTCATAATTTTTTCATAACGCGGCTAAAGAAGTATAACTTCAATAAGAAATACTAAATCTATGCTGATAACCTGGTTTAATATAAATGTAATTGGCAACACCGAAAATAACCGTAGAGAAATCACTCGGCCAAGGGGAAATGCATTTTTATTCTGTAGCAGATGATAAAATAAAATAAATCTTTACAAATGATTCTTCACAGCACTATTGAAAAGTTTTACTATAATATTGCAACCATTGCTGTTTTTACTTCAAGATTAATTTAAATTTTAATTGAGAAAATGTGATGCACAGTAATCTCTATCAACCAATCAGAATAATGATTTTCGAATTGAGGCTCTTGTCTATGCTTTTCGAATGTTTTGTTTTGTTTGAAATCAAAATTGTTTTAAAAGTTTTCTTTCATTTGTTATTCTTCAAATAAAATGCCAGTTGCTATGGAAAATTGTTGAATATTTGATAAAATCTGAAGCTGATGTAAGTATTATGTCTGTTAATTTAGCTATATCACTTTATATTAGAATTTTGCATCAATATTAGGTGTGTTGTAATTTTCGCAGTTAATAGAAACACTGGCCGGATAATTTTATTTTGCGGCCAGTGTCAAAATTTATCAAGTCACTTCATACTTCATCATAGCTTGTGTTGGCTGGAAATTTTATCATAATAACAAAAGTACTGAAAACTTCACAAACTTACAACAACCTTGCTCAAAACTTTTTACAACTTTTAATCTTTGTCTATTCAACTATTTAAATAATTTTAATAATATCCAGTAGTTTATTTTTTAGATTTTTATTAATTTATGAGCATGTTTTTTTTGTAAACTTATATCTTTCTCTTTGTAAGTATTTATAAATAGATTAAGTGATTTATTATTTATATTTCAGTGCCTTTAAATATGGTTGAGCAGCAAGCCCCACTGGCAGTATGCATGGAAAATGTGAATGGTGAAGAAGTCACATTCCGCGTAGAGCCCGAGGATGACTTTCAATCTTTTCTCATGAAAGCCAAGTAAGAATTATTGGAAATTCTTATTTGTTTTAATTTGGGTAAGGTACATAATTCAGCAAAGACAGCTTGATAAGAGGGCTTTTAAACATATAAATAAATATTTCTAACACTCAGCATCCATTAGCCTGGCCTTATAGCAAGCACTGTAAGGCATGTGTTATAGAATAATAGTAAGAAATGTATAGCAAAAATGGCTAGAAATATATTATAATAATAACAATGGCTGGCAGATATTTAGGTCAACACATCCGGGAATTGCTGCCAGCCTATTTTTTAGGCACCAGTCCTGACGGCAGCGCTGGGGTGACATATTTTTTATTTAGTAAATTATACATTATTTGAATAGGTTAGTAGATTAAGGTGATTTGGATATAGTAGTTTTAAAGTGTTTGTTATATAATTTTTTTCAAAGTTTAAAGTAAATATAATAATAATAACAACACAGATCTGCAAATATATTTATTGTAGAAATATAAATACAAACAACCATATGACTTAGGTACAAATGTTTATCATATAAACATTTGCTTCTCCCATATTAAAATCTAAAGTTGCCTGGTACTTTCAATTTAATTTCTTAGCATCATCATCAACTGATGGACTTCCGCCGCTAGACAGGGGTAGGGATGGGCGATTTTAGAATAACGATGACAAGTTTGGATGCGCGTATCCGATGCGACTGGATGCCGTTGTTGGATGCCGATGCCATCTAGTTTTTGTCAACGTTACTATAACAACAGTGCCACAAACTTACCTGTGCCGGTGGAGATGTCACTAGCGGTGACCAAATTTGTCATACAAATGTCAAAATGCTATGGATAAAATTGTAGTTTAAATTTTGCCACTGGCACACAAAAGATTGTGGCACTGGACTGCGTTCAAAATCTTACGCTCTATGTGCAATTTTTTATGTAAAAATTTTGCCAGCATTCAATATTTTCAGTAAAAGTAAATATATGTTTTCGATTACATTTTCAAGTCATGATTCATGGAATCGAAGAGACACATCCACTCAAAACACGCATCTGTCGTAATTCGTATCGTATCGTATCCTGTGATACTACGATACTGACATTCACTTGGCATGACGACGACCATGACGACCTTCGTGGCCGAGTGGTTTGTACACCGGGTTTCATGATGTCGCTGACTCGAGAGGAACCCTCGTTCGAATCCCGGTGGGGGCAGATGTTTGTGTCATGAATACGAGCATTTCTACTCCAGTCATGGATATTTAACATGTATTTCTTCATAAATATACTTATATTATGTACTGTATATGTATTCTATCCGTTACCCTAGTATCCCATAATACAAGTCTTACAGTGCTAATTGGTGTGACTGTTGGAAATATTTATTTCGATCGATGCTCGCAATGATGCGATATATCTGATACCAATGCGCATCGATTTCGTAAATACTTCATAAATAAAGATTTCATAAATAATCATAAAAACGCCCATCTCTAGCACATCTCTAGGAATTTCCAAATATATGTTAACTAGCAAACCAGTGAACCAAATGTTCACCAAAACCTGATTTAAAAAAAAAATGTATTTAATTAATTGAGAACTTCGGAGATTTTGTGTGGTTTCGTTTGAAATTCGTGATTTCTCGAAAACTGGAAGTGCTACGTTACTCAAATCCGGTTTGTAGTCTTATCAGACTATTCTTAACTTATAACTTAAACATTCTCTTTATCTATCTCTTACGGTTTGGCCGCTGAAACAGCACCACAGACGGACGGACGGACTTGTCTAATAGATAAGAGATGCGCTTTTCGCATCCAGTATTTCTGTGGGTCCCCCATCTCGCTTGATATTCAGTCCACACCTGGTCTACCGACACTGCGCTTCCCAGTGCGAGGTCGCCATTCAAGCGAGCTTATTTATAATAATATATATTAAACTTTTTAAGCATTTAACTGCAAGATGTTTAAATCCAAAGAAAATTTTACTGGAAAAAAATCAACCCGGACCAGGCAGCAAACGGGACTCGAACCCTTTGCTATCCGGGCGGATGCACTGACCACTAAGCTACCGCGGCCCTGATAGCCGTGTCGAAATTTTCTGTACATTTAAACAGGTAAAAAAATAGAATTGCTATTTCTTCTTTTAAATGATTAATACTTGTAAAGGTATTCATTTCACATTGTGGGTTACCTACAATGCGAAGAGATGGCGCTGCCTTGCAGCCTAAGAAGTACTAGAGAAAATTCGACACGGCCATCAGGGCCGCGATATTAGGTCTGCGATCGTAAAAGTTGAGCAACTGTCGTAATAGACAGCCATATGATGGGTGACCAAACGTTTATAATCCCTGTCTGTTATAATGTTCCCACAGCAGGGGCACAGGTCTTCCCTATGGATGAAGCTGGGAGACTATGAAAGTGCTAAGCAAGACATGACAAATACAAAAACCAGACAAAATCCAGACGAATGTCTGTCTTTATGTTTGTCCCTCACCGTAATCACAGTTGTCTTTACGTTATTTGATTTATTGAAGGCATCTTTAGAAAGGCTATAAGATATCTTCTATTCCAGATCTATACTCGGTTTCGACGTCGACTTAAACTCAATAACTAGAAACCAACCGGTTTCATTGACCGACAATATCTATCAATTTCTATTGACATCCGAACAGTACACGCAAAATATGACAATGCAGAATTTCAGCGATATGCTGGAACCTAGTAATGATGCCAATGATTTAGTGTACATATTGGACGACGGGACACAAATTAGAGCGTCACAGATCCATTTTGACAATGAAGATCCCCAAGTAGACTTGACAGCTGAAAAGATACCTTTCGTCAAGTGCATAGATGGCGAAATTGAAGAATCCGATGAAGAAAATGTAGCTGAAAGAGATACCAAAAAGTATAACATAGTAGACAGCCCCGTATCTCGTTGGTCCAGTAACAACTCTAGTCCTAAATGCAGTTTCGTGAACAGCCTACCATTCAAATTAGTGTGCAACAATACTTCCGTTTTCGAAGCCCAATTCACAAAATATTTAGAATCCAGCACACCGAAAACTTACACAACTTTAAATCCTGTAGTTAATAGAAATAAATCACCCAGAAGTTTGATACGTGAGAATTACAAAAGCTACGATGACAAGTTCAATAGAGGCGACGATTTCTCGGGTTACACTAGAGAAGAAATACTGAATATGTTCAAAGATTCGCCGGTAGCGTCTGCTCCATACGAGAATTTCACTGACAAACGGAAGCATGCACGGAAAAGTGATCCCACAAGGTCTACGAATAAGAATTGGAATTGCAAACCTACTAACTACGAAGAAGGAATACTAATAGGGGATAACGAGAACCGAAACTGTTTCATTTGCGGAAAATTCGTCGAAAACAATATTGAAAAACTTTACCTGTTCGATACTGAGGACCAGAAGTTACACAGATCTTCGCCTCAAAAGAAATCTTCGAGGCAACTGAAGATAATTTGCGAAAGCTGTCTAGGTAAAAATTTCAAACCTTGCAGAATGAAAGGTCCCAACCAGTGCTTGAATCCGGACGAATACTTGGTGATAAGAAATAATCAGCAGTATATATTCCAGAAGACCAATATGATAGACTTCAGAGGTAGAATGAAGAATCAGGATGGTCCAGCGAAGAACGAATCGAAAACGAAGAAAAGAAAAGAGGAGAAAGTGGAATTCGTTAAGCTTGAAATAGGTTCTGATGGGGAGATTGTAACGAAACCTGTGGATAATGATCCCAGGTCTTCCGAAGACGTTGTGATAGTTAATGACGAAGGTAAAGACGATTCCAGTGATGTAGAAATCGTCTTAACACCGGAAATGGACGAGAATATTGTGGACAACTTGGACGACGCCGACGAAGATGTGAAGGAGTTTTTGGGGAAATATCAATGCGAGAATTTGGCTATTAAGGAGTTGAAGTGCAGGTGAGTTGATAAATTTCACTGTAATGAAATGAAATGATACTTTATTCAAATTAACTTCATGAAAGCTCTTTTGAATCGTGCAATATTTTATTCTACCACCTATTCAGGAGATCTTTTATTCCATTTATACTCTCTCCACTATTATAGCTATTAACGGGATTGTTACCATGTACCTTGTTTTTTATGTTCTCCGATATTTCGGCACTGTTGCAAGCGCCATGATCACAGAGTAACTCAAGTAATTGCGGGTAGATGTTATTGGCAGACATATCGTTCTACCCTCTGACGTCGCCTTTTATTGCGTTCGACACCCCTACCACAGGTCACATTCTCACTATTCACTCGCACTTGTTCGCGACACAGTGAGATATGTCTGCCAATAACATCTACCCGCAATTACTTCAGTTATTCCGTGATCATGGCGCTTTCAACAGTGACGAAATATCGGAGACTCATAAAAAACAATGTACATGGTAACACTTCTGTTAATAGCTATAATGTTAGTGACCATGAAAGTTTAAAACAATATACTCTCTCCACTATGGTTACGTTAAAATGGCTGTTTTGCGTTTTGAAGTGAAACTTCTTTACGCACGCTTGACTTGGGGGGTAAGTTTACGAACGTTACGAAAAGTGTGTTCGGGTGAGGCAAACGGGAGTTCAGTGGGGTATATAAGCAAGACAATGCAGTGCGCGCGTACATTTTCTTTCCCTCTTTCTCTTATAGCTAGTAAATGAAATATGTATATAAATAATAAATAAATATTTCCAACACTCACACCAATTAGCCTAGCCCCAAAGTAAGCACTATAAGGCTTGTGTTATGGGATACTAGGGTAACGGATAGAATACATATACTTTACATATATAAGTATATTTATATAGAAATACATATTAAACATCCATGACTGGAGTACAAATGCTCGTGTTCATCACACAAACATCTGCCCCCACCGGGATTCGAACCCGGGACCTCTCGAGTCGGCGACGCCATGAAACCCGGCGTACAAACCACTCGGCCACGGAGGTCGTCGATGTATATGTACATACACACATATACATATATGTATATATATACATACAGATGGAGCTAAAGAAGTTTCAGTTCAGTCGTGTGGTCATGAGCATACTCGATTTTAGGGTTCCGTACTTCAAAAGGAAAAAACGGAACCGTCCGTCTGTCAAGACCGTTTTTCTCAGGAACGCGTGGAGGTATCATACTGAAATTCATATTTAATACTCATGTCTACTGCCCCTTGGAGCTGTGAAAAAGTCAAGCTTCTAAGCCAAAGCAATCAAAAGATACAGTTTATGCCGCAAATTTCCGCAAATTTTCGAAACTCGCACGGGAATCAAAACCTACAGGGTACTTCCCGTGAACTTAGAATCTTGAAAGGTACGAAGTAACGTCTTATAGTACAGATAAAGGAAAAATTGCGAAAACCGTATATTTTTAGTTACATCATATAATCTTCTATACTTATAATAAATCTGTAGAGATGTCAATTCTGTACATGAAATATTTTTAAAATAACTATCAGGGGGTGATTAGTGATCGATACTGATGCCAAAAATGCAATCAGTAAAATTTTTGTCTGTCTGTCTGTCTGTGTGTATGTTCCTTATAGAAACAAAAACTACTCAACGGATTTTAACGAAACTTGGTACAATTATTCTTCATACTCCTGGGCAGGTTATAGTATACTTTTCATCACGCTACAATCAATAGCAGCAGAGCAGTGAAGGAAAATGTTGGGAAAACGGGAGAAGTTACTCCATTTTTTAAGCTTCCGTCGCGGGTGCGGGGTTAATGGTTAAAGTTACATAGAAATCATGTATGACGGAAATATTCTACATCAAATTGTCTAAAAAATATCCCGCAACAGCATATATCTATCTTTTATGGTTGACTCACAATAACACGTGTAATTATATAAATAAAGTCATTGTTTATAGCACAAGCCTGAGAACAAAAACTATAGTTTACACTACAGCTCTACACCGAAGCGAAGCGAGGGCGGGCCACTAGTAAAAAATATTTTTGAAAATTTTAAATTGAGTCTGTACGGAACCCTCGGTGTGCGAATCCGACTTGCACTTGGCCGGTATTTCTTTATTGGCGCATCTCTCACACTAGACGGCCAGACCGGCCGTGGTATTCTAATGCCCTTTCTTTATCATAATTATAACTTTTTTGTTCAGTAAATAAAACTAGTTTTTACGGGTTAATGCACGAAACTTTATTTATTTATTGACGTGAAGAACCGGCGAAACAAACTCAAGAGAGGCTTGTTTCGCCGGTTCTTCTCAGAAAGGTCTCCCAATTTTGGAACCGGTGGTAGTTAACGGTAGTTAGGGTCAAATAAATAAACTCAAAATTACAAAAAATAATTACAAAAAAGCTCATTAAAAGTCTTTCGAAGGTAGCTCGACAAATTAAATAAAAGTTTAATTCTGACGACGTAGCCTGTAAAGGCTACGAAACGTCAATAAATAAATAAAGTTTCGTGCATTAACCCGTAAAAACTAGTTTTATTTAATGAGTGATGTGCGTGAAAACCTAAGAAACAAATATTTTTTGTTCAGGTTCTGTGAGCGGCTGTTTGACAATGTGTCAGAAGTTATGCGCCACGTGAACGATCACAAACACGACTCGGATGAAGGGGTGGTGTACCCTTGTCCGATATGCGAATACGGTAACAAATATAAATAAATAAATATTTAAATCTAAAGAAAAGTTTACTAGAAAAAAATCCACGCGGACCAGGCAGCGGACGGGACTCGAACCCGCTACCTTCGCTATCCGGGCGAATGCACTGACCATTATGCTACCACGGCCCTATTAGCCTCGTCGAAATTTTCCTAGCCTTAGCCTTAAGCTGCAAGGCAGCGCCATCTCTTCGCATTGTAGGTAACCCACAATGTCAAATGTCAAATGTTTTTTCTAGTAAACTTTTCTTTAGATTTAAACATCTAGCAGTTAAATGCTTAAAAATAAATAAAATCATAAATAAATATTTCCAACACACCAATCCCCAAAATAAGCACCGTAGTAAGCCTACTTTCTTTTGAGACGAAGATCTGTGTAACTTCTGTACCCCTAGCACGAACCATTATCGAATTCGAATAGTTTGCAAACCGAAATGTCAATGTCAAATTTTGTATGGAAACTTGAACAGCAGCGGCACAAAGTACGTAACGAGAACTAAAAATCAGTACACATTTGACAATGACATTTCGGACTCGCAAACGATACGAATTCGATATTGGTTCGTGCTAGGGGTACTGCTCCTCAGTATCGAACAGGTAAAGTTTCTCGATGTTGTTTTCGACGAATTTGCCGCAAATGAAACAGTTTCTGTACCCTTAGTACGACTTTGATCTCACTAAAACTATCATAGTATTTAATATTAATATAATAATAAATAAATAATAAATATTTCCAACACTCACACCAATTAGCCTAGCCCCAAAGTAAGCACTGTAGGCTTGTGTAATGAGATGCTAGGGTAACGGATAGAATACATAAATTGATACATATATAAGTATATTTATATAGAAATACATATTATACATCCATGACTGGAGTACAAATGCTCGTATTCATCACACAAATATCTGCCCCCACCGGGATTCGAACCCGAGACCTCTCGAGATGGCCACACCTTGAAACCCGGCGTATAAACCACTCGGCCACGGAGGTCGTCAAATTAATCGTATTTGTAATTGTAAATTATGTTTCTATGTCCACTTTGGTGAAGTGTCCAAATATACTTAAAATTTAAGAAAACACAAATGATTTAATGATAGAATTTAAACACTGTTTATTTGTATTGAAACGAAAACAATAAAATCAACGAGTTTGATCTCACGAAAACTATCATAGTATTTGTAATTGTAAATTATGTTTCTATGTCCATTTTGGTGAAAAGTGTCCAAATATAAGACACTACAAGACGCCTACAGGCATTCGAGATGTGGTGTTACCGTCGCATGTTACGCATTAGTTGGACGCAGAGGGTCAGGAACGAAACCGTGCTTCAGCGCGTTCATATGTCCCGGAAAATGTTGCCTTCTATCAAAAAGCGCAAGATAGAATATCTTGGCCACGTCACGGTAATATTATCTATACAGTATTGTGACTCCGCCCTGTCCTTGAAAATAAATGCCTACACCGAACGCTAGGTTGGCACGCGGTAGGGCCGCTCGCCTACAGTATTTTATGTGGTTTTGTTTTTAACGCGAGTGTAGGTAGATTACTCGTTTGTCTCTTTTTTCATCCTAACCACTTATTTATATATTATTCCAGATATTTTGCCCGATGGAAAAACCGAAATACCTAAATATTAGAAACAAATAACGTACTAGTAGATAGGTATATTAAAAGTTAAGACACCTTTCCAATATTTCAGGTAATTTAAAAAATGATATCTCTGGGTGTGTTATTGAAGAGTTCATGCAACCAAAATCACATCGAACTCGAGTGGCGTAGGTATGACTCGCTTTCCGACCGTTTGTATGAAGATAGAATACTGTATGATATTATTACCGTGGCCACGTGCTCAGGAACAACAGATACATGCTGTTGCAGTTGATATTGATGGGCAAAGTGGACGGAAAGAGACGTGCTGGGCGAAGAAAAAAGTCATGGCTCCGGAATATCCGGGAGTGGACCGGTATTGCCTCCGTCGAACAGTTGTTCCGGCTGGCTGCTGACAGAACTACATACAGGAAGCTAACGGCCAACCTTCAGGATTGAAGAGGCACTGGAAGAAGAAGAAGAAGTCCAAATATACTTAAAATTTAAGAAGACACAAATGATTTAATGATAGAATTTAAACACTGTTTATTTGTATTGAAACGAAAACAATAAAAAAAAAAAACAACAAAAAACACGACCTTTTTATCCTTCAAAAAAAGTGTCTCCGTATTATCGTCAATATCAGACAGCAAGTAAGTTGTAAACCACATTTCATTAAAGAGAAATTGTTAACCCTTCCTTCACTGTATATCATGGAAATAGCATTGTTTGTTCGCAAACAACCAACATATTTTACATTCAATAAAAATCCGCGATATAAATTTGATTTAGTATTACCAGTGCCAAAACTAGAAATGTTCAAAAAAAAGTCATCTATACCGTTCAATTCTAATATATAATAAAATTCCGATAGAAATTAAAAGAGAAAGCAACTTAAATACATTTAAAATGAAACTCAAACAACATCTTATCAAGAAAGCATACTATTCGGTAAATGAATTTATGAATGATCAGTTAAACTGTCACGGAAAGCTCACTAACTTGTTTGAAACTGAAACTGTTTAGTAGTTGTGGTGATATAGTTATTGTACTTGCAACACCCTGACAGGGTCATGTACCATGCTAAAATAATTTTAAGATCCTATATATACTGTACATGTGCAATTAATTTAATAAATAAATAAATAAAATCAACGAGTATGAGCTCACGAAAACTGTCATATTTTTCGTAATTGTAAAATTCGTACTAAGGGTACGGTTCTCGTTATCTACTATATAAAAATAAGTCGGGTTTTCCTTCCTGACGCTATAACTCCAGAACGCACGAACCGATTTCCACGGTTTTGCATTCGTTGGAAAGGTCTCGGGCTCCGTGAGGTTTATAGCAAAGAAAATTAAGGAAAAATTAAAAAAAAAACTTCTTTTAATCACCAAACGAAATGTTACATAAAACGAAGCCATCTATCTGGTGGCGAAACGGAGTTCGCCTGGTTTGCTAGTCCCCTATAAGTATTCCTTCTTCGTAGTTAGTGGGTTTGCAATTCCAATTCTTATTCGTAGACCTTGTGGGATCACTTTTCCGTGCATGCTACCGTTTGTCAGTGAAATGCTCGTATGGAACAGACGCTACCGGCGAATCTTTGAACATATTCAGTACTAGCGGCCCGCCCGGGCGCCCTCGCTTCGCTTCGGTGTAGAGCTGAAGTGTAGACTACACTTTTTGTTCTCAGGCTTGTATTATACACAACTAGCAAACCAGTGAACCAAATGTTCACCAAAAAAAAAATGTATTTAATTAATTGAGAACTTCGGAGATTTTGTGTGGTTTCGTTTGAAATAGAAATCACGTGATTTCTCGAAAACCGGAAGTGCTACGTTACTCACATCCGGTTTGTAGTCTTATCAGACTATTCTTAACTTATAACTTAAACATTCTCTATATCTATCTCTTACGGTTTGGCCGCTGAAACAGCACCACGGACGGACGGACGGACTTGTCTATTAGATAAGAGATGACATTCATCTATGATTCTTCTTATACCTGCATGCAAAGTCTCAGCCCGATCGGTTTAAAAGTGGCAGGAATAAAGAAGCTTTATGATGGTCCGAAAAAAATTTAAACAGGCCCACTTGTTTCTGAGTTTACTCTTGATTAGGAGCTCGATGGCGCAGATGGTTAGCGCGTTCGGCTGCGATCGTTGAAGTTAAGCAACTTTCGCAGTGGTCGGTCTTTGGATGGGTGACCAAAAAATTTAGTATCTCGAACTCCTCCGTGCTTCGGAAGGCACGTTAAGCCGTTGTTTCCGATGGAGGGTCACGGCCCAATCTCCCTATTCCATCCATAGGGAAGGCCTGTGTCCCAGCAGTGGGGACATTAATAGGCTGATGATGATTACTCTTGACAAACATATAAATATTTGTTTCTTAGGTTTTCACGCACATCACTCATTAAATAAAACTAGTTTTTACGGGTTAATGCACGAAACTTTATTTATTTATTGACGTTTCGCAGCCTTTTCACGTCTGCATCGTCAGAATAATGATTTTTTATTTAAAATTGTCGAGCTACCTTCGAAAGACTTATATTGAGCGTTCGGTTATTTCATTGGAAGATTTTTAAAATTTTATTGTCTATGTATGAATTTATTATTTAATTTACTTAATAAAGTATTTTATTTAAAATTCTTGTTTGTAATTTTGTGTTTATTTATTTGACCCTAACTACCGTAAACTACCACCGGTTCCAAAATTGTTATATACCACCAGCTTGGGAACCTATTATACAGGAGATAAAATCCCAACCCCGAGCACACACTGCAAGACCATCAGATACTATTAGTTCTTTTTGTTTGCACAATTTAACATAAGAAGGAGATAGAAAGCCTCTCTTGAGTTTGTTTCGCCGGTTCTTCTCAGGAAGGTCTCCCAATTTTGGAACCGGTGGTAGTTTACGGTAGTTAGGGTCAAATAAATAAACTCAAAATTACAAACAAGAATTTTAAATAAAATACTTTATTAAGTAAATTAAATAATAAGTTCATACATAGACAATAAAATTTTAAAAATCTTCCAATGAAATAACCGAACGCTCAATATAAGTCTTTCGAAGGTAGCTCGACAATTTTAAATAAAAAATCATTATTCTGACGATGCAGACCTGAAAAGGCTGCGAAACGTCAATAAATAAATAAAGTTTCGTGCATTAACCCGTAAAAACTAGTTTTATTAAACATATAAATCTTTCCTCTGTACAATATTAGTATAGATTTTGCATTGATTTCGCCTGAAATTTTATTTGGGCACTTTCTACCTATACCTTAAGGTTTGACGACCTCCGTGGCCGAGTGGTTTGTAAGCCGGGTTTCATGGTGTCGCTGACTCGAGAGGTCCCGGGTTGGAATCCCGGTGGGGGCAGATGTTTGTGTGATGAAAACGAGCATTTGTACTCCAGTCATGGATGTTTAAATATTTATTGCTATATAAATATACTTATATATTATATACTGTATATGTATTCTATCCGTTACCCTAGTATCCCTTAACACAAGCCTTACAGTGCTTACTTTGGGGCTAGGCTAATTGGTGTGAGTGTTGGAAACATTTATTTATTTATTATTTTATTTTATTTTATTAAGGTTTTATTACTATAGAATTTTCATTGATCAATATTTTTTTAGGATATGCGAATTCCATCTGGCTCAAGGGACATTTAAAAGCAGCTCATGACAGAATTAAAAAGGAAGATATTAAAACTGTTAAAACAGAAATTGTCGAAGAAAACAACAATGGTAAGCAGATTTAGTAATTACATATTAGTTGCCGCCTGCGACTTTGTCCACTTCAAAAATATTTATTTTAAAAATAAATAGTTCATTATAATTTTAATTTTTTAAGCACATAACTGCTCGATGTTTAAAGCTAAAGAAAATATTACTAGTAAAAATTCCACGCGGACCATGCAGGAGACTGGACTCGAACCTTGCAGCTTAAGAACGGCTAGAAACAATTCGACACGGCCATCAGGGCCGCAGTAGCATAATTGGTCGGTGCATTCGCCCGGATAGCGAAGGGTGCGGGTTCAAGTCCCGTCTTCTGCCTGGTCCGCATGGATTTTTTTAGTAATATTTTCTATAAATAATTAAAGAAAATTAAAATAAATATTTCAAAGAGAGCTCGCATACAACTGACGTGATTTTTGGCTCGATATTTATTTATTTATTTAACAAACTTTATTGACCACATTAAAATGGTACTAAAGGTGCTCTTAATGCTAAGAACATTCTCTACAAGTCAACCTTAAGTAAAAACCATAAACACGAACGGCGGCATAAAGCTAAAAACATAATAAATAAATGTAGATTCAACATACATACATAAATATATAATCATAATCATTTATTTCGTAATAAATTACACGTCAATAATAAACATAGCAGAAAATACATAAAGTACTAAGTAATCATTCAATTAATTCAATATTTCAAATTATATAAAAGTACATTACGGAGTCAAAACAATTAAAATACAATATTTTTACGAAATGTCAAATACAAATATGTCAAAATACAAATGTCAAATAGAAATAATAAAACAAAAAATAAAATGAATTAATAAATTAATAATCATTCAATATTATAAAACATAATTAGTCCAATTAATGTAAGGATCTATCATTTAAAAATTCATCGACACTATAAAAGGTTCTGTCAATGAGTCATAATTTTAATTTATGTTTAAAATTATTAAGCGACTTGACGTCAGTGACCAACTTAGGTAACAAGTTATATACCGTCGAACCCATGACATGAGTTAGCCTGCCCGATTTGACCATATAAAGAAGTACATACATATATAACATAATAATGTCTAAATACACGTACACAGATATATCTATTAGTCTGATGATGATTAATAAAGTGGCTTGCCTATCTTAAGTTCCATATATAGTGTCGAATGGCTCAATAACACTTGGTCGCTAGCCCGAATACGATTGCCAATAAATATAAATAAATATTTCCAACACACACCAAATATGTTTTTTTTTTAAGCATTTAACTGCTAGATGTTTAAATCTAAAGGAAAATTTACTAGAAAAAAATCCACGCGGATCAGGCAGCGGACGGGACTCGAACCCGCATCCTTCGCTATCTGGGCGAATGCACTGACCATTATGCTACCACGGCCCTATTAGGGTTCAGGTCCCGTCCGCTGCCTGGTCCGCGTGGATTTTTTTTTCTAGTAAACTTTTCTTTAGATTTAATCACACCAATTAGCCGATCGGCTTTCGGCTTTCTTTCTGTATACGGCCTAAGGCTTGTGTTATGGGATGCTAGTGTAATGAATAGAATACATATACTGTACATATATAAGTATATTTATATAGAAATACATATTAAACATCCATGAATGCACGTATTCATTACACAAACATCTGCCCTCACCGGGATTCGAACCCGAGACCTCTCGAGTCAGCGACACCATGACCACTCGGCCACGGAGGTCGTCAAGTAATCCGGACAAATGACTAAGTGTAAATAACAAAAGGATGTGTGTTTCTTAGACTTTTTTGAAGTGTATTGTTAGTCATTTACCTTAATTAGCTAAGTTTAACAAACATTCGCGGTAGACGTTTTTAATGTAAATTGCAATTATAAGGTTTATGTCACAGAACACAGAAAGGGCTTGAAAGGGTTAAATAGACCGTTTGCACAGGAACCGATGTCGCCGGCTCGCTCCCAGTGCACTTTCACCTAATAGATAATAGCCATGTTTTTATTTATTTTTAAGCATTTAACTGCTAGATGTTTAAATCTAAAGAAAAGATTACTAGAAAAAAATCCACGCGGACCAGGCAGCGGACGGGACTCGAACCCGCACCCTTCGCAATCCGGGCGAATGCACTGACCATTATGCTACCACGGCCCTATTGGCCGCGTCGAAATTTTCCTAGCCTTAAGCTGCAAGGCAGCGCCATCTCTTCGCATTGTAGGTAACCCACATTGTCAAATGAATACTTTTACAAGTATTAAACATTTGAACAAGATAATAGCCATTCAAACGACGCGACATCGAACAATCGAACCAATCAGCGATCACACCCGAGAGCAACGACGTAATCAGAACCAAGTTTTGGTCAATTTATGAGCATTTGTTCACACATGACTGTGGCGCGCCTGCCCCGCCCACAAGGCCCTTCTAATCACTTTCTGTGTTCTGTGGATATAATAATACCTAATGTTTATAAAAAAACGAGTGTGCTTATGACCACACGATTGAAGTGAAACTTCTTTAGCTCCATCTGTATGCATATATACAGGGTGTGACAAAAGTCCGAAATGTGAAAAAACTTTAGGGTTTGGTTGTGTTCCTTGTATAGAATTACTTACGAAAGTTTGACGCCTTTCAGACCGAGTGCTTATGACGACACGACTGAAGTAAAACTTCTTTAGCTACATATATATATGTACAATGTATACACGTATTTACATGTACATATTTCTAGCTATAATACAAAGAGAAAGAGAAAAGGCCCTTCTTACCTCTTTCTTTGTTCTGTTGTTTATGCAACGAATTAGAAATAATATGGAATACGAACTGCGCTAAAAAGTGGTTGCAGGAAAACTGCAACCAAGTGGGCGGGGCGAAAAACACCTCGATCATTGGATTGGTTGAGATTTTCGTTGGACATTATTTTACCCAATAAATGGATATCCGAATTCTTTTGCAGATATTTGATTTGTCAAAGTATTTTGTTTTGAAGTTTTGTTGTATGAGTTTGGAATCATGTTTTAGCGGCTTTTTTTAGAGAGAAATGCTCCCATATTTATTTCTAATTCGTTGGGTTAGTGTTCAAATATTTTTTATAGACAAGAAATTGGAACCAAAAAACGCATCACCTGTAGCTAAGAGAACCAGAAGTAGTCTCAAGAAGAACGAAGATTCCACAAATGATACAAAAGGTATGCAATATAATGCGATTCGACTAAGAATAGGACCGACTGGGCGCCATATTGTGAAGTCATAGCTGTCAATTCAAACCAAATAGGTAGAGTGAGCAAAAAAAAAGTTTTTATTTAATTAAACTTATTTACTAAGATTAAGTGAGAAAAAGCATCAGATTTTTTTAATAACATTTATTTACTAAGATTGAGCAAAAAAAATCCACCGATTTTTAATAATATTTATTTATTAAGACTGTGAGAAAAAACATTAATCAGAATCTAGCTCTTCTATTCCGCTCATCTCTGCATTACTGGCGGAGTAGTTATGAATAATCATGCACTATTACTAGGGCACATACGAACATGCATTCTTTATGTAAACGAAAGTTTGAAATCTTGTTTCTGAACGCAACTTAAAGTGACATTTGGTTGACGATTTATGTTATCAACCATTCATGGCCAAAGCTCAATAAGTGAAAAAAAATATCAACCGATATTAATTATCATTATTTGTTATTGTTTGCTTACAAATGTTGGTTTTTATTCTTGAATTAGCAGAGTGCTAAAAAAGGATTCCAAGTTTTTTTTTTGCAAACCGTACTTTTCAAGCGACATTTGACAGATAGAGGCTTATTGGCTTTCCTATTCTTATTTGAATCGCATTATAGGTGCCACCACTTTGCTTGGCTATTCGTGTTTGCTATTTGTAAACCTGACATAAGCATGTCCTTTTCATTCCTTATAAAGCATTATAAGGTCAGAATGTTAAGAGGCAAGGTCTTTTCCATACAATACAACGTCTCGACTGATTTCTCCTGCCACTGACTAATATTATAAAGGCGAAAGTTTGTGAATGTGTATGTTTGTTACTTCGTGACGTCTAAACGGCCGGAGCGATTTTGATAAAATTTGGTATGGAGTTAGCTGACACCCTGGATTAACACATAGTCTACGTTTTACTGCGGGAAAATATGTTATTCCCATGGGAAAATCGATGAAAATGAATTTGCGGCAAAAAACCCGCGGTTTATTAATTCCGCTGCGGGCGCAACTAGTAAAATATAAATTTACTCATTTTATGCTCCTACTAGCGGCCCGCCCTCGCTTCGCTTCGGTGTAGAACTGAAATGTAGACTACAGTTTTTGTTTTCAGGCTTGTATTATACACAATGACATTCATCTATGATTCTTCTTATACCTGCATGCAAAGTCTCAGCCCGATCGGTTTAAAATTGACAAAGTTTCATACAAACTTTCATTCCCTATTTCATCCCCTGGGGGTAGAATTGATCAAAATCCTTTCTTAGCGGATGCCTACGTCATAACATCTACCTGCATGCCAAATTTCAGCCCGATCCGTCCAGTGGTTTGGGCTGTGCGTTGGTAGATCACTATGTCAGTCAGTCAGTCGCCTTTGAGTTTTATATATATAGACGTCTTTCTTTTGTCTTTAAGTTGTGTTTTGAAGAAACTAAAAGCCTTAAAAATGACGAAATTAAACAAATTTTCATCACCACTAAAGACCTCTAGTGTGTGCGTAGTATTTTTTCTCCGTTTTCGCAACATTAATCGATGCTCCGCTCTAACTGTACCCCTAGCACGAACCAATATCGAATTCGTATCGTTTGCGAGTCCGAAATGTCATTGTCAAATGTGTACTGATTTTTAGTTCTCGTTACGTACTTTGTGCCGCTGCTGTTCAAGTTTCCATACAAAATTTGACATTGACATTTCGGTTTGCAAACTATTCGAATTTGATAATGGTTCGTGCTAGGGGTACTGATCTTGGTATGATGTTATCTATACATCTTCTATACCGTAAGTGAGGGTTTAGCTTGCTTTAGCTCGGGGGGATAACTTTTCCTCAAATCAGAAAAAATATTGAACTTGCCGCCCCATCAGTATCTCTTGGGTGACCGTAATAGTTCCAGTTAAAAATCACAGATAGCCATATAGGCGCGTAGTGTGGTGTTGTTTTACCGACATCGTTCCTGTATCAAGTTGTCATTATAACGCGGGATTTTTGTAACTGAAATAGTTCGCAAGTTCATGCGCAAACTTTCTCAAAACTGTGGTTTTCGGTAAGTTTACTATTTTTTCTAAATTTAAAGTTATATTTTTTATTTAACATAATTATTTTTGGGCAAAAACATCCATTCGTGTATTCAGTATGCTAATGGTGATCTGTTATAAGGGTCACTTAACCCCAACATGGCTTAAAATGAGATTTTTCACAGAGAAAACTCAACGAGCTAAAGTAACCCTCCTTAAGGCCAACTTTGGCCCAAAATTAAAAAAATATATATTAACCCTTAAATATTACTTTTTCCTATTTTCGTATGATAACTTTGTAACTTATACTTTAAAGTTCGCAATGGAAAGATATAAATGTGACATATTCATCACAAAGAGAAGCTACAATTTTATTTGAAAAAAAAAAGTGCACATTTTAGCTCAAAGTAACCCGCAGTTACTCGGTACATATAAATAGAATTGTAGTGTCTGTTTGTAATATTGAAATAACTGCTTTTTACTACAACACCAAAATAACATTTTTTACAATTTTTGTCTGTCTGTCTGTTCCGGCTAATCTCTGTATTTGACGGGACTTTTATTCGCGGGTTGCTGATGTAATAAGGAGTAACTTAAGTTACTTTATTTTAGAAAAAAAAACTAAAAATTAACGCGGACGAAGTCGATAAATGCACTGTTCAACCACAGAGCAACACGGCCGATGCGGCCAGCGTTCAACAGAAAAAGATTTTTTCAAATTGGACCAGTAGTTCCTCAGATTAGTGCTTTTTTTTGAGTGCTGTATGCTGTTGGTCGCAGATGACCTTTACAGCGTCACCGGGTTTGGGGGCGGCGCGGCGGCGAGATCCTAAAGGGACCTCAAGCCGAGAATTGGCGAGTGTCTCTTGAGGTATTCCAGGCGGATGGCATCTCCCCACGGGGGGAGTCTCCTCTCCGTCTGGAGCCTCTGGACCACTCGAACCTGAGGGGTCAGATCAGCTAGTTTACACAAAGAAACTGACCAACAATCAAATTCTTCAGCTTCATATAATAGGCTAGTTTACTCATGTCGAATTGTATTAAATAAATGTTTATTTCATAAAGTGTTTAGTCTAAGGAACCTTAATATATCGATTTCACTTTATAAAAGCAGACGATTGCTGTAGAAATTTAATTTTAGAAAATTTTTTCTTAGTCTATATTTTTTAAACACTAAAAACGCTGTTCGCCACATTCGCCATGATTTTGACGTCTCTTGTGGTAAACAACTAAATGTCATTCGCGTGTTACTGTAGGTGGATTCTTTCGTCTGACTAAATTTATCTTAAAACACTTTTAACTTTAGGAAAGAAAAAAACAGTAAACTTAGTTTTTTTTGACTAAACAAATTATGGATGCCGGCTTTGTGAAAGCAGAAAGCACAAATCTGCCAAGAATTGACGCATTGATGGTTGGTGAATTTGTTGCACTAAACTCCGATTTCTGCTCTGCGGAGCAGAGAAACGACAAGGCATCTATGTAAGTACAGTGCATTTAGTATTACAATGTAGTAATAAACATAAAACTGATACAACATATGAATAAGTGTAACAAAGTTGCGTAGGTTAATTTCTTTCCGCACTTTAATCCACAACTTTCCTGGAGTCTTCAAGGATGTGTTTTTATATTCTCGTACAATACAGTAATGATAATTACTTTATTTTTCGTGGTATTTATTAGAAATCATGTTTTTTTTTATTATAAACTCAGTTAAAAGTAATTTTCTACGTGTTTACGAGTTTTTGTTTACCACAGTTCACGTCATAGCATAGACAATCTATAGACTAAAATGGCCGACAGCGTTTTTGTATGTCCATGAAAAGTCTATTTTAAAATTAAAGATTTGTAGCTTTCTAGGTTTAAAAAAAATACAATACATTTTTTTTCGGTCTAATAGAACATTTATTAACCATTTAAAACCTTTTTCCAAAAAGGGTCAACTAGCCTATTAGTATAGATAAAAGATTTGTGAATTTTATGCTGTTTCTCTTGTGTGAAACAGGAATTGTTTTTCCATACGGATAGACAAGGGACACTATACTATACAGCCTAAGTTAAAACTTATTCTTTATGTTGTAGATAATGAATTAAAAACAGAGGAAGAAGAAGAAGAGAAGAAACCGAAATCTACAGAGGAATCGGTATGTTGTTTTTTTATTACACATAGAGTCTATTACAGTGACGCTTATATTATAACATTTTGTTATAAAAAGCTTATTAGGTATCGAATATGCCGAAGAAATGGTCTTTACGAAATCCTCTAGACTATAAGTAGATCTTCGAAGTTATGTTTTAGGTAATATTTTCAATTAAATAACACTTAATCACAAACGCACAAGCCTGTGATAAAGCGTTATTTAATTTGCGTTTTTTATTTTTTCTAAAAGCTTTTATTTAACATGCAATGTATGTATGTATGTATGTATTATTAGGTTAGTTCCAGAAGTTAAAACACAATGTTAATTTTCCACTTGCTCATAAAATACGTCACGCTAAAATCAGCCTTTTCCGACCCCCTCCCCTCCTATTGTCACGCTGAGTCACACTTTCTGTGACCCCTCTTGAAATATTCCGTCACAAAATCGGAGACCCCCCCCCCCCCCCCCCCAAGTATGATTAATTTCAATTGATAGTACACAAATTTTAAGAATTTAAATATTTATTTAGTTTTTACAATAAAATTTAAATATATAAATACGCGCTAATGTCGAAAAATAAACATCAAGTTACAATTTATTGTATAATAAAACTATATACGTTTGAATGTCTATCTATATGTTTACTAAATACGAAATAAATGATTTTCTATTTTGATGAAAATTGAGAAAGAAAAATAGTCGAAAGAAATACTAATTTAAATAATTTAGCAAGACCCCCCCCCCCCCCCCCTGTATGCGAACGTATTTTATGAACGGCCCCCAACTTGTACTTCACTATAATAAAAATTATTAAAACAAGAATATTTAGCAGCAACACCACATTAAATTTTGGAGCACTATTCACGACGAAGGCTCTCGATAATAACGTATTTATGAACGCTCCACTCGCTAGTCCGTTCCCCCTTCACGTCACGTGATAAGATGGTGGGGAGGTCAGGTGATGTGGTGTGTAAATCACTAACAAACTGGCATAGACAAACTGAGATGAAATAATAACTGTACTATTGACCGATCTGTAAAAAATGCTAATATTATAAAAATGCTAACAATATTTGTTTCTTAGGTTTTCACGCACATCACTCATTAAATAAAACTAGTTTTTTACGACGTTACGACTACTAACTAATAAATAAAGTTTCGTGCATTAACCCGTAAAAAACTAATTTTGCTAACAATATGTTTGAATTGAAATTTGGTGGAATCTTGCAACTCAGTTTGGTAGCAGATGTCTTCATTCGATTGAGCTGAAATTTGTGGACACGTTTAGTTTAGATGATAATGCATGGTTAGCTGTGTGACGTTATCCTAATCCAATATGGCGGAACATACAAGATGGCGTCCTAGTTATTTTTGATGCACTGCTACAATATAGGTATCACATGAAAGGTGTTACTGAGAATAACTTAGAGAATAGCACTATCATCATCAGCCTATTAATGTCCCCACTGCTGGGGCACAGGCCTTCCCTATGGATGGAATAGGGAGATTGGGCCATGACCCACCACGCGGGCCCAGTGCGGATTGGCGGGTGCTAACGACTGCAGATGCAGCCGGAACCAACGGCTTAACGTGCCTTCCGAAGCATGGAGGAACTCGAGATAGATGTTTTTGGTCACCCATCCAATGACCGACCACAGCGAAAGTTGCTTAACTTCAACCATTGCAGCCGAACGCGCTAACCACCTGCGCCATCGAGCTCCTCAATAGCACTATGGCGGCAGTTTAAACAGGTCAATTTAGCTTGAATTGGATTTCAAGTGACCAAAATATACTTTCAAATTAACCAACATTATAGTTTTTAACGGGATTGCTACCATGTACCTTGCTTTATGTGATTCCCCTTTATTTCGGCACTTGCAACTAGGGTTGCCACCCGTACTTTATTATAAAGTATTATACGTTATTTCGGGTAATTGAACTCTATAGTTTATGCCGACAATAAAGTCCGCGAAAATACTTTATTTAATGTGGTTTGATTACTCGGGGATTAATTTTGAAAAGCATATAAAAAAGAGATTGATTGAACAGTTTTGCTTAAAACGGACAGACAGTATGTATAAATAATATGTCGCTCTTAGCTCATTTTTGCAACATTGTCGTGGCTGATGTATAGCCATACCTTGATCTTTCCTGTTGCGGAAAAAACTACAAATTTTTAGTGCTAAAAGCTATGTGCAATATATATTTAAGCTTACAAATAAAGTGGAATAAAAAGTACTTTATTTTGGACACAATGTACATTTTTTTTCTACTTTTAATATCCAATGTTCTTTATACCATCCATCCATAATACTACCATCAAGTCAGCATTATTATGTTATTGTGAAAATCTGACGGATCAATGGAGCATTACTGGTTGCACTGACAATGAGGATAGTGCTTGACATTAATTTTTGTTAAAACATATAATATTTATTTGAAATGCTTACCCTATTTATATTATATTAATATTGACGTTTTATGATATACTAGCCGTGCCCCGCGGTTTCACCCGCGTTTTTCTCGTTTCCGTGGAAATACCGAGATAAAATATTCGTGATAACTTTTAAACGAAATATCCGATTGAGATGAAACAAAAAGTATTTTACTTCTACATAAATACTCTTGATAACATAATGCTTAATTTCGATAAAGATTAATAATACGATACATATTTAACGTAGTTTTTTTTCTTCAGACGATTTAATAATTATTTTGAACACAAAATCGGTTATTGTGATTAAACCATAATAGCTAGATATATGTTCTCGCGGACTTTTTTGTAGGTTTTAATGAGATCTATAAACCCGTAGTACATCATTTTGTTCTATTGTCAATAGTTTTTGCAGGGCACGCAAAAATAAGTTTTCGATTTTACACTTTGTGTTACAAAATAGCAATTTTATAACGGATCCCTAATTTTGAAAAAAAAAATAGCCTATAGCCTTCCTCGATAAATGGACTACACGACACTAAAAGAATCATTCAAATCGGACCAGTAGTTCCAGAGATTAGCGCGTTCAAACAAACAAACTCTGCAGCTTTATAATATTAGTATAGATTATGACAATTATTTAAAATGTGTGAAACTGAAAAATGTAAATGTGTGATAAATGTAATTGCTTTTTGTCGTTTTTATCACAATGAATAAATAAAATAAAATAAATAAATTATTTGGACAAAAAAAAGGTGGCAACCCTACTTGCAACAGTGGCGTAATATCGGGGCAATCCCGTTATTGTGTATAAAGTTCGTGGTCTATTTTGTACAAACAAAGGATCCACCACACATTGTGATCAAGACTGAAGTCAAACAAGAGGCTTTGGAGAGCAGTGAAGACGAGATCTGGATAGTCCAGACCGGTGATGAGCCCACTGACCAGCTGGAGAATTTGATTAACGCTGCAGCAAAGGTGAGATTTTTGCTTTAAACTTTCATAGCCACTAACATTATTATATTGTTTTAAACTTTCATGGTCACTAACATTATAGCTATTAACGGGATTGTTACCATGTACACTCGCGGAAAGACCCGCTCTGTCACCCATAATGCCATAATCGCTTGCGGTAGCGGCGTAGTAAAAATTCATTCATAGACATGTAATTATCGCCGTCTCACTTTTTCGTATAGCGCTGTCGCGATCAAGATGCGGATGACAAATTGCAACTAAAACAAATGCAAATCAATTCATTATTCAATCAATGAAATGCTCTCTGTCTTACTTTTGTGCGGCGGCCCGGAATGGCGCGTCCGACGCGAAGTAAAAACTACTGTAGAAAACCGTTCAAAGCATTTTGTTGGCCAAGTGACAGAGCGCAAAATTCCGCGATAGTACCTTGTTTTTTATGATGCGCCATGATCACGAAATAACCAATACGATGAATGACGTATCACGAAGTTACTCCGTGATCCGTGACCGTGATGGCGCTTGCAACAATGCAGAAATATCGGAAAATCATAAAAAACAAGGTACATGGTAAAAATCCCGTGAATAGCTATAACACTAACATTATGCCTTAATTACATTTGGTCGTTAGACAGTATTCGGATGCACGAAAGACATTACTCGAATTCGGGCAACCGACGCAGTATTTACACTGGAATACTGGCTGGAAGACAGTGTCGGGTAAACAAAAGGAAATCTACCCTGATACGGGCGTATTCGATTCCTTTCATTTAGACTTAGTCGTTTACCCGAATTCCAATAGCACTTGATTTCGGACCAGCGACCGAGTGTAATGGCGCCATTAAAGTACCTAATAAGTGGAATTGCTCTCTTATTTCTGGCGAATATTTTTACAAGCATGAACCATGTTCTCGAAATAACAGTTACTCCGGTTATAATTATTTGTTCTCCAGGGCTTCTTAGAAGTAAATGAAATAGTGTAGCTTTTATTACTAATTACTTTTATTACTAATTACTTATATTCTTAGATTAAAACAAAAAGGGAAGATACGGCACTCGCGGCTCAAAAGTGATCCGCCTAAATTGTGGTGCATGACCACAATTCGCTTTAGACACAATTGGACATTCAAACACGCTGCATGTGCAATCAATCAAATAACAAATGCCTCGCCAACATTTCTTTAGATTTATACATTTTTCAAGTTAAGCGTGGTGATATCTACTGTTCCTTTCTATGTTAATTAATAAATATTTCTGTTTCAATGTAGAATTGTAAGAAAGAACCTTCAATCATTGCGAAGAAATTGATGCACAAGTGTTTCGTGTGCAGGTAATTTGTATATTAAATTCTTATTACTATACTTCGATTTTTACTCTTCCTATATAATACTCTTTCCTATATCATCCTCATAAGCCTATTAATGTCTCCACTCCTGGGACACAGGCCTTCCTTATGAAAGGAATAGGGAGAATGGGCTATGACCCACCACACGGGCCCAGTACGGATTGGATTGATTATTGGTGCTAACGACTTCAGATGCAGCCAGGACCTCCGGCTTTACGTGCCTTCCGAAGCTTGGAGGAACACGAGATAGAAGATTTTTGGTGACTCACCCAATGACCGACCATTGCGAAAGTTGCTTAACTTCAACGATCGTAGCCGAACGCGCTGTAGGAAGGCCAAAGGGGATGATCTTCCTCCGAGCTGGGTGATGGTAGCTCGGGGGCCCCAGCCTGGCTTGGTCGAGGATTGTATATATGGAGTGTTAGCCTCCGAATTTCACTTGCGTGATGTAGGCTTCCATACGTTGTGAGCGCAGCGCCGGTAGCGACATCTCTTGAGGTGACGAGTGATTATTCCTTCATGTTGATTTTATGTGGGGCATGTAGTTGTCGCCGCCACAGCGCTAACAACCTGCGCCATCGAGCTCCTCTTATATCATCATCAGCCTATTAATGTCCCCCACTGCTGGGGCACAGGCCTTCCGTATGGATGGAATAATGTGCGGACCTTTGACCGTAATGAATTGGTGCTAACGACTGCAGATGCAGCCGGGACCGACTGCTTAACGCGCCTTCTGAAGCACGGAGAAGCGAGAGTTGTAAAATGTTCGGTCACCCATCCAATGACGGTCTATTGCGATAGGTGCTTATCTTCCACTTCAATCAATCAATACTTTATTGCGTTTTACAATGTTTTCTTGGATTTATGTAGGTACATTGATTTGATTATTGTAGACCCTGACCAGGGCACAGCAAACACAGAATAGAGAAGAGGACGCATTTACAATTTGTAATTTAGTTAATTGTAGGTTAGGTACCTTTACAATGTGTTAGTTAAAATACGAAACTCTTTTTACCTAATGAATAAAAATTTACCAATATCAATATTATTCAAACATTTTAGCTCAAATTATATTATTTGATTTATTATTAGGTATGTCATATTATATAGCATATTAAATTCAATTATATTACTTAAATAGAAATAAAATAAAATAAATCTTCAGGTATAATAAAATAATAAAGCATTGTAAATACCGTTGCATAATATTAATAGCCCTTGCTGAGTTTCTTGCCATGTTCTTCTCAGTGCAAGTTCCCCCGTCGTAGTTTTGCGAACTGATGACGTAGCTTCTCGATCTTCACAAGTGCTTGTAACAGCCTAGACTGAATAAATGAGAACGCGCTGACCACTGCGCCATCGAAATGTGGTACAGGCAGTCCTCGTAATTACGGTATGTGAGGTTCTCGAAATACGCGACGTAAATCGTAACGACGTAAGTCGAGACATATTTTTCCATATGTTTATATGTAAAACTCCACAACGGTCTTAAAATGTGTTGTTTAGACGGCATATTTATATTAAAATTCACGTAAATATGTATGTAAAAACAAAAACTGTCAAGGATGCAAAAAAAACAAATGTATTACGTCTTGATTATCCTTTGTCCCTGAACAAACTAAACAAAATCTGCAGCATGTGCGGGGTAATCCCCGCTCGCCGACACCCCGCCCTGCCAGCCCCTCCTACGCCGGAAATCGAAACAATTGACGTATTGCTTGAGGAATAGTGTCAAAACATTGTTCGACGTAACTTGAAACGACGTAAGTTGAGGACTGCCTGTACTTCATAGAACTCATGGTCGTACTATGGCTCTTTAGTTTTTAAGTTAACTAAGTGGGTACTCTATTTTTTTTTGCAATAATAAATAGAAAAAGACAACGCCTGATTTAATGAAGCATTAGATTTTATTGACATTTCTGAGTTCAGCCAGTAATCTACAGCAGTAAGTTAATGTGTTTAGTCGAATATTCGCGAATGAAGAGACATTGCGCACACACAACTGCCGTCGCCGCGGCAGAAAGAGAAAGTCGCCGAGTAAAGAGGATAGCGCTATACATGTGTCAACACCACAGGATCTTGTGAAGGTATAAGTAGTTCTGTAGACCAATTCGCTAACCGCTTTTGACCTTAGATAAAAACAAAAAGGGAAGATTCAGCACTCGCGGCTCAAAAGTGATCCGCTTAAATTGTGGTCCATAACCACAATTCGCCTTAGTCACAATTGGACATCCAAACACCATACATGTGCACTCAATATAATTGGTCAGGGTTACCTTGCTAGTAGTATTCTTATCTATTGTCACTTGATCAAAAACGCCTTAGATTGGTGGTGACGTCACACAGTGGTAAATTCCGGCTAAAATGACATTGCATTGAATCATTTGACGTTTTAATGACAGTCGTGTGTCGTCATATACCTGTGAGACGCCATATTGTCTAGAGAAAAGTTTTCACGGCAACTTGAAAATGAGTTTTTGATGTGAAACATCTTTTGGCTCACGTAAAACCGATTTCTGGCGACGCTCGTCCGTAAAATGCAATATATACCAGTGCTCAACTACTCGCCGATCAGTACTGCGCCTGCGCCCTTTGAGAAAATGCCTATGTCATTATTTACCGCACGCATCCCGAGCAATTCTCCGAGTGTATTTAAATACAGTGTTTCAGATCTGCCAGGCGTCCCGTGACGGCTCACATTTTTTTATTTAGTTGTTTTTCTGAAACATACAACAGAATTATAAATATCGACTTCATATGGACTTCATAAACATTAGTAAATAACGTGAGATCGTTTTCTAAAACTTGTCAAATACACTATTCGAGCGGCAAGTTCGCTATGTTTTAAAAATCAAATCAAATCCTTTATTGCACCATGTTGTTACATTGATCTTTGATAGAAATTTAGAATTAATAGATATAAACATGATCCTGCTAGGGCATTGCAAATACTAAATAAACATAAACATTTTCTTAACATCATGTACATCTCTTATCTAATAGACAAGTCCGTCCGTCCGTGGTGCTGTTTCAGCGGCCAACACGTAAGAGATAGATAAAGAGAATGTTTAAGTTATAAGTTAAGAATAGTCTGATAAGACTACAAACCGGATTTGAGTAACGTAGCACTTCCGGTTTTCGAGAAATCACGTGATTTCTATTTCAAACGAAATCACACAAAATCTCCGAAGTTCTCAATTAATTAAATACATTTTTTTTTTGGTTTACATTTGGTTCACTGGTTTGCTAGTATTCTATATTAACATTATTTTATTGATTGTCACTATTAAAAATTATCATTATTTAGTAATAACTACCACTCATAGATGTACTTTTTCATTATTCAGCCGGATAAGATCCGGAAAACAGTACGAAAATCCGGTCATGTCCGAGTAAATCTAAACGAATGGTAACCCTATCTGTTGTCTGTATCTCTTATCTGTTTTTTCTGTTTCTTCTTTCATTCATTAAATTTTTGCCGATTTATTTTTTTCATTTAGTTTACTACAAGTGTATTATTTATTTACAGAGAGCTGAAGTAAGATCCAACTCAGAGAAACAGCCGGAAAACGAAAATCTTCTTGTAGTTGTAAGTACATCTAGTTACCATATAATAGGGGTGATGACGGGGTACAGTAAACGAAATTCTATTTAGTCCGTCAGTTAGATGATCAAAAATTAATGGACACGTATTTTTTCTTTGGGCAATCAACCAAAAAATGACAAAGTTATAGCGCGTCGAAGTTTGGGAGTAGGGGCTCGTGACGTCACTATTGAGTGAAAATTGTACTTTTCAAATCAATATATCTCTGCAATGTTTATATTATGTGAAAAAAGAAAAAATACGCGTCCAATATTTTTTGATAATCTACCAGATAAAAGAAGAAAAAAAAGTTAGTCATCATCCCTATTTTTTACTTTTACTCTAAGTAACACAATTTCAATCTGGCTTTAAACCACGTATAGACTTGCCTTTTTTGAAATTAATATTAAATTAATTAACATGTTTAATATTAATTTTGAAAAGACCTTAAGCAACGCAACTAGTTAGCCGCGAATTAATTTTGCTTGAAACCGTGTGAGGGTGTCATGTACCTATGTGTGATAGACTTTGTTCAACTTTATTTTAACATTTACAGTTTGTAAGTAAATAGAAAATGGCATGCCACCGATGCTTTTTAGAAGTATTTACCATCAATTTATTAAGATGAACGTAGGTTGTCACGCCATTGTTAGTAACAGTCCATAAAACAAGCAGAAATCAGTGTCGTCTTTTATCGAAAATCTAGTCGTCTATAACGAAATCGTAGAAAAATAGCACAAATGAGCAAATCAAAGAAAAACATTCGCATTGCCAATGTCATAATGACAGACCACTGACAGACACTTATAATGACATAAGTTGTCATAAGACGTTAGTTACGTGACCATTTAAAAATCGGATAGGTAATCAATGTTTTATTTTATTAATAAAACTAGCTGACCCAGCGAACTTCGTACCGCCCTAAAAAAATAGGGGTTGTCCAGCATACAAAATTGTGAATCTAAACCATTCTCAGATCCCCTTGAACACACACAAAAAATTTCATCAAAATCGGTCCAGTCGTTTAAGAGAAGTTCAGTGACATACACACTCACAGAAGAATTATATATATAAAGATAATGTTTTGTCTAAGATTTGGAGTTAAAAAAAACTCCAATTTAAACGTGTTTTTTTTTCTTACAATTTATTAACGTTAAAAACATTAGTTTATTTGAGCAATTTAAGCAGTGCTTCAATAAAACATTCAACTCATAATTAGTTAAATGGATTGTTTTGAATATAATATCAAATTACGTTCCGTTATACGCTGAACGCTACGTTCCTTTATACGTTAAAGGTTTTATACTATTTTGAGTTTCACCACTAGCTAAAAAAATACTTTTTATCTTATATTACTTACTTTTTAATGCCTAACATAATATGATGACACAATTTTGACGACCTCCGTGGCTGAGTGGTTTGTGCGCCGGGTTTCATGGTGTCGCCGACTCGAGAGGTCCCGGGTTCAAATCCCGGTGGGGGCAGATGTTTGTGTCATGAATACGAGCATTTGTACTCCAGTCATGGATGTTTAATATGTATTTCTATAAAAATATACTTATATATGTACATTATATGTATTCTATCCGTTACCCTAGTATCCCAAAACACAAGCCTTACAATGCTTACTTTGGGGTAGGGACACGAAAAAAGTATCGATACTTTGTGGTATCGAGTACTTTTCCTTTCGATACCGATACTTTTGTACTCGATACTTTGTATTCGATACTTTTACTAAATGAGTACTTTTTGGCAAGTATCGATACCTTTAAAAATTTGGATAAGCGTCTCATATTGATGGCAACGGCATCTTGTTAAATCGTAGCAAACTTACCTTCTAAAACGTTCCATAGGGTATTTGACAAGTTTTACGCAACGATCTCACGATATTGACTAATGTTTATGGAGTCCGTAAAAAGTGGATATTAATCATTCTGTCGTGTATTTCAGTAAAAATAACCAAATTAAAAAACCCCATTTTCAAGTTGCCGCGAAAACGTTTCTCTGGACAATATGGCGTCTTACACTTGTGACGTCACACGACTGTTATTAAAACGTCAAACGATACAATGTAATGTCACTTTGACCGGAAGTTTACTTGCGTGTGACGTCATTTTAGGCTCCGCCAATCCCAAGCGTTTTGGATCACGTGACAATAGATAAGAAAACTAATATCTTTTTCGTTATTTTGGCACTTTATTTTTAATACTGTCAAATGCCCTATTGCGTTGTTATAAAGTCAGTAACTGACATATTCAAATTCTTTCCAATCTGTGACGTGTTTATTTTGCGCTTTGTTTTGTTTCATAGTTATTTATTTAGTGACCATATTGTTAGGAACTGTGATTGATTCGCCGTTTATTGTGCTTTTCGCTTAACTGTATTTGATTTATTCAAGTGTAACACTATTATTCTGTCTGTGCTGTGTATACCTATTTGAAACCACCTGAAAAAAAGACGGACGTAACCTCTTCTATAATTATAATGCCAATGGCAGCCGTTAACTACGTGTCAGATTCAAGTTAACATAAGTGGGTATAATGTTTTTTAATGATTAAAATTCAAGAAAAGTAAGTTTAATTTGATACAAATCTGAAGTTTCTTTTAAATTGTTTAAGATTTCGATCTTTTTAATTAACATTTTAATTATGAATGTAATATTAATGAACACTTTTTTAGTGTCAGAAATCACAGCTATTTTCTTTTCATTATATAATATAATAACAATTTGTGAATTTACATGTCCTTTTTTTGTTTTTGATTATTCGTACTATAATAAAATTTGTTTTTCTTTCAATTTTAACACGGGGGAGGGGGGGTTGCTCATCAGGCCACAGAGGCCCTATGAAATGTACTCGATACTTTGAAGTATCGATACTTTTGTTTCGATACTTTTACGAGTACGATACTTTTTTACCGATACTACTCATGAGTACAGTATCGATACTTTCTATTCGATATCGTGTCCCTACTTTGGGGTTAGGCTAATTGGTGTGAGTGTTGGAAATATTTTATTTTTTATTTTTGAAGTTATACTTCTTTAGGCGCGTTATGAAAAAATGATGAGAGTGAAATTTTAAGATGCGCGCGCATCACTGTAACACAAAATTTTAACAGCATGAAGTTGGTCGCTTTAGCGACCAACTTCATGCGTTACTTTTGTGTTTACCGCACATTAAGAAAATCTACCAACAAAATAGAAATAGAATCTCTATTTAGTGGGTGCTAATGACTGCATTTTGAAGGCCTATCAAAAGTATTTATTAATCTGGAACAACGGAACCAAAGCGCGATTCAGGAGACTACAGCGCCATCTCTTGACCATTGGTGTAGTAGAACCAAAAACCACATCTTTATTTTTTGTAATAAAGTAACAGTTATAGGTATTCATATTTATAATATTTATCCACATGTTTCTAGTTTGTATATTCGGAATACGTGTTTGAGTTTTATACAAGTGCAAATCACATAATATGTTCTAATAAATTATATTCAGTAGCGATTTTAATTGAATATTTTGATTATTTATTTATTTTTTCAAATTAAAACTGAACTTTATTGACTGTGTCCTTTTCCAGACTTTTTATTAATTTATTGTAATTAATTATTTGCTTGCAATTAGAATTTTAAACGATGCCAAAGAAGGATAACTTCTCACGCGCCTACATAAGTACACGCACCCATTTTTTTTTAATTATGTTTGTACAAGATCAGTACCAAAATGGTTGTTCTCCTTTCTACGAAAAGTACGTTTCCACAGAGAAGCCGGCGTAAGAAGAGCCAAGAACCGACGTCTTCGGATCCTCAAATAGTCACGTGTGATGATTGCAACGAGTCATTCACTTCAAAAGTCAGACTTAAGTTCCATGTGTGAGTTGAATCTTTCATCATCATCATCATCATCAGCCTATTAATGTCCCCACTGCTGGGGCACAGGCCTTCCCTATGGATGGAATAGGCAGATTGGGCCATGACCCACCACGCGGGCCCAGTGCGGATTGGTGGGTGCTAACGACTGCAAATGCAGCCGGGACCAATGGCTTAACGTGCCTTCCGAAGCACTGACGAGCTCGAGATAGTAAATTTTTGGTCACCCATCCAATGACCGACCACTGCGAAAGTTGCTTAACTTCAACGATCGCAGCCGAACGCGCTAGCCACCTGCGCCATCGAGCTCCTCTGAGTGAGTTGAATCTTTACTTGTCTTAAACTAGTGACCGCCTTTTTTTTGTTACGCAGGCTAAACCTCTTAATGTAATAATGTCGTCATATGGAGAAAATCTCGCCCCACCTCCCACTCTCAGCACCCGTCTCGCTAGCAAGAAGGAGCGCATGCCATGTGCGGTGTTCTGTATCTCTTATCTATTAGACAAGTCCGTCCGTCCGTCTGTCTGTGGTGCTGTTTCAGCGGCCAAACCGTAAGAGATAGATAAAGAGAATATTTAACACAAACATCTGCCCCCACCGGGATTCGAATTCGGAACCTCTCGAGTCGGCGTCACCATGAAACCCGGCGTACAAACCACTCGGGCACGGAGGTCGTCAAATGTGAAATTGTTGTCTCTAGGCAGTTCCACTACCCCACAAACATGCTGACTTCAGAAGGAAAATACAAGTGTCCTCAGTGTGGCGACTGCACCTTCAGTGATGAAGGCGCGTTGTTCGATCACGTACATTTCCGGCACCACAAGCGACGCCGATGGCACTGTCCTGTTAGGAGTTGTGGAAAGACCTTCCATCTCAGGTTAGTTTAGCAGTTTGGGAGTTATGTAGCTTAGAAAATTGCTTGGTGTTCAGGGTGAAGAGTTGCATTAACTGGAATTTACAAGATAACAATTGGAAAAGAGTGAGAGCTAGTAGCTACCGATGGAGCTCGATGGCGCTCGATGGCGCAAGTGGATGGCGCATTCGGCTACGATCGTTGAAGTTAAGCAACTTTCGCAGTGGTCGGTCATTGGATGGGTGACCGAAAATTGACTATCTCGAGCTCCTCCGTGCTTCGGAAGGCACGTTAAGCCGTTGGTCCCGGCTGCTTCTGATGAGGATAGTAGCTACCTCTGACAAAGAAATAGTCTAGCTATTCAATGGGGGAACGCTGCCAGTATCTTTGGAACCTTGCCTTAGGGGACTCTTTTTAATCATCATCATCATCATCATCATCATCATCATCAGCCTATTAATGTCCCCACTGCTGGGACACAGGCCTTCCCTATGGATGGAATAGGGAGATTGGGCCATGACCCACCACGCGGGCCCAGTGCGGATTGGTGGGTGCTAACGACTGCAGATGCAGCCGGGACCAACGGCTTAACGTGCCTTCCGAAGCACGGAGGAGCTCGAGATAGTAAATTTTTGGTCACCCATCCAATAACCGACCACTGCGAAAGTTGCTGAACTTCAACGATCGCAGCTGAACGCGCTAACCCCTTGCGCCATCGAGCTCCTCAATCTTCTTGCCTGTTGCATACAATTAAACTCTTTTTAATAATATAGTTTAATTATTATATTATATTTTTTAAGGTTTTTAGTTTAAGGTTCATTGCTATTGGAAAATATGTCTCAATCAAGAATTTATGGATGATACTTTTCAGGGTATGAATGACTTCACTACATCTGATGTTAAGTTTTATTTAATAAAAAAAAAAAGAATTAGTCTAGTTATTCAAAGGGGGAACACTGCCAGTATCTTAGGAACCTTGCCTAAAGGGACTCCTTTTAATAATGCATTTTAGTTATTATATATTTTAAGGTTTTTTAGTTATAAGTGTCTTACTATTTGTTCTTTAGTTAAATTATTAAATTTTACCTTATGAGTTATCCAATTACATTATACCAGCATGTTATGTTTAGTATTACTAAATTACTAATTGTTGGAATCCGTGTGAATTTGTGTAATGTATGACTTTTAGCCACAGCAAATTGTCTACAGTTCTGTACCCTTAGCATGAGCCAATATCAAATTCATATAGTTTGCGACTCCAAAATGTCAATGTCAAATTTTGAAATTTTGAACTTAAGCAACTTTCGGAGTGGTCGGTCATTGGATGGGTGACCAAAAATTATTATCTCGAGCTCCTCCGTGCTTCGGAAGGCACGTTAAGCCGTTGGTCCCGGCTGAATCTACAGTCGTTAGCACCCACCAATCCGCACTGGGCCCGCGTGGTGGGTCACGGCCCAATCTCCCTATTCCATCCATAGGGAATGCCTGTACCCCAGCAGTGGGGACATTAATAGGCTGATGATGATGATGATGATGAAGGGTACTGAAACAAACAAAAATAATTTAGTACTCGACTAACGTTTTTTTTCGTTATAGTTTACTAATATATCCCGTGGAAATGGAAATTGAACACCATATGCAGGAACTCGATGGCGCAGTGATCCAACACGCGGTCCAAATGCAGATCGGTGGGTGCTAAACGACTGCATATGCAGCTGGCCGTGACTAATCGTCTTAACGTGTCTTCCGAAGCACAGAGAAGCGCGAGTTAAAAAATCTTTGGTCATATCTCCGACTATATCGACGACCTCCGTGGCCGAGTGGTTTGTACGCCGGGTTTCATGGTGTCGCCGACTCGAGAGGTCCCGGGTTCGAATCCCGGTGGGGGCAGATGTTTGTGTGATGAATACGAGCATTTGTACTCCAGTCATGGATATTTAATATCTATTTCTATATAAATATACTTATATATGTACTGTATATGTATTCTATCCGTTACCCTAGCATCCCATAACACAAGCCTTATAGTGCTTACTTTGGGGCTCTAGGCTAATTGGTGTGAATGTTCTAAATATTTATTATTTATTATTATTATTATTATCTATCGCTATCCTATAACAGACCTTTACGAAAGCAGCTTAGCTCCCACGTTTGCACATTGAATGCGATAAACACTTGCTATTTATCGAGCTCATCACCCCTTGTCTTAACACATTTCTCCCACCCCATTGACTAGTTAGTTTGTATCCATTTATATATTATACTAGCGGACCCGACAGACGTTGTCCTGTCTACACGTCTTTGCGAATCTAAACCATTCTCAGATCCCCTTGAACACACACAAAAAATTTCATCAAAATCGGTCCAGTCGTTTAAGAGAAGTTCAGTGACATACACACTCACAGAAGAATTATATATATAAAGATTTATTGTATTTTATGTGTGGAGTTTTTGTAGGTGTGTCAAATTTAGTATAAAAATATTAATATATTTTAATCGCTGTTATTTTCTAAATGTTTTATTATAAAGCATTTTTCCCTACCGCCATACCATTTGTCTCTAACACTCGTTCAGGTTGACTGGTAGAGAATGCCTATGGCATTAAGTCCGCCGTTTGCACATGTATGGCAATGAAGTTTAAATAAATAAGTAAATAAAATTGACCTGTCCTGGTAACCTTACTCTAAGGACGTACAACCACAGAAACATATTATTTATTTATCTTCAATCCACTTGCACCATCAAGATTTTTTATTAAAATTTAAAAATAAGCAATAGGGTGTTTTGGTATTACCGGCGCCAGGTGGCAGCACTAAGTCAAAAGGGTAAAGGATACTTGGGTACCGGATAGTATCTCTTATCTATTAGACAAGTTCGTCCGTCCGTCTGTCTGTGGTGCTGTTTCAGCGGCCAAACCGTAAGAGATAGATAAAGAGAATATTTAAGTTATAAGTTAAGAATAGTCTGATAAGACTACAAACCGGATTTGAGTAACGTAGCACTTCCGGTTTTCGAGAAATCACGAATTTCAAACGAAACCACACAAAATCTCCGAAGTTCTCAATTAATGAAATACATTTTTTTTTTAAATCAGGTTTTGGTGAACATTTGGTTCACTAGTTTGCTAGTACATATATAAGTAGGTATATTATTTAAAGGAATTAATATTAAACATCCATGACTGGAGTACAAATGCTCATATTCATCACACAAACATCTGCTCCCACTGGGATTCGAACCCGAGACCTCTCAAGTAGGCAACACCTTAAACCCCGGCGTACAAACCACTCGGCCACGGAGTTCGTCGCAAAGTGGTGACGTTAATTTTTCTAAACACAGTCATTCCCTGGTTTCCCATAGAGCCACGTTAACGAAACACAGTCGCACTCACACGGACACGCGACGATACGTATGTGTCACTTGTGGTAAGAGGTTCTTGGACAAGCAAACGTTGGACGAGCACGGGGTTACACATTTGCAGGTAAAATTCATAATAATCGTAATCAAAATCATTTATTCAGTCTAGGCTGTGACAAGCACTCATGAATGTCTAAAAGCTACTCCATCGGTTCGTAAATGTAGTGTACTGTGGGGTATCTATTGATAGGTTTTCAAAAAAGATATTGAGGTTTCTAATATGTTTTTTTCTAAACTGCATAGTTTGCGCAAGATGCACTTCCAAAGGGGTAACAACAGGGGGGAGGGGCTGTAACTTCTAGAATAAGAGTATGATAAAACTAAAAAAAAAAATGATGTACATTACCATGCAAACTTCCACCGAAAATTGGTTTGAACGAGATCTAGTGAGTAGTTTTTTTTGATACGTTATAAATCGTTAACCGCAATTTACCTTTCAAAAATATACAGTATTATTAAAACATCGATCAAAGCATGACGGACCCACCATACCCCTAGCGATACCCCCAGGGGTAGGGTGGGACTGAACCATACCACCGTAGTGCTGTACACTATATGCTTTCAGGTTTTGTTTTATCGAATATTACGTTAGGTACCTGGAGTCAATAGCATCCCATACGACATAGTGTAAATATGTAATTATATTCATTTTTACTTGATTCTTTTCAATAATAATCTTATTGTGTATTTATTTAAAGTATACTTTTGTACGTAGTAAATGCAGTTAGTGCACAACGAAATCACCATTGGGCATTCGTTAGACAAATTAAGAACATAGATTAACATCTTTTAAGTTTTTCTGTTTAAGATAAATAACAAAATAAGTATTTGTTATATTTTTAGGTTTTGCCAGAACGGATTTCGGTTTTTTGAAGTTATACTTCTTTAGGCGCGTTATGAAAAAATGATGAGAGTGAAATTTTAAGATGCGCGCGCATCACTGTAACACAAAATTTTACTTTTGTGTTTACCGCACATAAAGAAAATCTACCAACAAAATAGAAATAGAATCTCTATTTAGTGGGTGCTAACGACTGCATTGTGAAGGCCTATCAAAAGTATTTATTAATCTGGAACAACGGAACCAAAGCGCGATTCAGGAGACTACAGCGCCATCTCTTGACCATTGGTGTAGTAGAACCAAAAACCACATCTTTATTTTTTGTAATAAAGTAACAGTTATAGGTATTCATATTTATAATATTTATCCACATGTTTCTAGTTTGTATATTCGGAATACGTGTTTGAGTTTCATACAAGTGCAAATCACAATGTTCTAATAAATTATATTCAGTAGCGATTTTAATTGAATATTTTGATTATTTATTTATTTTTTCAAATTAAAACTGAACTTTATTGACTGTGTCCTTTTCCAGACTTTTTATTAATTTATTGTAATTAATAAAATATAATAAAATAAAATTTTGCATGCAATTACAAACTCATTTTAAATGATGCCAAAGAAGGATAACTTCTCACGCGCCTACATAAGTACACGCACCCATTTTTTTAATAAACTAAATATTTGTATCTGTTAGGTATCTATTTTTATTCTATTTTTCCATAAATTCCCAGCACTACTACGGTGGTATGGTTCAGTCCCACCCTACCCCCAGGGGTATGGCTAGGGGTATGGTGGGTCTGTCATGGATCAAAGTTACATCGAACTACAAGAACTTTTATATTACCTATGTTACTTGCTGCTACGGAACCCCTCATGGGCGAGTCCGACTCGCACTTGGCCGCTTTTTTATTTTATACAGAGTGGTTAATTTGAAAATAATTTCAGAGATGATTAATGAACCTTTCATTACATAATTTGAAATATACATTAATTGTTCACCTGCATTTTGATTGCTATGTCATACAGTACTAATACAAATAGTGTTATCTATACTTATAATAAATCTGTAGAGATGTCAATTCTGTACATGAAATATATTTTTAAAATAACTATCAGGGGTTGATTAGTGATCGATACTGATGCCAAAAATGCAATCAGTAAATTTTTTGTCTGTCTGTCTGTCTGTCTGTGTGTATGTTCCTTATAGAAACAAAAACTACTCAACGGATTTTAACGAAACTTGGTACAATTATTCTTCATACTCCTGGGCAGGTTATAGTATACTTTTCATCACGCTACAATCAATAGCAGCAGAGTAGTGAAGGGAAATGTTGGGAAAACGGGAGAAGTTACTCCATTTTTTAAGCTTCCGTCGCGTGTGGAGCCTTAGTAGTTAAAGTTACATAGAAATCATGTATGACGGAAATATTCTACATAAAATTGTCTAAAAAATATCCCGCAACAGCATATGTCTATCTTTTATGGTTGACTCACAATAACACGTGTAATTATATAAATAAAGTCATTCTTTATAGCACAGGCCTGAGAACAAAAACTATAGTTTACACTACAGCTCTACACCGAAGCGAAGCGAGGGCGGGCCACTAGTTTATAATAAGTGTAACTAGACATTAACATCTTCAATAGCAAAGTAGAGTCGTTAGGGCAGACTTATTACCGTTGGCAACACCCGTTCAATTGCTGTTAGATAGTTATTTAATTGAATATCATAGAATTTTCTTAGATTTTTACATATAGTTTTGGTAAAACTTGGTAGTTTTGAAAACTTTAGGAATTTAATCGACTTTTTCTACCGAACGTTCAGAATTATAAAAAAGTTTTAATAACTTCTGATACTTATCTTAGTAAAGTCCACGATTTAAACTCAGTAAGTTTTAAAAACTTTCCATCTGGAAATTCAAAATTTGACACTTCTACGTATGTACGCACTTTTATAGAAGTTGTAAGACGTTTTCTAATAGATTTATCCTTCCTTCCTGGAATTTTTTGGGGGTTCTTTTAGGGGCTTTAAACAAAACTTTCTATTAAATCGAAAAACAAAGCGTGTGTTTCCTTTCAGTTTTGTGCGTAGAATGGAACGCACCACGATATGAAACGACTGAACTCACTGTATGGCAGGTAGTTTCCTAAGGCTGTATGGACTAAAGTTCTTTGCCTTCCACCAATCAAAACAGCTAAATAAAATTTAACAGCCTGTCAGCTCATTTTCGTTTCATTTTCCATTCGGAAAATGTTTTTATTCAATAAAATAATTTACTGTAACTAAATATGTAACGTTTTAATTTATGAGCAACGAAAAAATTTAGGTAACATAAGTAGGTACATATAAATTTCTATATTTAGGGGATTTTAGGGGAATTTAAAAGGTAAAATTTTGGTAAGGGTTGGTAACACTGCCTCCATTCGCTACCCCGTGAAGCCCTGTCATCTTATATTACATTGCATACAATACATGTCAAAAGCCCTGTACCTGTAACAACGCGACTGTAATCTTTCTCACCGTGAGAATCACAACATCAACAAAAAAAAGTAGTAACATTTCACAGCAGTCTTCTGAAATTACTAGTCATCATCAGCCTATTTATGTCCCCACTGCTGGGGCACAGGCCGTCCCTATGGATAGAATAGGGAGATTGGGCCATGACCCACCACGTGGGCCCAATGCGGATTGGCGGGTGCTAACGACTGCAGATGCAGCCGGGACCAACGGCTTAACGTGCCTTCCGAAGCACGGAGGAACTCGAGATAGATGTTTTTGGTCACCCATCCAATGAACGACCACTGCGAAAGTTGCTTAACTTCAACCATCGCAGCCGAACGCGCTAACCACCTGCGCCATCGAGCTCCTCGAAATACTAGAAATTACTAGAGAATGCCCTATTTCAGATAAAACCTTTCCAATGCCACATATGTTCTAAACAATTGACACGGCGCTCCCGCTTGAGGATGCATCTAAGAGCTCATGAGGAAGAGCTGACTCCGAAACTGGTGTTAGTTTGTGCCGTATGCAGCAGAGCTTTCAGAGACAAAGACGATGCACAAGTCAGTGGTTTATAATTTTCTGTTTACCTAGTACAACTATACTTTTCCTTATACACATTAATTGTTTTTGTATCTCATATCACACACATGGGGTTGCCAGGTCGCCAAACCTATAAGCCGGACAGACAAGCCAGTTTGGCCGGACATTTGGGTACAAAGGCCGGACACCCCTTAATGTGGATTTTGTGGCTCTATAATATTAGGTATGATAAAAAAAATATGTAAAATCGACCGGCAGTCAAGTATACACATCAATTATTTAGGTATCTCATATTCGCCAGGTCGCCTAACCTAAAAGCCGGACAGACCAACCAGTTTAGGCGGTTATTTGGGTACAAAGGCTGGACACCAATAATTGATGATTTTTTTGCCCAATAATATTAGGTATGACCTAAAAAATTTATGTAAAAGCGACCGACAGTCAAGTTGCTTGCGCTCGTCCATGCTCAGTGAAATCTAAAAAACCTTACAAAAGCCGTACACCATCAAAAAGCTTAACTATGTCCAGCTTTCTCCGGACGCCTGACAATGCTACATACACATTTATATGTAAGTACTAGTGGGTGCCCGCGATTACGTCTGCGGAGAGATATTGGTTCCCCATACAAACTTTGAACTCCCGTTTTTCTCCTTCTTAGCGCACGCATACATCATAATAGCTATGTGTGCCAAATTTTATCGCAATCCGTTCAGTGGTTGTGCTGTGCGTTTATAGATTGTTACTTTTTACATATACAGACTTACTAAGTTGACTTATGGCTCAATTACACTTGGTCGTTAGCATTCGGGTGCACAAGTTTTGTAACATCTTGTATAACTTATGGAAAGCAATAAAACATTGAGTATTGAAAGACATCACTCGAATTCTGGCCCCCGATAATTAATATTTACACTGGGATACGAGTTGAAAGACGGTGACGGGTTACCAAAATAATTAAGGTAAAAAAAACCTTTTTAAAAACAAGCTTTTATTCAAATGCGCTAAAAAGAAAAAAAGAAAATTTCAACTAAATTAGTTAAAGATATCTGTTTCTAAATAGATTTTCAAATTTCAGAAGTCCGCCATATTGGATTGAGAGTGACGTCACATTTTTTTCGAGTTACTCTCAGCAAGCCCTTTAATTTGATACCCATATTGTAGGAATGTAAAAATGATTGGTCCGCCATTTTGGGTATGCCGCCATATTGGATTTAGAATGACGTCACACTGTTAATCATGCATTGTCATCCGAACTGAACGAGCATATCATATTTCAGCTTAATCGGTTGAGAGCAAGTGCTTTAAAATTGAGTTGTAAGATTTGACCGTAACAAACATACAAAGCAAGTTAAATAAAAGCTTGTAAAAAGCTTGTAAAAACTACCCGAATACGGGATCGACTCCGTTTATTTACACTTAGTCATTTACCCGAATTCCATTGGCTGGTGACCAAATGTAATCAAGCAAATAGTTGCTTAAATACACATCTCAATTTAGTTAACTTTTAATGTGTATGTAAGTAGTTCTATGTATTGTAAAATGGTTTTGTCTTTCAATTACATCGCTCCATAAGCTTCTTGAAGTGTACGAAATTTCGGGTAATGTTAGACTTTTTTATAAATCCTGGGTCTAAATATCATTTATTTAAGAGTGTAGATTTAAGGTGTAACAAACTATAATAAATGAAAAAACATCTTCACGGGTCATGTGTTACATTGCAAGAGTTTATGTTACAACTTTACCCGTGAAGTTTTTATAGATATCTAAGTATGTATGACTTTATTGCAATAAATAAAAAGTGTACCTAGTAAAGAAAATTTGTCTATCTGTTACAATTGGATGTGTAAATCGGTGAAGAATTTTTGCTGTTTATAAAGGGAATTTCGATTTTCAGCACTAGGTGACGCGAAAATATAGCTTGAAGAAATTTCAATTGTGGGATTTTGTTTATACTTATTTAGGAGAACTTGTATTCAACTGGTTGTTCACGAATTCCTTTGAAATAGAATAATCGATTTTCTTTAGAAACTCTTTTCTTATCCCCAAACTATATATATATATATATATATTTATATATATAATTCTTCTGTGAGTGTGTATGTCACTGAACTTCTCTTAAACGACTGGACCGATTTTGATGAAATTTTTTGTGTGTGTTCAAGGGGATCTGAGAATGGTTTAGATTCACAATTTTGTCCGGTACGAAGTTCGCTGGGTGAGCTAGTATATATATATATAACTCAAAGGTGACGGACTGACATGGTGATCTATCAACGCACAGCCCAAACCACTGGACGGATCGGGCTGAAAGGCATGCAGGTAGATGTTATGTCGTAGGCATCCGCTAAGAAAGGATTTTGATCAATTCTACCCCCAAGGGGATAAAATAGGGAATGAAACTTTGTATGAAACTTTGTCAATTTTAAACCGATCGGGCTGAGACTTTGCATGCAGGTATAAGAAGAATCATATATGAATGAAAATGAATTGTGTATAATACAAGCCTGAGAACAAAAACTGTAGTCTACGCTAGTTATAAATAAATTATATAGTAATCAATTTTGATGGGTTTTTTCTTAAGAAAGTTTATTTTTTATAACTCAGTCACTTTATAATACGTCGTCGTTTCTATAGAATCATACCACAAAATCTACGGAATGTATCGAAGAATTCACTAAGGAACTGAAGGAAGAAATGGAAGAGGGGATACCTCAGCTATCGCCCACAAGTGGACTTGTGAGAGAACCAACGCAAGTCACCAGTGAGTGAGCTAATTTGATCATAGTCGTAAATTCTTCAGCTGGCCACAAAAAATATGTCGTGGTCAGACGGACGGACGGGCATGGAAAAATTATAGAGATTTCTTTTTGAATATCATCATCTTCATCATCGGCCTATTAATGTCCCCACGGCTAGGGCACAGGCCTTTCCTATGGATGGAATAGGGAGATTGGGCCATGAACCATCACGCGGGCCCAGTGCGGATTGGCGGGTGCTGACGACTGCAGATGCAGCCGGGACCAACGGCTTAAAGTGACTTCCGAAGCACGGAAGAACTCGAGATAGAAGATTTTTGGTCACCCATCCAATGACCGACCACTGCTAAAGTTTCTTAATTCACCGATCGCAGCCGGGACCAACGGCTTAACGTGCCTTCCGAAGCACGGAGGAACTCGAAATAGTAAATTTTTTTTGGTCACCCATCCAATGACCGACTGAATGAATATGTGTAGTTCAAATATTGGAAACAATAAAAATATGTTTGAATCTATATTTTTTTACAGGTATATATATATATATATGTATTCTATCCGTTACCCTAGTATCCCATAACACAAGCCTACAGTGCTTACTTTGGGGCTAGGCAAATTGGTGTAAATATTTTCTTAAAGTAATATTAATCAAAAACTTCTTTTCTGATGAATGATCTAACGTTAGAAGGTGCATAAGGCATAGGGGAATGGAGCAGCGCACGCATCACTCATATATATGTATGTGTGTGTATATATTTATATTGTCGCGTGTGAAGCTCGTAGCGTTTCAGCTTTCGCCTAGTTACGCTACAACTTTCATACTCGTCGGGAAGAGTTGCGCACTCATTCCACACACACACCCACACCCACACACACACACACACACACACACACACACACACACACACACACACACACACACACACACACACACACACACACACACACACACACACACACACACACACATATATTATAGTCGTGTGACGCTCTTGAAGCATTTCCGTTTCATCGTTTCCATAGGATTTTTCCATTTACACCCCGTCCGAAAGGGAGTTTTACTTCAAAAGTAGTGAATAGATTGTTGAATTTGCTTTACAATTCTGACAGAGTCTCCCCAATTGAGCAAGCCCATACACCGTCAAGTGATGAGCCCTTTAGCCCGACCCTTATTGGCAAGCTTGTCAGATGAAGCTATAAGTCTAATACGAGTTGTGGAGATCGAAAAGGCTTTTCGCTGCGAATACTGCGAAGAGTTAGTATTTTTTTTAAAGATATTTATGAATTAACTAGTGGATCTTATAGACGTTTGCCTGCCTGGTACAGATATAAAAGCTGACCTAAAAATCCTACTACAACGCCAGCTATCAGGTAATTTATAAGTTTTCTTAAATTTTCCCTTTATATAAGTTTTCTATACTTATAGAAAACTTTAAAGACAGATGGATGAAAGCGGTAAAGTCGTTTTTGGGTAATGGCGTGACAAAGAGTTAAGAGGATTTATTCATAAAAAATTCATAGTAGTTTATTCAGCTGTCTAAGTTCCCTATCCACTTTAAAGCTAAAGTGTCAATGTCACATCTAATCTCTTACCCAACTATAAAGATAAGGGATCGCCCAAATGGAAAAGGTTACATATTAATTGTCACAGTAGCCACTCTACATAAAAATATTTCACAAAGTAGTGGTGAACTAAGTGGTTAATTGTCACAGTAGCCAGTCTACATCAAGATATTTCACAAAGTAGTGGTCAACTAAGTGGTTAATTGTCACAGTAGCCAGTCTACATAAAGATATTTCAAAGAAATAGTGGTGAAGTAAATGGTTAATTGTCACAGTAGCCAGTCTTAATAAAGATATTTCAAAGAAGTAGTGGTGAAGTAAGTGGTTAATTGTCATAGTAGCCAGTCTTAATAAAGATATTTCAAATAAGTAGTGGTGAAGTAAATGGTTAATTGTCACAGTAGCCAGTCTACATCAAGATATTTCACAAAGTAGTGGTCAACTAAGTGGTTAATTGTCACAGTAGCCAGTCTACATCAAGATATTTCACAAAGTAGTGGTCAACTAAGTGGTTAATTGTCACAGTAGCCAGTCTACATCAAGATATTTCACAAAGTAGTGGTCAACTAAGTGGTTAATTGTCACAGTAGCCAGTCTACATCAAGATATTTCACAAAGTAGTGGTCAACTAAGTGGTTAATTGTCACAGTAGCCAGTCTTGTGGTTAATTGTCACAGTAGCCAGTCTACATCAAGATATTTCACAAAGTAGTGGTCAACTAAGTGGTTAATTGTCACAGTAGCCAGTCTACATCAAGATATTTCACAAAGTAGTGGTCAACTAAGTGGTTAATTGTCACAGTAGCCAGTCTACATCAAGATATTTCACAAAGTAGTGGTCAACTAAGTGGTTAATTGTCACAGTAGCCAGTCTTGTGGTTAATTGTCACAGTAGCCAGTCTACATCAAGATATTTCACAAAGTAGTGGTCAACTAAGTGGTTAATTGTCACAGTAGCCAGTCTACATCAAGATATTTCACAAAGTAGTGGTCAACTAAGTGGTTAATTGTCACAGTAGCCAGTCTACATCAAGATATTTCACAAAGTAGTGGTCAACTAAGTGGTTAATTGTCACAGTAGCCAGTCTTGTGGTTAATTGTCACAGTAGCCAGTCTACATCAAGATATTTCACAAAGTAGTGGTCAACTAAGTGGTTAATTGTCACAGTAGCCAGTCTACATCAAGATATTTCACAAAGTAGTGGTCAACTAAGTGGTTAATTGTCACAGTAGCCAGTCAAAATAAAGATATTTCAAAGAAGTAGTGGTGAAGTAAGTGGTTAATTGTCACAGTAGGCAGTCTACATAAATATATTAGCCGGCAGATTACTATGATTTTTTGCACTTCCATCTTACGGGTGTCAAATAAATGGGGTTTTGAAGTGTAAAATTAAAGTAACTTTTGTGTTCAATTTCATTTAACTATATATTTTAAAGCTTGGGTTATGGGAGGAGCTTGGTGGTGCAAATTGTAAATGCGTTTGGCTGAGATTGTTGAAGTTAGGCAACTTTCGCAGTGATCGGTCATTGGATGGGTGACCGATCTCGAGTTCCTCCGTGTTTCTGAAGGCACGTTAAACCATTGGTCCTGGCTGCATCTGCAGACGTTAGCACCCGCTAATCCGCACTAGGCCCGCGTGGTGGGTATGGCCCCATCTTCCTATTCCATCCATAGGGAAGGCCTGTGCCCCAGCAGTGGGGACATTAATAGGCTGATGATATATTTTTTTTTTCCTAAATATCATCATCACCAGCCTATTAATGTCCCCACTGCTGGGGCACAGGGCTTCCCTGTGGATGGAATAGGGAGATTGGGCCATGACCCACCACGCGGGCCCAGTGCGGATTGGTGGGTGCTAACGACTGCAGATGCAGCCGGGACCAACGGCTTAACGTGCCTTCCGAAGCACGGAGGAGCTCGAGATAGTAAATGTTTGGTCACCCATCCAATGACCGACCACTGCGAAAGTTGCTTAACTTCAACGATCGCAGCCGAACGCGCTAACCACCTGCGCCAACGAGCTCCTAAATATACGTGAATATTAATTTTGCTTTCGTTTTGCAGTGTGTTTTATCTAGAAGACGGACTAAACGCCCACCGAGCCATACACAAGAACGTGAAGAATCCATTCACTTGCCACATCTGTAAAGTGAGCTTTGCCACTTATTCCAGGTAAGAAATTATTAAACCTATTTGTTGACGTTTGAGTAAAAAGTTCTGCCTACACCGGAACGTCGCTCCATTTCCACCAGTAGAAGCAGCTTCGACCCACGTGATCAAAAAAACCCCCTCTTCACTTCACTCTCTACGCAATTCAAATTTTGTACGCTCAACTTTCTTTCGCAATTTTCATTTTTTTATTTTATTTTGTAATTATATTCGCAATATACGCATTATTGAAGTAAACAACTGAGCTTTATTGAAGAGTACGCATAACGCCGAAACACTATTTGTTTCTTAGATTTTCACGCACATCACTCTTGATAGATCACTATGTCAGTCAGTCACCTTTGAGTTTTATATATATACTAGCTGACCCAGCGAACTTCGTACCGCCATAAAAAAATTTAATTAAAAAAACATTGTCCAGCGGACAAAATTGTGAATCTAAACCATTCTCAGATCCCCTTGAAAACACACAAAAAATTTCATCAAAATCGGTCCAGTCGTTTAAGAGAAGTTCAGTGACATACACATTCACAGAAGAATTATACATATAAAGATAGATTTACGTTCCGCAACCTTTGCAGGAATGCGTTGTCAGAATAATGATTTTTTATTTAGTTTGTCGAGCTACCTTTGAAAGACTTTCATTTAGCGTTCGGATATTCCATTGGAAGATTTTTAAAACTTTATTGTCTATGCATGAAATTATTAGTTAATTTACTTAATAAAGCACTTTATTTAATTCTTTTATATAATTTTGAGTTTATTTATTTATTTGACCCCAACTACCGTAAACTACCACCGGTTCCAAAATTGGGAGACCTTTCTAAGAACCGGCGAAACACACTCAGAGAGGCTTTCTATCTCCTTCTTACGTTAAATCATGCAAACAAAAAGAACTAATAGTAGGTATCTGATGGTCTTGCAGTGTGTGCTCGGGGTTGGGATTTTATCTCTTGTATAATGGGTTCCCAAGCTGCTGGTATATACCCATTAGAAACGTCAATAAATAAATAAAATCAGTGCATCTAACTCGTTGAAACTTGTTTTGTTTTTAATTACTACACCGTTATGCCGCAATAGGGTATTTGATAAGTTTTAGAAAACGATCTCACGTTATTGATTAATGTTTATGGAGTCCGTAAAAAGATTATCATCATCATTAGATATTCATCATTGTGTATTTCAGTAAAAATAACCAAATAAAAAACTCCATTTCCAAGTTGCCGCGAAAACGTTTCTCTGGGCAATATGGCGTCTTACTAGTGTGTGACGTCACACGATACAATGTAATGTCACTGTAACCGCATGTTTACTTGCGTGTGACGTCATTTTAGGCTCCACCAATCCCAAGCGTTTTGAATCACCTGACAATAAATAAGAAAACTATTACCTTTTTCGTTAGTTTTTAGTAAAATTACGAATATTTTTTTTGTAAAAATAGTAAAAACCCCTGCCAATATTCATTCTAAACACAGATGCCAACGATTGGCACTTTATTTTTAACACTGTCAAATACCCTATTACATTTGGCCGTTTGTCCTTGCTTGGGTGCACGAAAGAAATTACTCGAATCCGGGCACCCGAATCAAAATTTGTTGGCTGAGACTTAGCATGCAGGTATAAGAAGAATCATAGATGAATGTCAGTGTGTATAATACAAGCCTGAGAACAAAAACTGTAGTCTACACTTCAGCTCTACACCGAAGCGAAGCGAGGGCGGGCCGCTAGTTATAGATAAGTATGTTTTGTACCATTAAGTGTCCTTCATCAAAACGACACCAACCTATCTAAGTCTTTGCATTTATTATAACCTGCCTCCATCACCTAACATACCACAGTACGCTTCTCAGTAAACGCTTGTATTTGATACTATACGAATAAACTATCGTTTGGGTTCAATAGGGATGATAACTATTTTTTTTTCTTCGTTTGTCAGGTAGATTATCAAAAAGTATTGGACACGTATTTTTTCTTTTTTCACATAATATAAACATTGCAGAGATATATTGATTTGAAAAGTCGCATGACGTCACGTTTGAGTACACTTATAAGTGAAAATCCCAAACTTTGACGCGCTATAACTTTGTCATTTTTTGACTGATTGCCCAAAGAAAAAATACGTGTCCATTATTTTTTGATCATCTAACTGACGGACTAAATAGAATTTCGTTTACTGTACCCCGTCATCACCCCTATTATCTTCTGAATGGAATGTTTACCAAAAAAAAATCCCATTCTATTCTACGCTTAACTAACCTATCCTATAGATGCACAACCCATAAGACCACGCATGGTTTCTACAAGCGCCCCCTTTCGGATGCTAAGGAAAAAGCTTTGGCGCCCAGTTCTGGGCCTTCTGCCACTGGAATATTGGGATATGGAGGTTTCCCTGTGGTCAAGCACTTTTTATGCGAGGTAAGGAGGAAATGTTTAATTTATTTATAAACAAATAAACGAATTGCACAAAATTTTCTTGGGATAAGTTTTCCATACATTTTTTTTAATATTCTTCTTCTTCTTGTAGTGCCCTGTCCTCATCGGACGTCGGCGACCATTCCTCTGAACTTGTCCCTATCCTGAGCCATCCTGCTCAGGCTGGCAGCGTCCTCAATATTTGTCCAGTTCTTTATATTGTCCAACCAGGTGAACTTTCTCCGTCCTCTACTTCTTTGTCCCTCTATCTTCCCCTCTAGTATTCTTCGCAAAAATTGATATTTATTATTTCGATAAATGTGTCCAAAATATGAGATCTTTCTTTTCTTAACTGTTTCCAAAAGTTCCAATTTTATCTTCATTCTATGCAAAACTTCTATATTAGTTACACGGTCTCTCCACGATATTTTGAGCATTCTTCTGTAGAGCCACATCTCAAAAGCGTTTATTTTTGCCTCTATGGTTTTGTTCATGGTCCAGCTTTTAATATTGCAAATATTAAAACACCAACTAGCCTAGCCTCAAAGTGAGCACTATAAAAGCTTGTGTTATGACTTACTAGGGTAACATATACTGATTCATATGTAAGTATATTTATATAGAAATACATTTTAAACATCATTTCCTTATTTATTTTTATAACGGTCTATGTTCGTGAAAGTCAAATTAATTCCGTATAAAACTGTATGACGTATTACAGAACTGTTTTATCATTGGCAACACTTCTGAAATGTCAGATATTTTTCGAATTAAAAAGATCAGACTATAGGCAACTTCAGATCATATCTACTTGAGAGATGGGCGTAAAACAAAGCCATCATATAAGGGTTGTTTTTTTTTTACTCACACCAATTAGCCTAGCCCCAAAGTAAGCACTGTTTGTGTTATGGGATACTAGGGTAACGGATAGAATACATATACTGATACATATATAAGTTATTTATATAAATATATATATATTATTAAACATCCATGACTGGAGTATAAATGCTCCCACCGTATTCGTCACACAAACATCTGCCCCCACCAAGATTCGAACTCAGGACCTCTCGAGTTGGCTACACCATAAAACCCGGCGTACATACCACTCGGCCACGGAGTTTTTCTAATGTACGGAACTCCTCAAAAATTCAGTAAATATTTCTCTCTCCAAAAGGACTGCGGCCGTTCATACCTTCACTGGACATATCTGCAAGTTCATCGCCGTATGAAGCATGCAAATGACAACTTCCTGTACAAATGTAACCCGTGTAACGTCACTTTTCCCAACAGGTTGGTCTTTGGATCTTTAACGGCGATATTGTTTCTTTATCTATACTTATAATAAATCTGTAGAGAGGTCAATTCTGTACATGAAATATATTTTCAAAATAACTATGGGGGGGTGATTAGTAATCGATACTGATACCAAAAATGCAATCAGTAAAATTTTTGTCTGTCTGTCTGCCTGTGTGTATGTTCCTTATAGAAACAAAAACTACTCGACGGATTTTAACGAAACTTGGTACAAATATTCTTCATACTCCTGGGCAGGTTATAGTATAGTTTTCATCACGCTACAATCAATAGGAGCGGAGTAGTGAAGGGAAATGTTGGGAAAACGGGAGAAGTCACTCCTTTTTTTAAGCTTCCGTCGCGTGTGCAACCTTTATGGTTAAAGTTACATAGAAATCATGTATAACGGAAATATTCTACATAAAATTGTCTAAAAAATATCCCGCAACAGCATATGTCTATCTTTTATGGTTGACTCACAATAACACGTGTAACTCCTGATAGCTTAGCAGTTCGGAGCATTCTGATTATATTTGTTTACTCTTACGTTTATAATACTCTGACTCATCCCTAATTTAAAAAAGTTAACTTTATTACCTATTCAATAAAAAAAGAATCATAGAAAAAGAATTAAATAAATAAATTCATTGTGTACAATACACGCCTGAGAACAAAAACTATAGTCTACACTACAGCTCTACACCGAAGCGAAGCGAGGACGGGCCACTAGTTTATAATAAAAGTGTGGCAAAGTAGCGTATGGCCTGCCCCCAAGACAACGGCTAACTAGAGCCGAGGTCCGAGTCTCAGAGACGCCCTCTAGTTGAGCCGACCCCCTCAGGTTCGAGTGGTCTAGAGGCTCCAGACGGAGAGGATGAAATATATTTGATAGATTACTTCAATTTGAATTTAGTGACGCTTTAGATACTAAATGTCTATTTTACGTATTATCTTAGTTATCGGGCAAAATTGATATTCATTTAATTTCATATATTTTTTTGATTATTCATTCATCAAAATCTGACTATGCGAATTTGCTATTTTAGACCTCCTAGTTTTTTAATGGAAACGAAATTCGAGACCATTAGTATAAATGATTAGATGTTTTTAATATCTTAGAGCAATTTACTTTCCTAATCACGTGATCCGGAGGTAGTTAATCGTAGATTTGTATTTTTCCGAATTGTTCCTAATTTTTCTCCAGGGTATTTTTTTTTTCATTTTCCAAGGAAGACAACGAGGCAAAGAATATTTTTTAACGTGGGTTAAGTTGTATCTGAGTTTTTATCATACTAGATTTATAACCCATCTGAGGAAAAGTTAACAATCAAGGATGAACACAAGCATGTTACACTGTACCCCGTTACATTATGCCCCACATATTACTGTTAAGTTTAAAATAAAAACGTAGAAAATGTTGGTAATATAATGATTACCAAAAAAAGGTTATAGTGAATCAACCTTAAAAGAAAGATATATCTTGTCGCGGACTTTTTTTTAGAACTTTTAAAGCAGAACAATTTCTTAGTACATGATTTTGTGTAACTTCAACCGTTTACGCAGCGGACGCGACGAAAACTTTGTACCCTTAGCACGAACCATTATCGAATTCGAATAGTTTGCGCGTGCGAAATGTCAATGTCATTTTTTTTATAGAAATTTGAACAGCAGCGCTACAAAGTACGTAATGATAACGATAAATCAGTACACATTTGACAATGACATTTTGGACTCGCAAACTATTCGAATTCGATAATGGTTCGTGCTATGGGTACTGAAAAGGAAAATTTTTCCCCCTTTTCTCAACATTTTTCATTGATGCTCCGCTTCTACTAAGATGTTATATTACCTTATGGGCTATCTATCACAAAAATATTTTTTCAATTTGTATCTGTAGTTCCTGCAAAAACCCAATCCACAAAAGAATCAAACAAACAAATTAGTATAGATAATGTTACAATTATTTGACCTTAGCTGGAGTCTAGCGTACCACAGAAAGAAGGTACACGTCAGTATAGATAATGTAATAATTATTTGACCTTAGCTGGAGTCTAGTGTACCACAGAAAGAAGGTACACGTCAGTATAGATAATGTAATAATTATTTGACCTTAGCTGGAGTCTAGTGTACCACAGAAAGAAGGTACACGTCAGTATAGATAATGTAATAATTATTTGACCTTAGCTGGAGTCTAGTGTACCAAAGAAAGAAGGTACATTTTAGTATAGATAATGTAATAATTATTTGACTTTAGCCGGAGTCTAGCGTACCACAGAAAGAAGGTACATGTCAGTATAGATAATGTAATAATTATTTGACCTTAGCTGGAGTCTAGTGTACCACAGAAAGAAGGTACACGTCAGTATAGATAATGTAATAATTATTTGACCTTAGCTGGAGTCTAGTGTACCAAAGAAAGAAGGTACATTTTAGTATAGATAATGTAATAATTATTTGACCTTAGCTGGAGTCTAGCGTACCACAGAAAGAAGGTACATGTCAGTATAGATAATGTAATAATTATTTGACCTTAGCTGGAGTCTAGTGTACCACAGAAAGAAGGTACATGTCAGTATAGATAATGTAATAATTATTTGACCTTAGCTGGAGTCTAGCGTACCACAGAAAGAAGTTACATGGCCAGTCGGGTCTGGGCGATACTGGTACCACTTCGAAAATACCGCGCGAAGATTACAGGTGAGTAAAATGATCTTTTGAGCGATATCAGATAGACACCGTGAATTTTGAGTTACATGAGAAACTTAAAAATTGTAATTAAAAATTTAGATTAGATGACAATACAATATTATTGTACCATCGAGCTAATCTGATGATGGGACTGGAAGGTGGCTGATGGAACCTTGGACTACCTACTAGTAAACGTATCGAGTTTGGGCTCGTTAGATTCGTCTTAACACATTCTGTTCATTTCTCCTGATGAAGAGGACCTGATGATGCACTGGAAGGTGTCTGATGGACCTGGGACTGCCTACTAGTAAACAAATCGAGTTTCAGCTCATTACATTCGTCTTAATATATTCTGTTCATTTCACGTTAAAGGGGGGTAATAAAAACTGCAATAATGAAGCCTTATCGAAAATGGAGAGGATACGTATTCAGTCGCAAAAAACTCGTTCTATGTTTTGTAATAAACTAAAAAGAAACAAATAAATTAATAGTTTAAAAAACTAAAATCGCGCTTTTACTTACTGCACTAAAAAGTCAAAACTAAACAAAATATACTCTCTGTTTACTACACTAGAAAAGTATAACAGGTAACTCAAAAGTTCACGGTGTATAATCCTCTTTATTTCTTTTTTGCTCGAGAAATTGATGATAAATTGCCATTTCACAAGTCACAAAAATTCACAAACTAAATCCAAAATACCTGTAGAATAATAAACCCTTAGTCTTAGTAGAACGGCGGGCTGTTTCCGCAACTCGACACCCAGTGCCTATTTTGCGTGGGGATTGGCATCAGTCCTGCCATCCCAGCTCCTCCAAAAAGCTCAGCAATCCCCAGATGTTGATGCAGGCTTCTACTAGTGTCCGCGGGCTTCCCATTAGAGAAGTCCTTTGTCTTGCAACGCCTCTGCACTCCAGCTGAACATGGGCGTTCGTCTCCTCTTCCTCCAAGCAGGCTCTGCACAGAGGGCTGTCAGAAATACATAATAAACCCTTTTTCACAGTCCTCTGCTTTCCTCTCAGATTTCTTAAATGATATGGCACCTTGGGTTTAATATAATAGACTACTACTACTACTAATTTGGTTGAAAATTGTTTAATCGCCACTTCAAAATTTAAAAATAGTACCTAGCTATACTTAACTTATTGTTAATTCATAATATTAATGTGATAAAAGTTGACATCAACACATGTTTTCAGTTTTTGATGTCATCTTTCAATTGACGGCACTGTATGAAACAAAACAGGGAGAAAAATAGCCCTTGCTTAGTTTCTTGCCGGTTCTTCTCAGTACAAGGTCTCCCGCCGTAGATTTACGAACCGATGGCGTAGCGTTTGACTTTCACAAGAGCTTGTAACAGCCTAGACTGAATAAATGAGTTTGAGTTAGCCGAGGAGTTCTACTATAAAATTACAAATAGTGTAAAAAATGTTAATAAGAATTTTCTATTAGGAAAAAGTTATGCCAGAGAATATTCAGCTATCAGCTGTGAGGAGCTCGATGGCACGGGTGGTTTGCGCGTTCGGCTGCGATCCTTGAAGTTAAGCAACTTTCGTAGTGGTCGGTCATTGGATGGGTGACCAAAAATTTACTATCTCGAGCTCCTCCGTGCTTCGGAAGGCACGTTAAGCCGTTGGTCCCGACTGCATCTGCAGTCGTTAGCACCCGCCAATCCGCAATGGGCCCGCGTGGTGGTTCATGGCCCAATCTCCCTATTCCATCCATAGGGAAGGCCTGTACCCCAGCAGTGGGGACATTAACAGGATGATGATGATGATGATGATGATGATATTCAGCTGTCCCTCATAATAGTAGCTTTATCGGTCACCCCAATTCCAGGATTCCATGTCGTGATTGCGAAGAGGTGCTGCCAAACAAAACTGCGCTCTATAAGCATAGGAAGAAGGAACACAGCGACATGTCATTACAAATGAACGTTGGACCAGGTATGAACTTAGTCTACGTAGTAATCTTAAGAAAATTTTAGAAGAGTTTTAAATTAATTTGACGTCTCTAAGTATGGCTATAAGTTTTTATTATGGCAGGGACCTCTTGGTGCGATTCTTGCAACAGGCAGCGTACATCGAAATGCGGTGATCATCATCAGAAAAACCTAGGGTAAGTCAAAGGTTACTAAAGGGAAATATTGAAATGAACACCAAAAAATAATAATAGATCACCTAAAAAAATAAATTGGTAAGGTTAGGTTTGGTAAGTAATTGTATTTTGTTTAGGATATTTTTTTTCTCTAGAAATGTATACAGGTAGGTATATATAAACAGTATTGACTCGGTACTAATGTTCGTATTCATCACACAAACATTTGTGTAAAAAATTCCCCACCGGGCTTCGAACCCAGCACCTCTGAGAAGGTGACAGGACGTGTGTAAAATTTTACCTTGGCAAATATTTAAATGATTATCACAAATACTTAGTGAAAAAACATGCGCTGAAAACTAAAATTGGGGTTCAACTTACGTACCGGGTACTATAACTCTTTAAAACTGTCTGCAAAAAACACAGTTTAGCTGGTTTAGTTCTTCAGGCAAACTTTTAATTTTATGTTAAGCTGGGTCAAACAAGCTTATGGCACGGTAATAATATCATACAGTATTCTATCTTCATACAAACGGTTGGAAAGCGAGTCATACCTACGCCACTCGAGTTCGATGGGCTCTCGGCGGGCACCCAGTCGCGAATGCGCCGCCGCGCCCCGCAACGACGACCGAACGGTCTGAATTGTTTTTTATGCAGTTAGCCGTGCTTAAACGTGCGTTTTGTATTGTAAATTTATTTTTCTTTCTTTTCTTTCTTTCTTTCTAAATATTTGATTTAATTGAGTAGATACCTACATAATTTAGTATGGAAAAGAACAAACGACGATCAATATCGTACAACAGCACAATTGCTGTTTTTGGTTGCTTGAACTCTTCAATAACACACCCAGAGATATCATTTTTTAAATTACCTGAAATATTGGAAAGGTGTCTTACCTTTATAGAATATTTTTATATACCTATCTACTAGTACGTAATTTGTTTCTAATATTTAGGTATTTCGGTTTTTCCATCGGGCAAAATATCTGGAATAATATATAAATAAGTGGTTAGGATGAAAAAAGAGACAAACGAGTAATCTACCTACACTCGCGTTAAAAACAAAACTACATAAAATACTGTAGGCGGGCTAAGGCCGTATACAGAAAGAAAGCCGAAAGCCGATCGGCGCCGATAAGCGCCGATAAGCGCCGACACGCGCTGGTCCGAATAATAAATAATTTGTATTTGAATTATTATCCTTAGATTAAATCAATCTAAGTTACAATCTTTTTATAAATCTAATAACTTTATCTTTTATTAACTAAGCGCTAAAATTATTTGTTTCGTACTTACCGAATGGTGACAACAAGTCTTTCTTCTGGAAGGATTGGTTGTTTATGCCAATTGCCCCAATTTTTCATCAAACGGTTTTTCACTAAATCCAAAATGTAATAAAATGTTTCTTGAATCATTCTTGTATATGTATAAAATCTTTGTTCATCAAATTTATTTTTTTGTACAAATAAATGATGGTATTCTCCGAAACGTTTCCTTTCTCTATTTATAGGATGTATAGCTGTTTTTCGCATTTTTAAATAAATATTTTCTAACAAAATCAAATCATCGTCCGATGAGTCCGATATTTTGCTTGATCTGCTTTAATCAGCTTCCCTTAATGTAGGAAGGATCGCCGGTCGGCGCCGATCGGCTTTCGGCTTTCTTTCTGCATACGGCCTAACGCAGCGCTCGGCCGTAGGCATTTATTTTCAAGGACAGGGCGGAGTCACAATACTGTATAGATAATATTACCGTGGTTATGGCCTCCCTGATGGTAAGCGGCCACCATAACCTATAGACGTTTGCGATATCAAAACTATCACTCGTGCCGTTGCCTGGATTGTGATAGTGATATCTATGGTATCTGTTGGTTAGCGCGTTCGGCTGCGATGGTTAAAGTTAAGCAACTTTTTCATTGGATGGGTGACTAAAAACTTCTATCTCGAGTTCCTCCGTGCTTCGGAAGGCACGTTGCGCCGTTGGTCCCAGCTGCAGCTGCAGTCGTTAACACCGTCCAATCCGCACTGGGCCCGCGTGGCGGGTCATGGCCCAATCTCCCTATTCCATCCATAGGGAAGGCCTGTGCCCCAGCAGTGGGGACATTAATAGGCTGATGATGATGATGATGAAGCGTCTTTAAGCTATGGTGGTCGCTTACCATCAGGTGAGCCATACGCTAGTTTGCCAGGCTAATGACCAAATATAATTGCGTCATTATGGATCAGATACACGACGACACTCACACTTGTCACACTCGACATTAGTGTCGATTGCATTTTTTGTGTCGACGTTAGTGTAAAGATCTAGTGTCCCGGTTCAAGTGTATTTGCTGTCTCTCGCATGTCCTATCTCCACGGCTGCGACTCGGACACTGAGCGACATCGACACTACATCTGCAAACTGAGTGACGCAGCAGTGGACACTCAGAGACTCTCATATATATGACATGAAAATATCGCCGGGACCAACGGCTTAAAGTGCCTTTCGAAGCACGGAGGAACTTGAGATAGAAGACTTTTGGTCACCCATCCAATGACCGATCAATAAGAAAGTTGCTTAACTTCAACGATCGCAGCCGAACGCGCCACCCGCGCCATCGAGCTCCTCAGCTCTTTTGATACGACCAGTATTTTTCCTTTTTTTTTATTCAGGACACATTTAATCAGCATTAACTGAAGTAGCGACATTTACATAAAATCATGTCGCCACCAATACAATTTATTAGATACAATAATTATGTTTTACACAGTTAGAGCTGGTTCCCACTTGTCGGGTGTCGGATCCGTATATTAATCGGATGTCGGTGCCTTTAGGCACTCTACGCGAGGCGACTGTTCACGATGGACATTGACGAAGTTCTTATTGTAATGTTCCTATTAATGTTTAAGACAACAAAGAAAGTCAGCCATGGAAAGTAAATATTGGGTGCACATATTCCTGAGGGAGAGATTCGATTTTGGGTAAATATCAGAACTTCATAACAGAATTGGGAAGTGACAAAATTAAGTGTTTCAATTATTTTAGGATGTCAATATCAACATTCAACGATCTACTGACTCAAATATTAGTGAACATAATCTACCAAAACACAGGACTTAGAGACTGCAGTTGTACTGAAAAAGGGGTGCGTTACGGAGGGAACAAGGGGTAGCGGGGGAGGATAGTCAGCCCCGACACCCGACAAATATGAATAGCGCCATTCTTAATCATAGGCGAGCGAGATCCGACACGATTTTTTTCCGGACGTAGAGGGCTGACAAAACACCCGACACTTCTTGTCGGAGCCGACACAAATTCCGATAAGTGTGAATAGCTTCTTATATAATGCTCTGCCACTGGAACCTCCGATTAATATACGTATCCGACACCCGACAAGTGGGCACGAGCTCATAGAGCTCATACAGCTCGTTCTCGTTCTCGAGCTCGTTAGGATCTCGCTTGCCTATGATTAAGAATGGCGGTATTCATATTTGTCGGGTGTCGGGGCTGACTATCCTCCCCGCTACCCCTTGTTCCCTCCATAACGCAACCCTTTTACAGTACAAATGCAGTTTCTAAGTGCTGTATTTTAGTAGTTGATGTTCACTCATATTTGAGTCAGTAGATCGTTGAATGTTGATATTGACACCCTAAAATAATTGAAACACTTAATAACAGAATTGAGAAGTGACGAAATTAAGTTCTGAAATTTACCCAAAATGTAAACTTTCCCTCAGGAATATGCGCAGCCAATATTTACATTCCATGGCTCTCTTTCTTTGTTTTCTTAAATAATAATAGGAACATCACAACAAGAATTTAGTCAATGTCCATCGTGAACGGTCGCCTCGCGTAGAGTGCCTAAAATTTGGTTAAAGCTTCAACCGTGACCGACAATCGATTATTAATCCCTTTGTTTCCCGTGGTCCACCTCGTAGTCCACCCAGGTGGACCATGGGGATTATTTCCCCCCTGTAGTTCACCTGGTTGAACCACGGGAAATATTTTTTACCCGTGGTCCACCTGACTCTTCCTCAATTTATTACGGCTCTTCAGTGTCTTGAGCACAATAAGAATTGCAAAATCAAAAAGATACAAATTCATTGGAAACAATGATTATATAAAAGACTAGCTGACCCAGCGAACTTCGTACCGCCCTAAAAAAATAGGGGTTGTCCAGCGGACAAAATTGTGAATCTAAACCATTCTCAGATCCCCTTGAACACACACAAAAAATTTCATCAAAATCGGTCCTGTCGCTTAAGAGAAGTTCAGTGACATACACACTCACAGAAGAATTATATATATAAAGATATTCAGATGCAGTTAATTAACAACAATATTTCTATAGGAATCGCTTTAGAAAAACTACGCTAATTTAATGATTTTAAAAATTGTGACTGCTTTTTTGTTCATAAGAACAACCAAATTTACTGTTAGAAACATATGGCTATGCGGGTAGACTATGGGAAAAAAATAAACCCCGTGGTCCACCTGGGTGGACTACGAGGTGGACCACGGGAAAGAAATGTATTGATCGTGTGTGTGAGCAAACGCACCGACATCCGATTAATATACGGATCCGACACCCGACCTGCGGGAACCAGCTCTAACATTACTGATAGGACTTTGTGTTTAGTGTCTGGTGTCGTCGTGTATACTTACCATTATAGCAAACTCTGTTAAGTAAATCCAGTGGCGTAGCATAGGTCACTAGCACCCGGTGCGGATTCCAAATTTGCCGCCCTCTTATTTTTGCAATCCATTATAAAAAAATTGAGGCATGGTAAAAAGAGTACTTTTATTGAATAACACTAACCTAAGAGTGAAATTATCATTTTTTGACATAGAGTAGACTATCACAATATCACTTTTTTTTTTATTTATTTTTTCTCTATCTGCCACCTCCGCAGCGCCGCCCCCCCCCCCCCCCCCATGCTATGCCACTGAGTAAATCCCTATTTACCTATTAGGTCTTCAGCCATACGCAACAGGTTGGTACAGGGGGTCCGTGCTTGGGCCTGCTCGCGGTGCCCCAAACGGTTCCGTACTCGGTCCGAACTGAGGGCCCACGCTAGACTTAAGCACCCGGCCCATTTGGCTATCATAGAAGTAAGTGTAATAGGTACTTTTAGATAGATGTAGATATTATGGGTATCATCCAACGATATTAAAAACCCTAGATACACCACGTGCGCTTAAAATGTGTCCTTATCAGGTAGTGCTTGAACTCCACTCAAGCACTTCTAGTTTACAGTCACGCGCGGACCGTTGAAAAGTCAACATGCCGCACAGCTCCGGAAAAAATGCGAAAAAAATACGTATAGTACATAAAGTGTCGTTTTTTCGACTTGTATCTAATCAATGTTTGTTAATTCAACACATTTGAAGCAAATTTTGTTCTAATACTTACTATAAACTGATTTAATAGAAAATATTTGTGATATTCAAATGCATAGTCGGTAATATAGCCGTCTCTTTTCCTCGCGGCTGGAAACTGCTATTTTGCTAACAGCGCATTCAAGATTGCGCGTAGGGTCAAACAAATAAGGTCTATATTCTTCCGCAGATAGCAATAATTCGAAAAAAATTATGAGCTTGCATTTCGAACTATCATAACTCTTTGATTTTTTTTATTTTCGCAATGGCCGGTAATCGATTCAATTTCTTCTCTATTGGCTCCTTGAAGATTAAGCCTAGACATGACTAGTGTATGTAGCAGGGATTGTCCATTGGATGGGTGGCCAGAAACATTTTCTCCCTCGCGCCTCCGTGCTTCAGTAGGCACGTTAAGCCGTCTGTCCTGCTGTATCTGCTGTCGTAAGCACACAGCATATAGCACGGTATAGTGGGTCAATTCTTGTATAGATCTTGCAATCTACGAGCGCGTCAGCATGTCAAATCAACATTATATAAATATATAATATATTATTTATCTCTTATCTAATAGACAAGTCCGTCCGTCCGTCCGTGGTGCTGTTTCAGCGCCCAAACCGTAAGAGATAGATATAGAGAATGTTTAAGTTATAAGTTAAGAATAGTCTGATAAGACTACAAACCGGATGTGAGTAACGTAGCACTTCCGGTTTTCGAGAAATCACGTGATTTCTATTTCAAACGAAACCACACAAAATCTCCGAAGTTCCCAATTAATTAAATACTTTTTTTTTTTTTGGTGAACATTTGGTTCACTGGTTTGCTAGTTACTTATAATAACTGAGAGAGCTTTTTATTTTGTTTACAGTTAAGGTATTGTTAAGGATTAAATTTCTTTGTGTTTATTTTAATTTTCTACCTATAATACCAAATATTATATTTAACAATTACTTATTCATTATTACTTATGTAAATTGGTAGTTACTTTAACGATGTTGTGTTTTTTTTATTTTCACCACTCCTTATAAATAAATAAAAAAAGAAATAAAACTAGTTCTAACGGGTTAATGCACGAACTTTATCGTTTTGGGTCACGTGACAATAGATAGGAAAATTATTATCTTTTGACGTGACAACGTCTTAAATTAGGTTGCGGCTGGGAGTCACTTATGAAAAAGTGTAACGCTCGGTAACGTTACGATGAGTCTCTCGTGTTAAGTTTAAGTTTACATGTACAATGTTTTAGTAAACAAAATATATTTCTATAGTTAAAATTTGTGCAATTCTTATTTTCATTCAATTCCTTGTTCCTATTGTGCAATTTAATTATATTCATATCAATAAATATTCTACCGAGAAAAAGACGTTGTCACGTAAAATCTTCGCCCGTAAAACCGACTTTACAGGCAACCATTTTTTTTCGTGGGTTTTTAGTAAAATCATGAATATTTTGTTTGTAAAAATAGCAAATACCGCTGCCAATATTCATTCTAAACACAGATGCTAAGGTATGGCACTTTATTTTTAATACTGTCAAATACCCTATTATTGTTTACTAGCAAACCAGTAAACCAAATGTTCACCAAAACCTGATTTAAAAAAAAAATGTATTTAATTAATTGAGAACTTCGGAGATTTTGTGTGGTTTCGTTTGAAATTCGTGATTTCTCGAAAACCGGAAGTGCTACGTTACTCAAATCCGGTTTGTAGTCTTATCAGACTATTCTTAACTTATAACTTAAACATTCTCTTTATCTATCTCTTACAGTTTGGCCGCTGAAACAGCACCACAGACAGACGGACGGACGGACTTGTCTAATAGATAAGAGATTTGCTAACCGTACACACGGTCACTCTCACGAGTCTCACGTCTACATTGACGCGTATAAAGATTGATCACTCATACAACTACAGGCGCCGCGCGCTCGTAGATTCCAAGATCTATACCACGGTAATAATATCATACAGTATTCTATCTCCATACAAACGGTCGGAAAGCGAGTCATACCTACGCCACTCGAGTTCGATGGGCTCTCGGCGGGCACCCAGTCGCGAATGCGCCGCCGCGCCCCGCAACGACGACCGAACGGTCTGAATTGTTTTTTGTGCAGTTAGCCGTGCTTAAACGTGCGTTTTGTATTGTAAATATTTGATTTAATTAAGTAGATACCTACATAATTTAGTATGGAAAAGAACAAACGACGATCAATATCGTACAACAGCACAAATGCTGTTTTTGGTTGCTTGAACTCTTTAATAACACACCCAGAGATATCATTTTTTAAATTACCTGAAATATTGGAAAGGTGTCTTATCTTAATAGAATATGTTTTATATACCTATCTACTAGTACGTAATTTGTTTCTAATATTTAGGTATTTCGGTTTTTCCATCGGGCAAAATATCTGGAATAATATATAAATAAGTGGTTATGATAAAAAAAAAAGAGAAAAACGAGTAATCTACCTACACTCGCGTTTAAAACAAAACTACATAAAATACTGTAGGCTGGCGGCCCTACCGCGTGCCAACGCAGCGCTCGGTGTAGGCATTTATTTTCAAGGACAGGGCGGAGTCACAATACTGTATAGATAATATTACCGTGTCTATACCCCCTATTCCATTCTTTAGATAAGGCCTGTGCCCCAGTAGTGAGGATATTGATAGACTGATGATGACCTGGTTGTTACCCTAGATCCGAGGTCTCAACCCGACCCCAGATGAAGTACTGGAGCATTTGCGACTCAACAATATCGCCCACGATAAAGTCATCGATATAACCAAGATATCTTTTTTGAAGGTGGGTACTTTTATGTCGACTTGACGACCTCCGTGGGCCAATGGTATGTATTATTCCCTTCAGGTTGGAGTGTTCTAGAGGCTCCAGACGGAGAGGAGACTCCCCTCGTGGGGAGATGCCATCCGCCTGGAATACCTTAGAGGCACTCGCCAATTCTCGGCTTGAGGTCCCCTTAGGATCTCGCCGTCCCCAAACCAGGGTTTGTTTACCGATTAATTTTCAAACCTAAATCAATATCAAGTACATTATGAGCATTTTATTTAGGTTTGGCTCTTAACCTCAAAAAACCGGTTTTCCTAACAAGCGAAATCAAATAGGTTTTGAATCAATTTAGCGGTTTTTTAAGGGTTTCATTTCGCTCTTGCTGACGGCATCGCCTTTGCCGTTTCAATTCTTCTAATGATTTTATGTCAGTGTCTTTCCAACTACAGAGCGAGTGAGTGAAGTAGTGTGTCAGTACTCAACTACAAAATGAATAAATTGACTCACTAGACGCTAGCAAACGTGTCAATAAATGCATCAATCTCTGAGCATTAACAAATTGTGACTTGATTAGTACAAAAAAAAAACAAACTACAAGCAATGCCGACGCGTGCACGTGTCGCTCTGGATTAAACCGGTTTATTAAGGTTTTAGGTACCGCTTTCATTTCGGACGCGCTCCGAACGAAACCTTTACTAAAAACCGGTATTAACCTTTATTTACCGGTATTTTGGAAACCGTTTACAAAATGAAAACAAACATAATAGACAACAGATAGCATTTTTATTTTATACAGAGTAGGTGTGCACAATTTTAATCAATCCTATGCACTTTTGCATGATCTCCCATACAAACTTTGACACGAAATTTTGTAATCTGTTGAGGGTAGTTGTAAAAATTTTATTCTACAGGCTTTGTGGACATCTGTTAAATAATGTTTATGCAAAATTTGCAAACAATAGGTCCAACGGATAATATTTTACGAACGAACGTTTTTTGCACACGCTGAATTTCAAAAAATCCCATCTTATTTCTTGTCTAGGCTAGGTCTAGCCGTTTCGTCTGTGCGTTGATGAGTCATTCTGTCAGTGTATCCTTTTCTCTCTTTATATAATAGTATAGATAATATTGCGTGTCAGAAATCCGCCACTTCCACAGACAGGGGTTTTTTGACGTTGGGAGAAATCTGCCATTTACACAGATCAGTACCCTTAGTACGAATTTGAGCTCACGAAAACTATCATAGTTTTAGTAATTGTAAATTATAAAGAAAAGTTTACTAGAAAAAAATCCACGCGGACCAGGCAGCGGACGGGACTCGAACCCGCATCCTTCGCTATCCGGGCGAATGCACTGACCATTATGCTACCACGGCCCTAATAATGGTCAGTGCATTCGCCCGGATAGCGAAGGATGCGGGTTCGAGTCCCGTCCGCTGCCTGGTCCGCGTGGATTTTTTTTCTAGTAAACTTTTCTTTAGATTTAAACATCTAGCAGTTAAATGCTTAAAAAATAAATAAAATCATAATTGTTTCTATGTCCATTTTGGTCAAAAGTAACCAAATATTCTTAAAATTTATGAAGGCGCAAATGATTTAATGATAGAATTTAAACACTGTTTATTTGTATTGAAACGAAAACAATAAAATCAGTACCCTTAGTACGAGTGCGAGCTCACGAAAACTATCATAGTTTTCGTAATTGTAAACTCGTACTAAGGGTACTGTACCCCTAGCACGAACCAATATCGAATTCGTATCGTTTGCGAGTCCGAAATGTCATTGTCAAATGTGTACTGATTTTTAGTTCTCGTTACGTACTTTGTGCCGCTGCTGTTCAAGTTTCCATACAAAATTTGACATTGACATTTCGGTTTGCAAACTATTCGAATTCGTTAATGATTCGTGCTAAGTGTACAGTAGATAATAATTAATTAGATTAATTAGTGATGATGACGCGAATTCTTTCGTTTATAATATTGGGGTACCATACAAACTTTCATCCCTTACTTCACCTTTTCGCAACAAAAAGTAGTCTTTATTTATTTATTTTTAAACTTTATTGACCAAAATATATAACATTTGTGCAAAAGGCGGACTTAATGCTAAAAGCATTCTCTCCCAGTCAACCTTTGGGAAAAATGAAAAACACGAACGGCGGTATAAAGCTAAATACGAATATATACAAATTAACATAGATACATATATAAATGCATACTATAAAAAGAATATAATACATACAAACAAAACACACTAATACTTATTTAAATATACACAGTATACATACATATATATATATACACATATACACATCATCTTGTGTATATGTGTATATATATGTATGTATACTGTGTATGTATACACAGTATACATACATATATATACACATATACACAAGATGATGATTAATGAAATGACACTTCATTTTAAGTTTTGCAACAGATGAGCGTGAACATTCCTTTTAAATATAAGTTTACTAGGAGATCTTCTGATGGAGTCGGAAAGGTCATTCCACATTCCGGCTTGAAGAGTAAAGGTGTTGGACATATAGCCTGAGTGAGAAAGACGCATATACAGAGCTAATGAATCAGCAGAGCGGAGAGGACGATCGCGACTATAACAAAGATACTAAAACTTGCATTTCAAGTACTCTGGAGAATGAGGGTTGGAAATAATGGAAGAAAGAGTGCAGAGTAATCTTAACTGCCTGCGCTGGCGAATAGGTGTCTCGTGTGTCCTTTGCCGCCGCCTACGTTCCCTTTATCTAAAAGTCTAAATTTCATGTTTGACAAATACGCAAATACCGAATACCCAAGTCTATTGTCACATTAAATAAGAAAATTTATTTGTTTGTCAGGGAGCTTCGAGTATTATTCCCAATTCGGCCCGAGCTTTGGCCATGTTGGGACATGTGCAGAGAACGCCTGTAGCTTACAGCAAACCAATAGGCAATGATAATGGTAAGTCAATAGGTTCATCATCATCATCATCAGCCTATTAATGTCCCCACTGTTGGGGCACAGGCCTTCCCTATGGATGGAATTGGAAGATTAGGACGTGACCCACCACGCGGGCCCAGTGCGGATTGGCGGGTGCTAACGACTGCAGATGCAGCCGGGACCAACGGCTCAACGTGCCTTCCGAAGCACGGAGGAACTCGAGATACAAAATTTTTGGTCACCCATCCAATGACCGACCACTGCGAAAGTTGCTTAACTACAACGATCGCAGCCGAACACGCTAACCACCCGCGCTATTGAGCTCTTCAATTCATTAGGTTATGCTTTGATTATTCCTATACACTCTAGATACCGTATTCTTATTCTTATATTAGGATAGCTCGATGGCGCAGGTGGCTAGCGCGTTCGGCTGCGATCGTTGAAGTTAAGCAACTTTGGCAGTGGTCGGTCATTGGATGGGTGACCAAAAATTTACTATCTCGAGCTCCTCCGTGCTTCGGAAGGTACGTTAAGCCGTTGGTCCCGGCTGCATCTGCAGTCGTTAGCACCCGCAAATCCGCACTGGGCCCGCGTGGTGGGTCATGGCCCAATCTCCTTATTCCATCCATAGGGAAGGCCTGTGCCCCAGCAGTGGGGACATTAATAGGCTGATGATGATGATGATGATTCATATATTGTATTACTAGCGGTCGCCCGCGACTTCGTACGCGTGGAGTTAGTTATTTGCACATACCTTTTGACCCCCAAAAGGGGGTTTGTTTCTAAAGATACATTATTAGTACATTTCTACACCATCTATAGAGCATACATGTTAATAAATAATAATAAATAAATATTTAGGTTCAAAGATAATTTATTTCCCATAAAGACATACAGTCCACTTAAAATGAGAATATAGAAATAACATGCAGTTGTGTATTACTTATTGCTCCTTTTGGAACATCGGATATTTCAGTTACAAAATTGATACTAATACTTAAGTTCAACACCCTTAAAAAGTAATATTTCTTGTTTTATGACTTAATTGTTCAAAGCCCAGTGTTAACAATAGTAAGTTATTTCCGACACTCACACCAAAGTACCTAAGCACTATAAGGCTTGTGTTATGGGATGCTAGGGTAACCGATAGAATACATATACTGTACATATATAAGTATATTTATATAAATACATATTGCACATCCATGACTGGAGTACAAATGCTCGTATTTATCACAAAAACATCTGCCCCCACCGGGATTCGAACCCGAGACCTCTCGAGTCGGCGACAGCCATGAAACCCGGCGTACAAACAACTCGGCCACGGAGGTCGTCAAATGTTAAATTTCAAGTCTCTTACTTCAAAAACATAGGACTTTCATGCAAACTTCCAAACATTACCCCCTTAGGGGTGCAGTTTTGTGATAATATGTAGCCGTTAAGTTGACCCGACTTCTTAACAATATTCGTGCCAAATTTGAAGTAAATCCATGCAGTACTTTTTGAGTTTATCCCGGACATACATACAGACAAACAGACAAAAATTCTGTAAACTATATTTTTGATTGAATTTTCAATGTACAGTTTGACTTTCCTACCATTTTATTATATGTATAGATTGGTCGATTCTAGTGGGATTCTCTAAAGCTAAATTTAAATTTGGCAACAGGGTGTCCTTGTCATTCTCTATACAGAATGAAAAAGACACACTGATGTCAAATTTAGTTTTAAGTTTAGAGAATCCTGCCAGAACATTGTATTAATGCTATAGTTAGTTTTAGTGACCATAGAAGTTTAAAACTATGTTGTTTGTATGACAGATTATCTTGGACGAGGTATAGCAAAGACCATTCGTCGAACTAATGTACAAAGTCAAGTGGAGCAAACTTCAGATCAGAACCAATTCCCTATATCAATCGACGTGACTGAAGTGAGTAACATATTTATAGCAACATCATCTTCTTCTTATATATATAACTAGCAAACCAGTGAACCAAATGTTCACCAAAAAAAAAGTATTTAATTAATTGAGAACTTCGGAGATTTTGTGTGGTTTCGTTTGAAATTTGTGATTTCTCGAAAACCGGAAGTGCTACGTTACTCAAATCCGGTTTGTAGTCTTATCAGACTATTCTTAACTTATAACTTAAATATTCTCTTATCTATCTCTTACGGTTTGGCCGCTGAAACAGCACCACAGACAGACGGACGGACTTGTCTAATAGATAAGAGATTCTATTGTCACAATGTTATTTAGTTACCACGAAACGGCTTGACCGATTTTTATGATATTTTATGTATGCATATACAGTAGGTCTGAGAAGCGGCTACTATCTGTTACTATACTCCTAAGTGAAAAGGGAAGTCCACCATTAATATTTTTTTTCTTTTTTGAACATTTTTTTTTATGATACATCATACAAAAATACTTACGAACCTAAATTTTCACCATTGTACCACCCATATTTTTATGGCGATACGAAGTTCGCTGGCTCAGCTAGTATCTCTTATCTATTAGACAAGTCCGTCCGTCTGTGGTGCTGTTTCAGCGGCCAAACCGTAAGAGATAGATAAAGAGAATATTTAAGTTATAAGTTAAGAATAGTCTGATAAGACTACAAACCGGATTTTGAGTAACGTAGCACTTCCGGTTTTCAAGAAATCACGAATTTCAAACGAAACCGCACAAAGTCTCCGAAGTTCTCAATTAATTAAATACATTTTTTTTAAATCGGGTTTTGGTGAACATTTGGTTCACTGGTTTGCTAGTGTATATAAAATTCTTGTGTCACAATGTAAGTTACCATACTCCTCCGAAACGGCTTGACCGAATTTTATGATATTTTATATGTGCATATACAGTAGGTCTGAGAATCGGCTACTATCTGTTGTACATACTCCTTAGTGAAAAGGGTTGTCCACCGGTAACATTTTTTTTTTACAATTATTTTTTTTATATTTTTGATAAATTGAATATCATCATCATCATCATCAGCCTATTAATGTCCCCACTGCTGGGGCACAGGCCTTCCCTATGGATGGAATAGGGAGATTGGGTCATGACCCACCACGCGGGCCCAGTGCGGATTGGTGGGTGCTAACGACTGCAGATGCAGCCGGGACCAACGGCTTAACGTGCTTTCCGAAGCACGGAGGAGCTCGAGATAGTAAATTTTTTTGGTCACCCATCCAATGACCGACCACTGCGAAAGTTGCTTAACTTCAACGATCGCAGCCGAACGAGCTAACCACTTACGCCATCGACCTCCTCAATCCAAAATTGAATATAATTGATTGAATTAAGCCGGTTTTCAAGGTTCGAATCCTGGTGGGGCAAATGTTTGTGTGATAAATTCGAGCATTTGTACCTTAGTCGTGGATGTTTATATGTATTACTATAGAAATGTACTTGTGTATGTATCAGTATATATATTCTTTTCGTTATCCCAGTATCCCATAACACAAGCCTTGCTTAATTTGGGGCGATAATTGATGTGAGTGTAACAAATATTTATTTAGCCTAGCCCCAAAGTAAGCACTGTAAGGCTTGTGTTGTAGGATACTAGGGTAACGGATAGAATACATATACTTATATTTATATAAGTACCATGACTGGAGTAAAAATGCTTATATTCATCACACAAACATCTGCACCCACCGGGATTCGAACCCGGGTCCTCTCGAGAAGGTGACACCTTGAAACACTGCATACATGCCACGGAGGTCGTCTTAATATAGAATGAAATATAAAAGTATATTTTCTTTAATATAATATATTTTTTTTTCGAGCAGTTAAATGCCAAAAAAAAAAAATTATAACTATAATTGCTATTTCTTCTTTCAAATGTTTAATACTTGTAAAGGTATTCATTTGACATTGTTGTTACCTACGATGCGAAGAGATGGCGCTGACTTGCAGCTTAGGAAAGGCTAGAAAGAATTCGACACGACCATCAGGGCCCGCTTCAGCATAATTGGTCAGTGCATTCGCCCGGATAGCGAAGGGTGCTGGTTCGAGTCCCGTCTGCTGCCTGGTCCGCGTGGAATTTTTCCTAGTAATATTTTCTTTAGATTTAAACATTGAGCAGTTGCATGCTTAAAATATTAAAATTATAAATAGAGAATGCTTTTTTGTCACCAGGAACTGCCACATGCAAATGTCCAAAAGCTTATCCAGGATGGCGTACTATCTACCAGTTTCCATATGTTAAATAAATCACCTCAATAAGGAATTCCGAGTAATATCTACAATTCTACATAATAAATTGTGTTAAACCCTCGGTTTCTGCACAATTTAGTACTTTGGTACAAATTATTTCGAAAATTAATTTAAAAGTATACCTAAAAAACTCACTTATCAAAGTCCTAACAAATTCAATAGAAATAGTGTTGCCATTAATTTAAATGTTTAAACGACATTTTTATATGGTACAGAATATTATCATTGATAATGAATTCCATTTATATTTTAATGAATTAGGCGTATTTTTCAACGAATAAATGTATGATGATATTTGAGGTACAAGATTGGACAGAAATATCTTAATCAAAGGAATGGATCCTTTTGACTAATGGTATTTTAATGTAAATCACATTTGACTATGTATCAAACGGCGACCCTAGTTAAATTTTAGTTTAATTAAACTCAGTAAAATATAAAATTTTTACGTCTCTGAGTAGGTCTTTAAAGTGTTTTATTATTTGTACTTGTTAGTGTTAGTTATTAAAGAAATTGTTTCAATGGCGTTAATATGATTATTTTAAAATAAACACATTATATTATAATTTATTGAGTGTTTTATTTAACCTTTATTCAAACGAGTATTTTTATATATTTTATTTAATATTTTTCATTAACCGGAATGAGCAATGTTATTTTTTTTTTTCTATTATTTATATAATTATTAGTCTTATCACTACAAAAAAATATAATCCGTTCAATATGAGTTTATGAAAAAAAACGACGGGTTGCACTCCGGGAGTACCGGCAGAAGTGAAAACTTCGTCAAATCAAGTCTAACCATTCTAAAATATCAAAAATGCACAACGTTAATATTCAAGTTTTCACTTCTGCCGGCACTCCCGGAGTGCAACCCGTCGTTTTTTTCTTCTTTTCTAATTTTAAGAATAATCAGCAACTGGAATAATATATTTTAATCGCATGCATTGTTCATAATGAAAATATCGTCTCGCGTCGCTTCATTATCAAAAGCCATTATCGTACGCAATCTTTTAATCCGAACGATTACATATTATCGTTAATTTATCAGGCAGATAGTCCATTCGAGTTCTGTGATTGCTTAGCCGTGGTTGAATTATGCTGGTGCCTTGTTTCCCTTGCTTAAGAGCGGGCAATGAGGACGAGGATTATTCCCGACAGCTGGACAAGAATATAAAGCAATGGATCACACCATACGAAAATGTGAGTCTGTGACTATATTTTTTGGCGACCTCCGTGGCCGACTAGTTTGTTCATGTTGTCATGGTGTCGCTTACTTAACAGATACCGGTGGGGACAGTACCCCTAGCGCGAACCATTATCGAATGAGGGCTACCGTTTTTTGTCTCACCAGATGGCGCCACTGTTGAGTGAGGTCCTGAATTGTAACTTTTAATGTTTATTAATACGTAACATTTAAACCATATTTTAATACAAAAGAACCGTATTCTAAACATAATTGGCCATACCACAGTGTTGCGCAGCTCCGTTTTGTACGACAAAAAGGAGGACATAATTATTTTTCTTAGCTCCGCTTTTAAATAACTGGCATTCAATGCCACGTAACTCATATTTGCTATAATTAAGCCCAGTTATTACTAAATATTCACAACATTATTTTCTCACGCTACACAAGCGCCTCTAGCGGCGGATTCATACGCGATATAGTATTGGAATAGTTTGCAAACCGAAATGTCAATGTCAAATTTTGTATGGAAACTTGAACAGCAGCGGCACAAAGTACGTAACGAGAACTAAAAATCAGTACAAATTTGACAATGACATTTCGGACTCGCAAACGATACGAATTCGATATTGGTTCATGCTAGGGGTACAGATGTTTGTGTGATGAACACGAGCATTTGTATTCCAATCATGGATGTTCAATATGTATTTCTATGAATACCTATATACTTTTAAATATTTACAGTGTAATATGTATTAAATTCGTTACCCTAGTATCCCATAACGCAAGCCTTACAGTGCTTACTTTGGGGCTAGGCTAATTAGTGAGTGTTGGAATTATTTATTTATTTATTGATATTGGTACTAACTTTGTGTAGCACTTCACTTCGCTATTCGTATTTGCTATTTGTAAACTTGACAACACGAAAATGAGTGAATGAATAAGGAGCTCGATGGCTTAGGTAGATAGCGCGTTCGGCCTGCGATCGTTGACGTTAAACAACTTTCGCAGTGGTCAGTCATTGGATGGCTGACCAAAAACTAATTGAGGAGCTGGCGAACAAAACGGTATAAGTACATGAAATTAAATTTGACAGGAGCAGTAAAACACTGAATGACACACCTACAGTGAGAGTTTGACTTGGTTTTTCATTTATTAATATTTTAGTTTTAATACAATTATAAGCGGTTTTGATTGAAAATGAGTTGAGGTTCAAATTCAGCAGGCCCAAAACCTCCTTATTAGAATCCCTAACGGGGAATCCGCGGCTTCGCATTAAACAATGTAGAAGGTATTCGCAGGACTTTTTTAGCGGGTATTATGCTGTAAAGCGCCCGTAAGAGTTGCGGGGTCCTCGGTGGTCAGCCACTGGGGGGTTCGTAAGACTTGCGGGAGCCAGGTGTGAGGTCCGTTCGGCGGTGTGCCTCTTAAAGGCGCCGTCGTCTGTAAAAAGATTTTTTACTTGCGTTATAAAAAGAGGCCCAAAACCTCTGGACTGTGAAAAAAAAGGATTTTGACTTGATACGTAACTTTACCGTTTTGTTCGCCAGCTCCTCGATTATCTCTCGCTCCTCCGTGCTTCAGAAGGCACGATAAGCCGTTGGTCCAGGCTGCATCTGCAGTCGTTAGCACCCACCAATCCGCACTGGGCTTGCGTCATGAGTCACGGCCCAATCTCCCTATTCCATTCATGGTAAAGGCCTTGGAGAAGCTCAATGGCGCAAGTGGTTAGCGCGTTCGGCTGCGATCGTTGAATTTAAGAAACTTTCGCAGTGGTCGGTCATTGGATGGGTGACCAAAAATCTTCTATCTCGAGTTCCTCCGTGTTTCGGAAGGCACGTTAAGCTGTTGGCCCCGGCTGCATCTGCAGTCGTTAGCACTCACCAATCCGCACTGAGTTTGCGTCGTGAGTCACGGCCCAGTCTCCCTAGGCCTATTCCATTCATGGTTAAGGCCTTGTGTTCCTGCAGTGAGGACATTAATAGGCTCATGATCAATCAATCAATCAAATCATTCATTCGTTGTCATCGGTAACTATAACTTTTTAAAATTTATATAAATGTGCCTCCATGACATTCTCAACAGCATACGAAAATTTGCTATCATTAAATTTTAAATTCAATAAAATCATAATCATAAAATAATCAATACATAAAACTATAAATGAATAAAAAAAACAAAATATCAGTATCCGTTAAAAATTCATTTACATTATAATAACATTTATCCACTAAAAATTTCGTCAGTATTTTTTTAAATGTAGGTATTTGTATTATAATATTTAATGCTGTCAGGTAACTTATTTTATACTTTAGGAGCCATTTCTACAACACTTTTCTTCATTAGAGCTGTTCTACACATATTATTTTGTACAAAGGAGATTGCTCAAATTGGCCCAAATGTACAAAAAATATTGACATATACGGTAATTCTTGGCGTAATTTATACTTTATTTTACAGTCATTAGATTTTAACGGACACCTTTGTATAATATAATCATTTTAAAAAGGACTTATATTTTTACCGGTTTGGAAAACATACGAATCATTTTTAATGGCTATGGGTGTAGTAACATTCAGCCAAAGAGTGATCGAAGTTGTTTATATAACATCAAAACAAATCTATTATGTAAAGATCGATAAAATAAAACATTTTTTTTATTACACTGTGATATTAATATCCACAAGTATATAATAATTTTTACTACATGAAAAATGTGCTAAGACAAATATTATAGATGGTAGGCGACATCATAAAGTCTATTGCCATACACCTCCATAAACACATTATAAGGCGTGATACACTAAAAATCTTAAATATGGTTATAATTTAAACATAACCAAAATAATAAGCTTTCTTTAGTTTATTTATATTATTCAGATGACTTCAGTGTTCAGGATTTGGCCAATATCTGGTGAATGTGTCCAAAATTTCTTGTCTAGGTTTATATGGCTTGTTTATTGTTTTTAACACTGTTTTGGCTGTGGAAGGGCTTTGTGCACGTTATTTAGAACTTATTTCAATACACAATCAAAGTTTTCACTTTTGGTTTCCTAGCAACGTATTCAATAATTGTGGTCTGTGAACGCATTCAAAGTTCAGAAACCGTAACAAACCTAGGCCCATGTTAAGCCGGGTCACCTGTGCTGTATTTTCGTATTTGCTGACACGATAACATTTTTTTGCTAACCGATTAGGGGCGTGACCGAACAGTTTTGCTAACTGATGGGATAAAACTATTTTGATAATATGTTTGGTTATTAAATTTGCGCAGGAAGCTGGGCGCGTGTATAATTCCTTTATTCGGTTTCCTGATCAGGAATTCAGATATATTCGCTTGCAATGCAAGCGAATAGCTTTTAGCACTCATACTTTTAGTTTATAAAGATATCTATTAGAACGAAGTTTCGTATGGCGGATAACGCCAAACTAGCGAGGCAGCTAGGTGTATACCTAGATAGGCGACCACTGACGGCGGTGTTGATATTCAGCCAGCACGACAACAGGAAAACTCAAGAAGTAACATGTAAAGAGAATACATGCCAACGTCTTGATGACAGTCAAGAACGTTATTCTTTTATCTTGATAAAATAGCTATAATAATGAAGTCATGTGTAATATTGTATAAAGAAATAAAACAAAGTTTCGATTCAAATACTGCCATTTATTTACTCTATCAAGTGGTAGCAGAACGCTCTAGTGTGTAAATAAACACAAAAGTCAGGTAGATTCACGTAACTAAAATTTCATGTACGTATAGGGTAGTGTAAATATAAAGCTAAAATGGCAGCAGCTGCAAACAGCCGAATAAATATCGAAACTTTAACAAAATCAAATTATGATACCTGGTGCATACAAGCACAAGCAGTTCTCATAAAGAACGGCCTATGGGACATTGTGAGTGGTGCGAAAACTCTACAGCCAAATGCTGATGAAGCAGTCAGGACAGCATTCAACAAAGAAGCTTTGAAGGCCAAAGCCGAAATTATCTTGTTGCTATCCTCGTCCGAACTCAAGCATATCAAAGGCTGCATAACATCAAAGGCGATATGGGACAAGCTAAAAGCTACCTACCCGAGTACCGGACCAGCGCGAAAAGCAACACTGTTGAAACAGTTAGTACTTAAAAGAATGACCCAAGGGGAAGACATACATGACCATTTAAACGATTTCGTGGACATAGTAGATAAACTCGAAGAATATAACGAGAGTTTAAAAAAAATCTGTAATCTGTGGCTTATTCACAAATAACACACATTTTCTGTCACAGAAATATACCTTATTGTAACCGGAAAGGCATAGATGATACCTGATTTTAAAAGTTACTCTTATGAATTAACTTTAAAAACAGGCAACAACTAGTTGTAGACTAATAGATAGTTGCCTGTTTTTTTGGTTTGGTTTTATATACCTGAATCTAATACATTATTTCGTTACTTATTTGTTTTTTATTTTATTACCTTTGTACCTATTTGCAAACAACCTCAAAATCATTCAGTGTCATATATGGTTTATAGAAGTTCTCAGGGGTGTCCGTCAATAATATTCGTTTCTACAGTAATTTATATATAATTTCGAATCTAGGAAACAATTTTTCATGATTATTGGTCTTTAGGCCAAACATGTATGGAAGCTGAGCAATCTCCTTTGAGGTTTCCGATGATGATGAAGAGGTCTGCTTAAAAGAAGATCATAAAGGATATTACCTATTTGCTTTGTCAATCATACAAAAGTTTGCGATTTTTTTTCGAGTGTGTATGCTGTTGGTGGCAGATGACCTTTACAGCTTCACCGGGTTTGGGGACAGCGAGATCCTAAGGGGACCTCAAGCCGAGAAATGGCGAGTGCCTCTAGAGGTATTCCAGGTGGATGGCATCACCCCACGGGGGGAGTCTCCTCTCCGTCATCAGCGCCAACAGCATACACACTCGAAAAAAATAAAAATAAGTTTAGTGTTTTTTGTAACCTAAAAGTTAGAACTGCAAGTTTATTTTTATTTCTCGTGTTAAATAGGGTATTTGACAGTATTAAAAATAAAATATATGTTAGCATCTGTGTTTAGAATGAATTTATATATAATAGCAGAGGTTTTTACTATTTTTACAAAAAATATTCATAATTTTACTAAAAACCCACGAAAACGATAGTAGTTTTCTTATCTATTGTCACGTGACCCAAAACGCTTGGGATTGGCGGAGCCTAAAATGACGTCACACGCAATTAAACTTCCGGTTAAAGTGACATTACATTGTACCGTTTGACGTTTTAATAACAGTCGTGTGACGTCACACACTAGTAAGACGCCATTTTGTCCAGAGAAACGTTTTCGCGGCAATTTGGAAATGGAGTTTTTGATTTGGTTACTTTTACTGAAATGATGAATATCCACTTTTCACAGACTCCATAAACATTAGTCAATAACGTGAGATCGTTTTCTAAAACTTGTCAAATACCCTATTGATGAATATCGCTTGTCTTTATTACATTGATTTAATATACTTAAAGGCTATAAAACTGCTATTGCTCGGCACTGGGGAGAGCGGAAAGACTACCATTATCAAACAGATGAAGATACTGCACGTGTCAGGATTCTCAGCTGCGTGAGTTTGTTTAATTTATTTATATTAAAAAGTACAACTGTACCCCTAGCACGAACCATTAATTCGATCGATAATCGAATTCGAATAGTTTGCAAACCGAAATGTCAATGTCAAATTTTGTATGGAAACTTGAACAGCAGCGGCACAAAGTACGTAACGAGAACTAAAAATCAATACACATATGACAATGACATTTCGGACTCGCAAAACGATACGAATTCGATATTGGTTCGTGCTAGGGGTACAGTACTTCTAGTACGAACCAAAATCGAATTCGAATAGTTTGCGAGTGCGCAATTTCATTGCCAAATTTTGTATGGAAACTTGATCAGCAGCACCATAGCGGACGTAACGAGAACATAAAATCAGAACACATTTGACAGTAACATTTCGCGCTCGTAAACTATTCGAATTCGATATTGGTTCGTGCTTGGTACTGAACTAAATGATACCACTCATTTAGTTTAATACTACAAGTAATTGAAGAAAATATTACTAGAAGAAATTTCAACGCGGGCCAGGCAGCAGACGGCACTCGAACCCGCACCCTTCGCAATCCGGGCGAATGCACTGACCAATTATGCTACCGCGGCCCTCATGGACCGCGACGAAATTCCTCTAGTCATTCTTAAGCTGCAAGGCAGCGCCATCTCTTCTCATTGTAGGTAACCCACAATGTCAAATGAATACTTTTACAAGTATTAAACATTTGAAAGAAGAAATTATTATTATTATGTTTTAAAGCATGTAAGTAACTGCTTGATGTTTAAATCCAAAGAAAATACGTATAACTAGAAAAAATTTCAACGCGGGCCAGGCAGCAGATGGGACTCGAACCCGCACCCTTCACTATCCGGGTGAATGCACTGACCAATATGCTACCGCGGCCCTGATGGCCGTGTTGAATTCTTTCTAGCCTCTCTTAAGCTGCAAGGCAGCGCCATCTTTTCGTTTTGTAGGTAACCCACAATGTGAAATGAATACCTTTACAAGTATTAAACATTTGAAAGAAGAAATAGCAATTATAGTTATAATCTGCGCCAGGCAGACCCGTCTTTCCCAGTGGGCACTTTGGGCAATTGCCCAGGGCCCCGTGATCGATAGGGGCCTCAGGTCAAATACAAAGTCCCTAGTTCTTATTTGTCTGGTCGTTGGAGTCGTCGTTCGCTAAGGTCGTAGAAGTCGGTCGAACGAAACTTGGCAGTCACCGCCGTCCTGTCTCGTAGTCCATCGTCATCTCTTTTCCTGTCAATACTGTCATGATGTCCGTCTGTCATATGTAGGCTAGTCAGTCAGTCCAAGGAGGCCGGACGCCGCGACATTCCCACCCCCAGTATCAGAAAGCTGATACTCAAGGTTGGGAGCCGACTTCCAGTCTACACAGTTTCGTCGCCGGTCGAGTATAAAGTCCCTGCCTCGTCGCAACGTCTGCGACGCGTACCTGGTGGTCCTTTCCAGGGTACACTTTCGCGATCCGACCCCGAGGCCATTGACCCCTCGGAAGTTGGTCGTCCGCGATTATCACGATGTCACCTACGGTGAGCGGCCTGTCAGGTACCTGTAGCCACTTATCTCGCCTCGTCAGAGAGGGCAGATATTCGCGGACCCATCGCTTCCACGTCAGGCCCGCCAGGAACGCCGCAGTAAGTCCCCGTCAGAGAACGTACCAGACGGTCTGCCAATCGCCGAAGTGTCTGTAAAGAGAAAATCGTTAGGCGTCAATGGTAAATCGTCGTCGGAGTCAATTGGCACGTAAGTTAATGGACGGCTATTCACAAACTGTTCGGCCTCTGCCAGGAGCGTTCGGAGGGTCTGCTCGTTTGGGACTCGCTCCTTTAGCGTCACACGTAGCGCCGTCTTAATGCTACGCACCAGTCTTTCCCAGCAGCCTCCCATGTGTGGAGAGTTTGGAGGTATAAATCTCCATTCGATGTTGCGGGTGCTGCCGAAACGCAGTAGTTCGCTCTGGTCCATTGCTAGTACCGCCTGTTTCAGCTCGCGATCGGCCCCACGGAACGTCGTTGCGTTGTCACTGTGTATGACCGCTGGACAGCCTCGACGAGCTATAAATCGGCGTAAGCTCAGAATCGCAGAGTTGGTAGTCAAGTCGTTGACTAAATCTACGTACACCGCGCGTACAGTGAGGCAGGTGTATAAGGCTCCCCATCTTTTCTCTTGTCTGCGGCCTATTTTGACCAACATAGGCCCGAAATAGTCTAAGCCTGTGTAGGTGAAGGGTCGATGTCCTCCTTGGAGCCGAAATTCAGGTAGTTGTCCCATGAGCGGCGGTACGGCTCTCGCGCGTTTTATCTTGCAGAGGGAGCAGTCATTCCAGGTCTTTTTAACAGCATTGCGTCCGTTGAGGATCCAGTAACGCTTCCTTAGTTCGTTGAGGACACTTTCTCTACCAGTGTGTGCGGCTTCGAAGTGGTAACGAAGCATTAGCAGCATGACGAATGGTTCGGTTGGGTGTAATATAATTGGGTGCTTAGTATTGTAGTCAAGATTTGCCGCCTCAATCCTCCCCCCAACTCGGAGTATGTCGTGCGCGTCTAGGAAGGGGTTGAGTTGACGAAGTGAGCTTGAATTGTCTACATGTCCATGACTTTTTATGTTGTTAATGTCGGTAGAAAACCTCTGTCTCTGTCTTTGTTTGATGAGTGCTTCTTCCGCGTTCGCCACTTCTAGCGCAGTCAGTTCACTTCGAAGCCAGTCGGGATGTTTGTTCTTGCAGTTGTGAACCCCACGGAAGAACCAAGCTGTGCTTCGTACCAGTCGCCAATACTGAGAAAAGCGTTTAATATCGGGTAACTCTGGTGCCATGTCGTAATTAGTTAGGCAGACAGCCTTAATCTCGTCGTCGCCGATGTAAGTGTCGATAGTGTCGACATTGTCAATATCAATAGGCCATTCGTTGTCGGGTTTAAACAAGAAGGCTGGCCCCTTTAGCCACCTCTCACCATCATCAGCCATCGCGGTGTCTCTCGTGGAGTCATCGGCTGCATTTAAATGAGTGGGGATCCACCTCCATTGCTTATAGTCTGTCAGCTCTGTTATTTCGCAGACGCGATGTGCGACAAATGGCTTAAATCTGCCTGAGTCGGACCGCAGCCAGCTCAACACTGTTTTCGAGTCAGTCCAGAATACTATCTTAGACAGGGCTGCCATTTCACAGTGCTGTAGGCTCATGAATAGACGTGCCCCTAACAAAGCCGCCTGGAGCTCGAGCCGCGGAATGCTCATCACTTTTAGAGGCGCTACTCTTGCTCTCGCCATCAAGAAGGCGACGTGCCAGATCCCGTCGGTCTTGCGTGATCTGAGGTATGCTACGCTGGCGAACGCTCTGGAGCTGGCGTCGCAGAAGATGTGCAGCTCAGCCACCCCATCGTAGTCATCTGTTAAAATCCAACGTGGTACTTTAACGTCATTCACGGACTTTAATTCATTTAGCCATGTTTGCCACATAGCAAAATGGCAGCTTTCGATCTCATCATCCCATCCTATCTTGCTGCGCCAGATATTTTGGAAAAGGATGCGGGCTTTGACGGTGACATTGAGAAAAAAACCGAGAGGGTCAAAAACTGACATAATTATCTTAGGGACCTCCCGTTTCGTCGGTCTCTTGACACCACGTACCAGGTCGTCCGGTATATTGGTTAAGTTTAAAATGAAAATAAAATAGTCGTTGTCGGGGGTCCATCTGACCCCTAACACCCTCTCCACGACCTCATCTTTGCTATCACTGATCACTTTGACTGCTGACACGGAAAGTCTATCCTGAGGAATATTCTTTAGAAGCTTTTTTGAATTGGAGACAAAGTTTCTTATAAAAAACCCACCTGATGAGTGTATCTCTATGACGTCCTTTACCAGCTGGATCAGGTCATCCTCGTTGTCCATCGAGTAAATACAATCATCGACGTAATGATGTTCAGTGATAACATGACAGGCGAGAGGATGAGATATCTCATATCTCCGAGCGTTAACGTTCTTTACATACTGTGATGAGGAGGGTGAGCATACAGCACCAAAGGTCATTACGTTCATCACGTACTGGCCGTCCTCCCACAGCAGACGTTGGGCCTGCCTGTCTTCATGCCTTATCATGACCCGGTGGAACATCTCCTGAATGTCACCGGTGACAGCTACCTTGCCACTGCGAAATCCTAGGAGTATGGTTGGAAGCGAAGTCAGAAGATCAGGTCCTGTCAAGAGGAAATCGTTCAAAGACTTGCCTTCCGATTTCGCCGCGCAGTCCAGTACAAGGCGTAGCTTGGGCTTATTGGGGTTATAAACTGCAAAGTGCGGCAACCACCAAGTCTTCATGGACCGTATGGAGGCGTTTTCGGGATCTAGCTTTGAAACATAACCTTTTATAATATTGTCATGGAATCTTTCTCTGTATTTTAAAGCAAAGTCGGGACACTTACGCATTCTCGCTCCGATACTGAGAAATCGCTTCCTCGCTTGCGGTAGGCTATCAGGAAGCTCCGGCGTCTCTGACTTCCATAGGAGACCTGTCTCGTACCGCCCTTCGGGAAGGAGTCGAGTCGTACGCTCCATAATTTGAAGCGCGAGTTGATCCTCCCGAGAGCGAGGAGTCTCGTTCGTATATTTTGTACCAAAAGCTTCTGTGGAGAAAGAAGTCACAGACATGTAAAACTGTCACGTTATTCGGTAAACTACCGAGTCTTACGTTTCCATGAACCACATGTCCTAATTTTGTCAGAGATATCATTGGTCCATTTTTGTCACCGTATATAATTTTCCTCGTCACTATCAATTCAATGTTGTCTTGTCCAATGAGTAGCTCAACTTTTTTATGTCGAAAGTCACGGTCATTTACATAATTATTTACATAAGAGTATCTATTTACAATATCGATAAAATTAAGATTATTTATACTTAAGTTTAAATTACGAACAGAACGAACGTTATTCACGTTATACGTATCACTCACTTTCAGTCCTCTAATATTTAACGACACGATTTGCGAATCGGCCTCTTTCGTCGTCATACCTGAAGCTCCTCGTATATGTAACGGTGATATCTCTCCTCTAATGCCAGCCCGTTCTAACAAAGATCGGTCAACTAAAGATACCGCTGCACCCTCGTCTAGCAGGGCTAGGGTCTCGACGTCTCCTTTAGGCCCAGCGATCACCACTGGGATGACCTTTAGAAGCACACGGAGCTGGAATGGTTCATGGCGTTCCGTCATTGGAGCTACGGCGGTACTCACGATTTCGCTTGTCGTAACGTTACGTGTCGGTCTGAGTGGTGGCGCATGAAGTAGCGGGTGGTGCACTCTCTCACAACTCACTTCGGTGCATTTTTTCTTATGCTTACACTCTTTCAGCTGGTGCCTTTCAGATAAGCAGGAAAAACAAAGCTTTTGTTCTGTCACGAAATTCCAACGTTCGTCTACGGAAAGTTTTTTGAAAACTGTACAGTCCTTAAGCGCGTGTTCGTCTTGACAGCAGACGCACCTTTTCTTAGCTGAGGTCGAAGTCGTTGTATACACTACTTTCTTGTCGTGATTTGGTTTTGTACTTTGTTTACTATCGGTTGTCGGTGTAGGCGTAATATATGTAGAAGCTTCGGCTATCTCCATAAGCCAGTCTGACAGATCATTTAGTGTGACGGGTGTAACTTTGTCAATTTTGTTTACATGGAAGGCCCATAGATATTTTAGATTGCTAGGGAGTTTGTTGATAATCTCTTTGATTAGCATCGGATTCGAAAGATGTCCCGTTTCCTTGGTAGCGTTCATCGTAGCAACAATATTCTGTACTGTGGTAGCAAACTCTATGATGTGATTGATGTCATCGTGACGAATGAATTTTGTATTGCGGATTTTCTGAAGCATGATATCAATAATGTATTCTGGTCGACCGAATCTGATTTTAAGTGTGGATATAATTTTGTCTAGGTTTGTAGAAGAGACCAAGAGAGCGAACACTGAATCGCGAGCGCGCCCCTTCAGGGCCCTTGAAAGTCTGGCGATATTCTCGTCGTCAGTGTATCCGCACAGACGTGTAGTTGAAACGAATTGGCTGTAAAATAGGGGCCACTCTTCGGGCTCTCCTGAGAACACAGGTAGCTCTTTAGTACTATTCTGTCGGGCTAAGAGCTTACTTAGGTCTTTGGTCAGGGGCAGTAACGGCCGCCGTCGTCGTTGACATCATTGCCCTGGTCTGGCTTCTCGTTCTTACCATGGGCTGGGTCAGTTTTCTCGAAGGACCACTTGTCTGGTCGTTGGAGTCGTCGTTCGCTAAGGTCGTAGAAGTCGGTCGAACGAAACTTGGCAGTCACCGCCGTCCTGTCTCGTAGTCCATCGTCATCTCTTTTCCTGTCAATACTGTCATGATGTCCGTCTGTCATATGTAGGCTAGTCAGTCAGTCCAAGGAGGCCGGACGCCGCGACATTATTAGTTCACCAAACGGGGGTCATAGGGGCCCCATTATCCTAATATGGCCTGGGCCTCCAATAGGTCAAAGACGGCACTGGCGCCAGGCTCATAGAATTCAGAATCTGAATGCCTGATCGAGAAACCTAATCAGGGAACCGTACAATCGTACATACGCGCCAGTCTAATGCAAGTAGGTTTACCATCCGTCGGGATTAGTCCCGGACTTTCAGACTCGATAGATAGTTCGGACTTTGACTTTGGATTTTTTAAATAACATTAAATATGAATAATAAAAGTGCATATTGATTTAAATACCATACCATTGTAACTAAGTGAGTAATGGTACCATTTAGTGACTAAAAAGTCCGGACTTTTGTCGTAATCTATATATATAAAACTGAAAGGTGACTGACTGACTGACATAGTGATCTATCAACGCACAGCCCAAACCACTGGACGGATCGGGCTGAAATTTGGCATGCAGGCAGATGTTATGACGTAGGCATCCGCTAAGAAAGGATTTTGATCAATTCTACCCCCAAGAGGATAAAATAGGGAATGAAAGTTTGTATGAAACTTTGTCAATTTTAAACCGATCGGGCTGAGACTTTGCATGCAGGTATAAGAAGAATCATAGATGAATGTCATTGTGTATAATACAAGCAAGCCTCAGAACAAAAACTGTAGTCTACACTTCAGCTCTACACCGAAGCGAAGCGAGGGCGGGCCGCTAGTCTCAAGATATTTTTCAGGACTTTAGAAATTCCTAAATTGCAAGTAGGTGAAATTATACGAAATTCATTTCTATATTAACCACTTATTTTTCAGTGAACGCACTGAAAAGGCTGTATACATCAAACATAACATTCACGAGTCCATATTCGATATTGTCAGCAATATGGTACATTTGGGTATCGCTTTACAACAGCCTAGAAATGTGCAAGCGCAGAGCTATATACTGCGTTGTGGTCCCGGAGGTCCCCCGGAGTACAATGAAGTAAGTGCTATCTTTAATTATTCAAACATGTAAATGTTTTACTAGAAAAAAAACGACGGGTTGCACTCCGGGAGTACCGGCAGAAGTGAAAACTTGAATTATTAACGTTGTGCATTTTTGATATTTTTAAATGGTAAGGGAATAATTTTGCACAAATTGCTTTAATTATCAGTATAAAAGTACTGTATGTGGTAGAATACAATATTTATTTATTGCGCTATCGTACACAAACATCTCAATTTATATTACATTAAAAAAGTTTATTGCTTAGAAAAATCAACTTAGGTACATGATACACGTTTAAGCGCACTTAGCGACATCTATTGTTAAGAAATCAACTTACATGAATCACATTTTAGCGCACCTAGCGACATCTATTGTAAAAAAAATGCATCTTCTTCGCAATAAAGCTCCTAGATAGAGACTTATTATTATAATACGGTAAAATAAAATATTACTATGTTTCCTTCCGACGAAGTCTTTTATTGCGTTTGGTACCCTTACCACTGTTCACATTCTCACTATTCACTCGAAACTGTTCTCGACACACATACAGTATCGGGTCGCGACACGACACCTTTATGATTATTTCGGTTTTTACACATACGAACAACAGGTTTTTTATGTTTTGTTATTTCAATCGCTTCCCTGACCAATCTTGGTATGCGTTCTGTCGAGATAATCTGTGGGTTATGGAACTCAATCCAGTGGTTAGGACCAGAATCAGTCAAATGTTCCGCGGTGGCTGATTTCTGCGTATCGTTTCAAGCAATCAAGAATAACATACTACCTTTATTCACGTACCCCTGTACGTGGTATGCATAAGCTTATCCTTATAAAAAATCCCATAATCCCCTTTGGATACCCCGTTTGGGGCCAAATATAACACATGGGGAATTTGTATAACATTTTCTCAGCAGCACGATGAATTCCAAAATTTCTTCTGTTTGTGTGAGGAATACGAGTATTTGTACTCGAGTCATAGATGTTTAATAAAATTTCTATATAATTATACTTATATATGTTCAGTATATGTATTCTATCCGTTACCCTAGTATCCCATAACACAAGCCTACAGTGCTTACTTTGGGGCTAGGCTATATGGTGTGAGTGTTGGAAATATTTATTTATTATTTAATATCGATTCTCATTCTTGAATATAGATAACTTTCAAATGATAACATTAATTAAAACTCAATTTCATAATAGTAATGTGATGTTATGAATATCTATCTTATCTAAATTATGACAAAACACAAAATTGTTTTCTTCAAAGAATCAAAACTTGCATTCATGTTGAGATACTAAAGATAACAATATATTATATACAGTATATATTATATTTGATATAATTTATGTTTGCAAGGAGCTCGATGGCGCGGGTGGTTAGCGCGGTCGGCTGCGATCGTTGAAGTTAAGCAACTTTCGCAATGGTCGGTAATTGGATGGGTGACCAAAAATCTTCTATCTCGAGTTCCTCCGTGCTTCGGAAGGCACGTTAAGCCGTTGGTCCCGTCTGTATCTGCAGTCGTTATACCCGCCAATCCGCACTGGGCCCGCTTGGTGGGTCACGACCCAATCTCCCTAGTCCGACTGGGCCGCTTTTTTATGTTGCAAACAAACCTTTATTGGTATCCTACCTTATATATCATCAGCAGCCTATTAATGTCCCCACTGCTGGGGCACAGGCCTTCCCTATGGATGACGATGCAGCGTCTTTAGGCTACAATGACCGACAGGGGGGATACACATTGTACCACTATGGAAGTTTCTCTCGCGCAAACTACCTATTTACTTTAGACAAAAATGATATTAAAAACCTCAATATCATTTTTGAAGACATATCTATAGAAACCGCACACGTATGCGTTTGATGAAAAAAAAAATTGTGTTTCAGTTGGTATGTTTCATATTAAGCAAAATTTCCAAAATTTATTGTTATTTTTTTCAATTTTTGTGTGAAGATCTTAATGCGGTTCACAGAATACATCTACTTACCAAGTTTCAACAGTATTGTTTCGGAAAAAAGTGGCTGTGACATACTGACGGACAGACAGACATACATGACGAATCTATAAGGGTTCCGTTTATTGCCATTGGCTACGGAGCCCTAAAAAAAGTGTGCATGGAGCAAACATCTGAAGTGACACTTGTTTTCTTAAATAACCTAACATCAGGCGGTGCATAAGGCATAGGGGAATGCAGCACGTACGCATCACTCATATATATGACTGTATTGTATATATAATATATACTACGAGCATAATATACATATACTAGCTGACCCAGCGAACTTCGTACCGCCCTAAAAAAATAGGGGTTGTCCAGCGGACAAAATTGTGAATCTAAACCATTCTCAGATCCCCTTGAACACACACAAAAAATTTCATCAAAATCGGTCCAGTCGTTTAAGAGAAGTTCAGTGACATACACACTCACAGAAGAATTATATATATAAAGATTATATATATATTATGCTCGTAGCGTTTCAGCTTTCGCCGAGTTATCCTCCAACACTCATGCTCGTCGGGAAGTGCTGCGCACGCAACAAAGACACAAACTTATACATCTTTATATATATAATTCTTCTGTGAGTGTGTATGTCACTGAACTTCTCTTAAACGACTGGACCGATTTTGATGAAATTTTTTGTGTGTGTTCAAGGGGATCTGAGAATGGTTTAGATTCACAATTTTGTCCGCTGGACAACCCCTATTTTTTTAGGGCGGTACGAAGTTCGCTGGGTCAACTAGTGTATATATATAATTCTTCTGTGAGTGTGTATGTCACTGAACTTCTCTTAAACGACTGGACCGATTTTGATGAAATTTTTTGTGTGTGTTCAAGGGGATCTGAGAATGGTTTAGATTCACAAAGACGTGTAGACAGGACAACGTCTGTCGGGTCCGCTAGTATATTTATATAGTCGTGAGACGCTGGTGACGTACTTCCGTTTCATCTTTTCCATTGTATTTTCCCATTTACCGAAAATAAGTTTCACTTTAAAAAAAATGTCAGCAGCTGCCGGTTTCTAATTTTTCCTACAACTCCCAGTTATAGGAAAACTGTACCCGAAGTAAATATTAAAACAATCTTTTTCAGGAATATTTCGATTATGTCAGACAACTATGGCGAGATGGAGGCGTGAGAGAATGTTTCAAAAGGTCAAACGAGTACCAACTTATAGACAGCGCTGAGTAGTAAGTATTTACACAAATAAGTACATTAAACCCGTTTAAGACGATTTCACAGAGACTCAACCAAAAACGCGTCTTAAGCGGGAAAGCATATTATGCGGGAAATGGGAAAAAAGTACTACAAATTAATATTTATTATATTCTATTATTATTTCGAATAGTATTGAGGTATTAAATGTACAAAATCAAAGAATTATGTACGTTATAAAAAAATACTGTAGGTAGGTACATATTATTATTACGTTATTTAAAATAATCACTTATTTTAGTTCGACAAAAAGATTTTGAGGCATTAGCAATTACAAGATTTTCAACATAATTTAACTTTTGAAGCGCGTCTTCGCTTTGATTCAAAGAAGTTACATAGCGGTATCATGATCACTTACACTTAGGGCCTCTCCTTGTGTGCTATCAAGAGGTAATCACTTAGTGTCGCCGCCCACGGGCCACACGCCACAGCCACAAACGCCGCCACGAGAAGCTACTAAAGTGGCTGAAGCGCGCGACAGCGGCCGACTAAGGCAAGGGAGAGAGGGGTGGGGAATCGCGCGAGTGACGTGTGGCGGCGTTTTGAATCGGCGCATAAAGTGGCCGGTGCGGGCCACAAGAAGCGAGCAACGAAGATTTGTAGCGTGTGGCGGCCACCGGCGTACCGTGTGTGGCGAGTCCATATAAAATGTATGAAAACTACAAGAAATATGCCGGTGGCGGCGTTTTGTGGTTGTGGTCGGTGGTCCGTGTGCGGCGACACTAAGTGATTACCTCTTGATAGCACACAAGGAGAGGCCCTAAGTGTAAGTGATCATGATACCGCTATGTAACTTCTTTGAATCAAAGCGAAGACGCGCTTCAAAAGTTAAATTATGTTGAAAATCTTGTGTGCTATCAAGCGATAATATGTGTGGTACGTGTTAGCGATGTAGGCGTATTAAACGGGATGACGTATTAAGCGTTAAGTTATGTATGAAAACATGTCTAAAGTTGCAGGGACTGATGCAAAATGGTGTATTATGCGCGAAATCGTATTAAGCGTGATCGTATTAAACGGGTTCTACGGTATTTTAAACTAATGGATTTTGTATACGAACGCGACTTAGTATACTTGCATCCTATAATATGTATATCATGTATCATGACCTACGCAAGTGTTTGCTTCGCCCACTTACCTCCGTCGATGCACGCTGCAAAATCGATTTGCATCCTGATCTCAATTTAGACTCCATCATCCATAAAATGTTTCTCTCTCCCTTTCTCTCTCTCTCTCTCCCTTTCTCTCTCCATCTCCCTTTCTCTCTCTCTCTCTCTCTCTCTCTCTCTCTCTCTCTCTCTCTCTCTCTCTCTCTCCCATTCTCTCTCTCCCTTTCTCTATATCTCTCTCTCTCCCTTTCTCTCTCTCTCCCTTTCTCTATCTCTCTCTCTCTCTCTCACACACTCCCTTTCTCTCTTTCTCTCTCTCTCTCTCTCTCTCTCTCTCTCTCTCTCTCTCTCTCTCTCTCTCTCTCTCTCTCTCTCTCTCTCTCTCTCTCTCTCTCTCTCTCTCTCTCTCTCTCTCTCTCTCTCTCTCTCTCTCTCCATCGCGAAGTATATGAAGGACGCCTCGAGACGTTACTTCCGCGAATCATACGAACCCCTAGTAGTCCAAGCTTCTAGCTATCACAAGTCCTCCTCTGATCCTCCAATCGTAGGTCCCTCCGATTCCGTCGGCCAAGCCATGTCTTAGAGTACCCCGACGACGAAATTCTCCCACACAGGCCACAAACACCAACACTACACAGCTAGCATACTTGCACACTAGCTTAGCATTAGGCCGACACCGCACCCGTAGCATAAGAGGGCGAAGACCCAGTCTACACACGACACGCTATACCGGGTACAGGTACGTAGGTACGTACCGAGTGTTTTTCCCCGCCCCCCACGACAACGGCTAACTTGAGCCGAAGTCCGAGTCTCCGAGATGCCCTCTACTTGAGCCGACCCCCTCAGGTTTGAGTGGTGTAGGAGATCCAGACGGAGAGGAGACTCCTCTCGTGGGGAGATGCCATCCGACTGGAATCCCTCTAGAGGCATTCGCAAATTCTGGGCTTGAGGTCCCCTTAGGATCTCGCCGTCCCCAAACCCGGTGAAGCTGTAAAGGTCATCTGCGACTAACAGCATACTCATTAAAAGAAAGCGACTTTGTCTGCGTGGAAAAAAATGTTTCTTGTATAAATACCATCCCCTTTAAAGAATGATTTTTCTCCGTGGCCGAATGGTTCACCAACTCGATAGGTCTCGAGTTCGAATCTCGGTGGGGGCAGATGTTTGTGTGATGAACACGAGCATTTGTACTCCAGTCATGGATGTTTATTATGTATTTCTATATAAATATACTTATATATGTACTGTATAACGACGCCCCCGCGAATAATCAGAAAAATAAAAAACCATTTTTACTTAATAACTCCATTAAACAACAAGTATGAGAGACTTTTTATATCGCATATGGAAGCTAATTTTTTCAGCTATCTGGTTATTTCAACAAAATTTAAGTAGTCCCAAGGGCTTCGTTATAATTTAGCTGGATTCATTTTACTATATTAGTGTAGGTCAATCTCTGGTCAGTAATGACACTTACGATATTGTTCGTGTAAATTTATGTTTTCGACGGTCGCAGTAAAATCGTGTTGTGCTATTATTCGTGTAATTTGTTTTGTTTACTGAACATTTGTAAAAAGCAATTATTAGGTTATTCGATTGTTTAACAGTAACGTACATTTTATTGTTATGACTATTATTGTTTATTCAAATAGTTTAGTGAAGTATTATTTGATGATTATTATAGTATTTTTTATGAAATAAAGGACATTCTAGTAAATGAAACAACTTTGGTTAATTTGACAAAACACGATAGTTATTATTATCATAAAAAATAGACACTGCACTGAAGACACACATTTACACATGATTACACAATCATGAAAACAGTTAAAAATCTTAATCAGAAATCTCATCGTGACCTGATTCAATATCACAAAAGCTTAAGTCTCTGTAAAATGGTTGATAATGGTGGGGAATTGCTTGGGAGTTACACAGGCATAGGAGATCATTATACAAAGTTTTTTTAAGAGGGAGGGACTTGTCGTATGCTGGCTTTAATTCAATACTGTCAATTGTTTTGGACACCTGTTTCTGCCGACGCTGTCTACTTCTGCCTGCATCATAATCCAATTCAATATAATCCTGATCAAAATCATATTTGAAAAGAAAACAGTTAGGTTTACTATATGATACAATAACCTCCATCACATCGGACCATCGTACTCTTTCTCCTGTCTTATCTTGAAGCCATCTTTTGGGTTCAACAAGTTCTTTTATGTTGAGGATTTCAGATTGTTGAAATTTTTTTAGGATATATTGGTCTCCGGAGACTTTAGCGTTCATGATGATACTATTACTGGGTCCGGTGTGTACAAAACTTTGTTTTTTAGAGCCCTTTCAATACATGCGTGCAAGGAGTCGCCTTCATTTTGGCTATGCCCACCAATAAAAAACCGATGGGTAATGTCAATTTGAAGAGTCATTGCAATGTAAAGATACAATGCAAATATGTATCTGTTTTTATTCTGGCCATAACAACCATCAGAGTAAAATAAAAATTTGCGTAGAAACCTAGTTCGTGTACGGTCTTGACAAATTGAAACAAGCAACTCCCTATTTCGATACGCCCTTTTTTCCGATTTGAGCTTGCCTAACGTAACAGAACGCTAGTTTGTTAAGACCGTCAAAAACTGTAAAATTATTATTCGGGTATTTACGTTTGTAGTGGAAAATTGACACTTCAGACTGTGGTACATTCAAAACTTTTTCTAAATCAAAAATGGCCACAACGGTTTCATCTTTATTAAGTGTTTCTTTTTCTTCATTTTTAATTTCACGAACTCTTTCTTTCATACTTTCTTTATTTCCTGTGATTTTCTTCCAAAGATGCCTTTTCAATGGAGTCAGGGTGCTGATATTGTGAACAATACACTAATCCTTTTTAGGCTTAAAAAAGGAATAGTTCTAGTTACTATTGAACACTCTTTCATACTGTCGTTTTGAAGCCTTCTCATGATTTAGAAAAAGTTTTGAATGTACGAGTATGTACCACAGTCTGAAGTGTAAATTTTCCACTACAAACGTAAATCCCGATTTATAATTTTACAGTTTTTGACGTTCTAAACAAACTAGGGTTCTGTTACGTTTGGTAAGCTCAAATTGGAAAAAAGGGCGCATAGAAATAGGGAGTTACTGAAACCTGTTTACCCGAATAATATCGTAAATAATGTTTACTGTCAAATCATATTGATATTTTTTTTCGTAAAAATCTAAACCTATATTATTCGTTTAAGGGTCATTCTATTCTACTGCTAAAAAAGTGTGCAGTCAAAAGAATTACATAGATAAATTAACATCCTGGTTTTTTTTTCATTATCATAACTGAAAACGATGTTCATTATCATTTGTTTATTTAATAAACGGTATTAAATTAAAAATAATTCTTAAAAAGAAAATTAAAAGTGCGTATATCATGTTCTGTTATCTGTGTATTTCACATGTTACTACATTAGGGTAACCAAGAAAAATATAATGTGTGTGTTTAGGATGTTGTTAATATCGCAAATATTGTATTAATATAATCTAGTTTATGATATTACCAACAATATATAGGTTAGTGCAATCTTACAATACATTTTACGCGATTCTACTCTTGTTACAATTTTCAAATCATTTCTGTGATCCAAGAGTATTTTGTAATAAAACGCTAGTAACATTCTTCTTATAGGTAAATTTTGTATGCAGTGACAACACTACATTACCAGTAATTTACGGAACGGCTTCAAAGTAAAAAGTACTAGCGTTAGTTTTGTGATAAAAACCATTTTGTTAGTAATTATTACTGTGTAAAAGTTGATGTATCATCTCTGTTGAGGCTGCAGAAAGGTAAGTTTCTCAAAATCAAAAATAACAATATGCGGGCGGAATTTATTTCATTGTTTGTTTTAATATACCTAGAAGTCAACTAGTTTACTCTTAACTTTGAATCCAACGAAGCGGGTATTTCAAAATTTTATCATATCTGTGATCGTCACGTTCTGTTTTCATAGTGATAACAGAAATGACATAAAATAACAGAAATGATAATATTTATTTTATATTCATTTTGTTCAACTCTGGCTGCTCATTGGCTCACTGGCTATTAACCAATACACAAATAAAAATGATAATATTATTATTTCCTTTGTTTTCTTCACAAAAAGTTAACTTTTATAGAAAGACATTTCTATAACAGAAGTGATTGTGGGATCACTGAATTTTTACAGTTTTATTGTTAGCTGCAGTATGAATCGTCGCACACAGTGAGTGTACAGTTACAGATGCCGATTCATGTCATTCGTCACCAGAACGCAGTTCTCCTGCAATATATTCATTTACAGTACAGCAAAGAGTTAGCGATACTGCTGATTCTGATTGTGTTTCCAGTCTATCTAGGCAGTTCCATCAGTCCCCAGAGAAAAGTGTCTATACTACAAATGCCGATGGTGACAATCTGACATGGTTTGATGATTCAGATCATTAAAATCAACCTCAAACGGTAGCAGTTTTATCAGAACGAAGCAGAAACTTGTAGTACAAATCATGCTCTTCAGATGACAGTTTCGATAAAGACTTAAAGAGGAAAAAAATTATAGATGCAGCAATAAATGCTTCAACATTTGAGAAAAACAAAACAAAATTCATTTATGACGACCTCCGTGGTCGAGTGGTTTGTATGCCAGGTTTCAAATCCCGGTGGAGGCAGATGTTGGTGTGATGAATACGAGCATTTGTACTCCAGTCATGGATGTTTAATATGTATATCTATAAAAATATACTTATATATGTACAGTACATGTATTCTATCCGTTAACCCAGTATCACATAACACAAGCCTTATAGTGCTTACTTTGGGGTTAGGCTAATTGGTGTGAGTGTTGGAAATATTTATTTATTTATTTTTATTTATTCATAGGATTTAGGAGAGCTAAGAAGCTGAAAAGATGATTTTTTATTGCTAATAAGTATGACACAGTTAAATGATAAGGGCTGTGACGTCATTCCCGTGAAAAATACTAAATTATTTTTTACGTTTTGATACTTCCATCTGATTTTAATTATATTTTATTTTGATTAATATGCCTTTTGAATCAATACTTTAAACGTATAATTATTTAATTTAATTGTTGTTTAAAACCATTAATATAGCATAACATCATATCTGTAAAGTGTAGCGTCATTCCTGTTAGCCACCTATTTTAAATTTTCGTCGTTTTCTCGGCAATTACTGAGAAACGATGTCTGTGTCTAATTATAATGTTTATTATTTTTGTTGATTAATATAATAAACCTAAAATAATTCAATAATAACGAGATTTTTATTTTATTTTTTTTCTTTCTTCAAAAGTAGAATGACCCTTAAAATACATTTTACATATTTTTTATGGAATATACGCGTAATTTTTCATATCTTCGTAAATAAAGATAGAAAAATTGTGAAAAAAAATTACATGGTGTATTTTAACTTCTAGATGCCGAAAAACGAAAATAACATGAAAAACCCCGTAATAGGTCATTACCGGATTATTCGCGGGGGACGTCGATATGTATTCTATCCGTTACCCTAGTATCCCATAACACAAGCCTACAGTGCTTACTTTGGGGTGAGTGTTGGAATTATTTATTTATTTATTATCATTGTTTGTATCCCATCAGCTTTCTAGACAGAGTGGATCTAGTTGAGAAATCAGACTACATACCCTCGGATGCGGACATACTCAGGTGTCGGCAGAAGACTACCGGCATACAGAAGATCGAGTTCAAAGTCAAGGTAAGTAAATCTTAACTAAATTTTACCCAATAGTCCATGAGAGGAGCTCGATGGCGCAAGTGGTTAGCGCGTTCGGCTGCGATCGTTGAAGTCCGGACCTGACTTTAGAGGGCCAGAGGCCTCGGGGCAACAGAGGAGCGGAGGCCCCACTAGGCTTGTTGAAAATATATCGATGTATCGATATATCGATATTTTTTGCCGATATATTTTGATTCGATATATCGATACATCGATACAAAATAACCAATATCGAAATTCGTATCAAAAACGATATTTTTTTAATTATTAGCGGCATATCACGATTTAACTAAATTCGTATCTGGAAAAATCGTAACTGGATCTCAGATTAATGATATTCAACATATCTATGATCTGTGCTGTATTTAGTATTGTCTATGTCATCATTTGAAAATAGGGTCTATTTTTAGGGCGATAATTTTCGTTCCATTATTATTCCGCGTGTCATATTTCGTGAGCTGCTGTACGATATTTTTGGGAAAATTGGTCCGATATATCGATATATCGATGTTTTTTTCGCGATATATCGAAGCCGATATTGATATTTTTTAAAAGACCGATGTATCGATATATCGATATTTTTTTCAACTTTCGACATCCCTAGGCCCGCCCCACTCACCCCAAATTATTTTCCAAATAAAGTATACAATTTTTTTCAGACGAGTTTTTCAATAAAAAAATTATTATGAACCAAGTAGATTAACGGAAACAAGAATTTTCTGAAGTTAACCTTTCGAGCTTTTTTCGCCGAAAAATCGTTGATGACTTCGTTGAAATCGAGTTCTGTTACTGTAGGCTGTAGGTAAAGCTAAAAGAGCAAAAAAAATATCAAAGGAAAAGATGTTTACTAGTGTTTACTAGTTGGAATTTGAAAGATTTTTGACTTTTTTCCGAAGTCTCTATTGTGGGGGCCCCCCGTTTGTGGAGGCCCTGGGGCTTTCGCCCCGGTTGCCCTCCCCTAAATCCGGCAGTGAATGAAGTTAAGCAACTTTCGCAGTGGTCGGTCTTTAGAGCTCCTCCGTGCTTCGGAAGGCACGTTAAGCCGTTGGTCCCGGCTGCATCTGCAGTCGTTAACACCCACCAATCCGCATTGGGTCCGCGTGGTGACTCATGGCCCAATCCCCTATTCCATCCATAGGAAGGGCCTGTGCCCCAGCAGTAGGGACATTATTAGGCTGATTATAATCCCATTAGAAGCTAATTAAATTTAACGATTGTTACTCAATCACGTAAACGGCTCTGAAACAAAGAACAATGGGCAAAAACACTCGGCACCGCCCACAATGTAATTAGTATGAATCGAAAGGTCTTTGAAAAATAAGCCTTTTTACAAGCTTTTATTTAACTTGCTATGTATGTTTGTTACGGTCAAATCTTACAACTCAATTTTAAAGCACTTGCTCTCAACCGATTAAGCTGAAATTTGGTATGCTCGTTCAGTTCGGATGACAATGCATGATTAACAGTGTGACGTCATTCTAAATCCAATATGGCGGCATACCCAAAATGGCGGACCAATCATTTTTAATGCATTCCTACAATATGTGTATCAAATTAAAGGGCTTGCTGAGAGTAACTCGAAAAAAGTGTGACGTCACTCTCAATCCAATATGGCGGACTTCTAAAATTTGAAAATCTATTTAGAAACAGATATCTTTAACTAATTTAGTTGAAATTTTCTTTTTTTCTTTTTAGCGCATTTGTATAAAAGCTTGTTTTTAAAAAGGTTTTTTTTTAATTATATAATATGATTATATAAGACTAGCTGTGCCCCGCAGTGTATCCCACGGTTTATTTATTATAACACCATAAAAAATATCTCGATGACGCAGGTGGTTAGCGCGTTTGGCTGCGATCGTTGAAGTTAAGTAACTTTCGCAGTGGTCGGTCATTGGATGGGTGACCAAAAATTTACTATCTCGAGCTCCTCCGTGCTTCGGAAGGCACTTGAGCCGTTGGTCCCGGCTGCATCCGCAGTCGTTAGCACCCACCAATCTGCACTGGACCCGCGTGGTGGGTCATGGCCCAATCTCCCTACTCCATCCATAGGAATGGCCTGTGCCCCAGCAGTGGGGACTAGACTGATGTTGATAAAGGTTTCATTTCATTTCAAATCTATCTTTATGCTCTTAGGTACCAAAGTCGATGCACGGCGGTGTTCAAGACTTTTGGATGTTCGACGTTGGTGGTCAGAGAGGAGAGAGAAAAAAGTGGATACAGGTATGCATACAGACGTACAGACAACCATAAAACCTTATAAACCGAGTTACCACAACTGAGTTGTTCCCTCCTTCCTACAATCTGGGGTCCTTTAAGAGAGGCGTGAAGAAGCATTTCTGCAGGCCGGTAAGGTGAGGATGGTTGGTGTAGCAATTTATAACTGCTGTACCAGCTATCTTCGCGTTTGGACTTTATCACCACTTAACATCAGGTGGGGTAGAATCATTTGCCTACCTGGCTATAAAATAAAAAAAAACCTCTAGGCTAAATATTATTTAGAACCAAATTATTTGAAAAATAAATTTCTAAATGTACCACCAAATCATTAAGAAGGTAGGTAGTCAAAAATTATTAAGATACCTGTTTGAATTGTAGAACATATGAGACTTTTTGTCTCATATGTCTTTTTTGAGAAAAATCAGTAGAACAGATGGGAAAGACCCAGTAGGTAACTACCTACCTACTTGGGACGAAAAGTCGAGAAGAAATAAAATAAAATAAGTAAAATACAAAAGTGTTTTATTAAATTACTAGCTGTGCCCCGCGGTTTATTAGGGACATTTTCCCGCAGTAAAACGTAGCTTATGTGTTAATCCAGGGTGTCAGCTAATTCCAAACCAAATTTTATTAAAATCGCTCCAGCCGTTTAGACGTGAAAAAGTAACAAACATACACACTCACAAACTTTCGCCTTTATAATATTAGTGTGATTGTTGTGTGGGAAAACATGAAATAAATATAGAATATAAATAAGAAGTTGTAGTTGACTCTGTGGCTGTCTGTACATATTGATACCCTTTTCTGTGTTCTGTGTTCCAGTTGCCAGAGAATTCGTTTAAAAATGTCAAAACAGACTATTTTCTTATATGTAAAAAGAATTCGTAATAGCACCTTAACTTGAAATGTATGTGTTTTCAGGTCGAATCTAACTGAATTTTAAAGCATTTACCCTCACCTATTGAGATGAAATTTTGTTAGGTATATTCAGGAGAAGAATTATAATCATAATCAATATCATTTATTCAGTTTAGGCTGTTACAAGCACTCATGAATGTCTAGAAGCTACGCCATCGGTTCGTAAATCTACGGCGGGAGACCTTGTACTGAGAAGAACCGGCAAAAAACTCAGCAAGGGCTGTTTTTTCTCCCTGTTTTATTTTTTACAGAGTCGTCATATTGAAAAATGACTTCAGAGATGATTCATGAAGTCACTTTTCATTACATAATTCAATTCAAATTCAAAAATCATTTATTTAATTTAGGTTAGGCTTTTACAAACAAGATTAACAAACCAATGTCTGCTAAAGACAAAGCTAAAGATTGTCTTTAATTATACACTTATAGCTCATTATAGTAATATAAGTTATTTACGGGATTGTTACCATGTACCTTGTTTTTAGCGAGGCGCCATGATCACGGAGTAACTGAAGTAATTGCGGGTAGGCTGTTATTGGCAGACATATGGGTCTACCCTCCGACGAAGTCTTTTCGTCATGGGATTGTTTGGGTTGGGATGGTACGAAGTCTTTTCGTCGGAGGGTAGACCGATATGTCTGCCAATAACAGCCTACCCGCAATTACTTCAGTTACTCCGTGACCATGGCGCTTGCAACAGTGCCGAAATATCGGAAACTCGCTAAAAACAAGGTACATTGTAACAATACCGTAAATAATTTGTATGACTATAATGTTAGTGACCATGACAGTTTAAAACAATATACTTATAGCTCAATTACACTTTGGTCGCTAGCCCGTATTAAAATAACGGTGAACGTAAAATATTTCTCGAATTCGGGCACCCGAAGCAGTATTTACACTGGAATACGGGAAGACGGTGTTGGGTAATCATCATACCATCATCAGCCTATTAATGTCCCCACTGCTGGGGTACATCCCTATGGATGGAATAGAGAGATTGGGCCGTGAACCACCGCGCGGGCCCAGTGCGGATTGGTGGGCGCTAACAACTGCAGATGCAGCTGGGACCAACGCCTTAACGAGCCTTCCGAAGCACGGAGGAACTCGATGTAGAAGATTTTTGGTCACCCATCCAATGACCGACCACTGCGAAAGTTGCTTAACTTCAACGATCGCAGCCGAACGCGCTAACCACCCGCGCAATCGAGCTCCTCATGTGTCGGGTAATACGAGCGTACTCTGTTTATTTACACTTAGGTCCGTTATACAGTATGACAACTAAGTGTTGATCTTTACTTGAGTACAGTTAGAAAGGGATGTCGCTATGTGCTATGTATAGCGACATCCCTTTCTAACAATGCTCAAGACTAGATCAATCACTGAGAATCTCTTATCTATTAGACAAGTCCGTCCGTCTATCTGTGGTGCTGTTTCAGCGGCCAAACCGTAAGAGATAGATAAAGAGAATATTTAAGTTATAAGTTAAGAATAGTCTGATAAGACTACAAACCGGGGATATACTGTACCTCCAGGGCCCAAAAGTAAAAACTTCACAGTTTTGTTGGTTGTAATTTCGCATTTTTGTTGTTAAAAAGGTTTCTGTTAACCACATTATTAAAAAAAATGTCACACTTATGCACTGGTAGTTTTTTAGAAAAAAATATTGAAATTTTTTACTTTTCTTATCAAGTGGTGATACTTCACACTAGGTTAGGTTAGGTTAGTGTTGTGACCTTAACGCGCGAGCCGAGCGAGCAAAGCGAGCGTGCCGCGGCAGAGGCCGGCGAAAAATCTGTTAAAAAGACCTTTTCTACAAAAAAAAACAAGTATCACCTTTTGGGCCCTGGAAGTACAGTTTTACCGCTAGTCTTTCTATAATACGGGCCTTAGTCGACTCGAATTCCATTGTCAGTCGTATTCGGGCTAACGACTTAGTCTAATGGCGCCATTATTTCCATTTAGGTCTTTGAAGGTATCAACGCGATTTGGTTCCTGGTAGCCTGCAGCGACTTCGATCAGAGATTGAGGGAGGAGAACTCACAGAACAGACTCCAGGAGGCCGTAGAACTATTCGAAGACGTTTGGCTGAGCAGGTAGACCATCATTAACTTGTAACAAGACTATCACAAACATTTTTTTTTCAACACACACCAATTAGCTTAGCCCCAAAGTAAGCACTGTAAGGCTTGTGTTATGGGATACTAGGGTAACGGATAGAATACATACAGACAGTGGAAAAGCAAAATAAATAGCTTAAACTCCACTTTCGTTAATTTTTAGGGTACTTAATTCCATTATATGTAATTGAATTTCGGGGTAATTTGTAGGGGAGAGGGCGGGGGAGCTCCCCCCGACCCCCCCGCCATAAATGATTTTTGGTGGAAATGCAGTTTTTTTTTTTACCTAACCTAAAAATTCATAAAATCTGTTATATGTAGTGGAATTTCAGGGGGATAGGTATTAGGGAAGACCCCTCAGAGGGAAGGGTAACCCCCCCCCCCCCCCGGCGTTTTTTTACAGAAATGATAATTATAAAAAATTAGAGGAGTTTTAAAGGTAAATCTGTACTTCCAGCGCCTAGAGGTGATATTTGATTTTTCTGTAGAAAAAGTCTATTAACGAATTTTTCTTTCTGGCGCTTCGCCGGCCGCTGCCGCGGCACGCTCGCTTCGCTCGCTCGGCTCGCGCGTTAAGGTCACAACACTAACCTAACCTAACCTAGTGTGAAGTATCACCACTTGGGCCTTAGATATACAGTTTAGCCGTTTAAATAAAACAAGTTTAAACACAAACACTGACTGACAGATCTCATTAATGGCAGTAAATTGTCACATTTTGACAATAGTACCAACATAATAAACTTATATTTACCATAGACAACGAGAAACATGTTATTTTTGCATAAAAAAATGGCAGCACTGATCATGAAAATTGCGAAAAAAAAAATGTTGTCAAAATTGACTCATAACCTACAAAAATATTAATATTCAATAATTTTTTTCTCGAGTTCTATTCGTTTCCGCCAAAAAAGATTTCGTGTACGTATTTTTAATAGTTAATACTTTGCGTGACAAAAATTTCAGCTTGCAACTCAATTACATATAATGGAAAGGTGAGCCATTTTTAGAAACGAGCATTAGTTTTTTTTTCAAAAAAATTCTATCTCATTGTAAATGAGAAGTAGCCATATTAATAATAACATATTCATAAAATTATATTAACATAGTGCCTTTACGAATTAGATGTCGCTTAAGCGAAAATCACTCGCCCTGCCATATATTTCTTGTCAAGCAAACTTCAAATCATAAGCCAAACAGGCCGAACACCGAAACTTATGTCGCTTCAGCGTTGTGAACAAGAAAAATTGAGTACTGAATCTTCACGAAATATAAATGGAGCGAGGAAGAAAAACAACTGATTCAAATGATAATAAAAAAAATGGGTGCGTGTACTTATGTAGGCGCGTGAGAAGTTATCCTTCTTTGGCATCGTTTAAAATTAGTTTTTAATTGCATGCAAATAATTAATTACAATAAATTAATAAAAAGTCTGGAAAAGGACGAAGTCAATAAAGTTCAGTTTTAATTTGAAAAAATAAATAAATAATCAAAATATTCAATTAAAATCGCTACTGAATATAATTTATTAGAACATATGTGATTTGCACTTGTATGAAACTCAAACACGTATTCCGAATGTACAAACTAGAAACATGTGGATAAATATTATAAATATGAATACCTATAAAGATGTGGTTTTTGGTTCCACTACACCAATGGTCAAGAGATGGCGCTGTAGTCTCCTGAATCGCGCTTTGGTTCCGTTGTTCCAGATTCATAAATACTTTTGATAGGCCTTCACAATGCAGTCGTTAGCACCCACTAAATAGAGATTCTATTTCTGTTTTCTTGGTAGATTTTCTTAATGTGCGGTAAACACAAAAGTAACGCTAATGCTGTTAAAATTTTGTGTTACAGTGATGCGCGCGCATCTTAAAATTTCACTCTCATCATTTTTTCATAACGCGCCTAAAGAAGTATAACTTCAATAACTCATTTTCAACTTTTTATTTAGAAGAACATACTTATTTAAACATCCCTAATTCAGTTGCAAATGCTCGTATACACCACACAAATATTTGCCCCACCAGGTTTCCAACCCGGGACCTGTAAGTAAGCGACACCTTGAAAACCTGTGTCCTTTTTCTTGTGAGTGTGTACGCTGTTGGTCGCAGATGACCTTTACAGCGTCAGCTGATTTGGGGACGGCGAGATCCTAAGGGGACCTCAAGCCGAGAATTGGCGAGTGTCTCTAGAGGTATTCCAGGCGGATGGCATCTCCCCACGGGGGGAGTCTCTCTCCGTCTGGAGCCTCTAGACCACTCGAACCTGAGGGGGTCGGCTCAACTAGAGGGCGTCTCTAAGACTCGGACCTCGGCTCTAGTTAGCCGTTGTCGTGGGTACCGACGTTCATACCATTTGGGCGGTAGTCAAAGTTTGCATAAAAGTAACTACCCTCATTTTTTCGAAAGTTTGAAAACTAAATTTCCTTTTAACAGGTTTCTGCTAGCAGCCGGGCTTATAGTATTTTTGAACAAGCAAGATCTTCTAGAACAGAAGATAACTCAGGGTCGAAGTATTGCCCCATACTTTCCTCAATATAAGCAGTACCAAGGAACTGGAGATGAATACACCAGGACCAAGAACTTTATCAAGAGCATGTTTGTGGTAAGCAATTGTAACAGTATGTGTACTATTGTTAAAGAAACTCGATAGCGCCATCGGTTGGCTGCGATCGTTGAAGTTAAGCGACTTTCGCAGTGGTCGGTCATTGGATGGGTGACCAAAAAATTACTATCTCGCGGTCCTCCGTGCTTCGGAAGGCACGTTAAGCGTTGGTCCCGGCTGCATCTGCAGTCGTTAGCACTCGCCAATCCGCACTGGGGCCATGTGGTGGGTCACGGCCCAATCTCCCTATTCAATCCATAGGGAAGGCCTGTGCCCCAGCACTGGGGACATTAATAGGCTGATGATGATGATGATGAAAATTTTGTTTAGATTTAAATATTATTTATTCTTTTTATTTGACGACCTCCGTGGTCGAGTGGTTTGTACGCCGAGTTTCATGGTGTCGCCGACTCGAGAGGTCCCAGGTTCGAATCCCGGTGGGGGCAGATGTTTGTGTGATGAATACGAGCATTTGTACTCCATTCATGTATGTTTCATATGTATTTCTATATAAATATACTTATATATGTACAGTATATGTATTCCATACGTTACCCTAGTATGCCATAACACAAGCCTTGCAGTGCTTACTTTGGGGAAGTGTTGGAAATATATATATATATAAAACTCAAAGGTGACTGACTGACTGACATAGTGATCTATCAACACACAGCCCAAACCACTGGACGGATCGGACTGAAATTTGGCATGCAGGTAGATGTTATGACGAAGGCAAAGAAAGGATTTTGATCAATTCTACCCCCAAGGGGATAAAATTGGGAATGAAAGTTTGTATGAAACTTTGTCAATTTTAAACCGATCGGGCTGAGACTTTGCATGCAGGTATAAGAAGAATCATAGATGAATGTCATTGTGTATAATACAAGCCTGAGAACAAAAACTGTAGTCTACACTTCAGCTCTACACCGAAGCGAAGCGAGGGCGACCCGCTAATTTATTTATATTTATTTATTTTCAGGACATAACGACTAAGAACCGAGGTCGCAACAAGCACACAGCCAGTCCGGAACGGTTTGTAGTTCTAGAAGCGACGAGACCTAGGGAATGTTACTTCCACTTCACGACAGCTACTGATACTGATAACGTGCGCACAGTGTTCAGGGACGTGCATCAGATAATACTGACGCATATACTTGACAATATAGGAGTGTACTGACGGGTTGCATTTTATGTAAATTATTATTATTAATAAATATTGTTTTATAAAAACAATTGTGTCTTTATTATTTCACTTCATTTCAGCTACTGATACTGATAACGTGCGCACAGTGTTCAGGGACGTGCATCAGATAATACTGACGCATATACTTGACAATATAGGAGTGTACTGACGGGTTGCATTTTATGTAAATTATTATTATTAATAAATATTGTTTTATAAAAACAATTGTGTCTTTATTATTTCACTTCATTTCAGCTACTGATACTGATAACGTGCGCACAGTGTTCAGGGACGTGCATCAGATAATACTGACGCATATACTTGACAATATAGGAGTGTACTGAAGGGTTGCATTTTATGTAAATTATTATTATTAATAAATACAATTGTGTCTTTATTTTTTCACTTCATTTCAGCTACTGATACTGACAGCGTGCGCACAGTGTTCAGGGACGTGCATCAGATCATACTGACGCATATACTTGACAATATAGGAGTGTACTGACGGGTTGCATTTTATGTAAATTATTATTATTAATAAATATTTTTACAATAAATTGTTTATTTTTATTTAACCTGTGATAATTATTATTAGTAAAAGGACAGTGTTAAATTTTGCCTAAGAACCAACACCAATTTGGCATTTATGATAATTCTTAGTGTATTTTCGGACACTTCCAGTTAAGTAAGCTATATTAAAAAGTTAAAAAATAATCTGAGTCTAGTAAAAGTAGTCTAAAAAAATCTATGACAGCGCTGCAAAAAAAACACTCTTTCTTCCTAATGCCGGCACTTCACTTGGCTATTCGTGTTTGCTTTTTGAAAACTTGACATCAGTCTGTCCTTTTTTTTCCTTATTAAGCATGACAAGGACAGACTGTTGACAAGTGAAGGGCCGGCATAAAACTCGATACTCTGTGGTTGTGGTGCAGGCAGTTTGCATTCGTAGTAATCTGTGGCATTCGTGCGTTCTCGTTTCGGATTACCTGTTGTGTGTGTTTATTTGCGATTGTTTTTCCTTTAACTTAACTATTTCGGCTATCTAATATGCCATCGATGTTACCAAATAGCAGAGACCTTATTACCAAGTGCTAGAGAACCTGTGCCACAACATCCTGAAAAAATATGATACAATTACGTCAAAAATAGACAAAAAATAAGAAGCAAAACTACAGTTTTTATTTTATTCATGATTCCTACCTAACCAAGTTTTTCCTAATAGTTATTTTTTTAAAATCGCACCGAATAAAAATGAATTAGTTGTAATATTAATTAAATTCATACCGAGTTCATATTAAGTTCATAGGTTGACCTATGTTTCATTTAATATTAAACATAACCTCAAAAACAAATTCGTTTTCCTGATAAATTAAGTTCTCAGAAATGTCCGTCAACAAAATCTTTGTTTTTACAGTCATTAACTCGCAATTTCGAACCTAAAAAATAATATTTCATGATTGTTGGTTCTAAGGCTAACAATGTATGTATATATGTATAAATTAATATTCATATTCATGTTATTTGTTAACCAACATTGGTGATTCGAGGTGATGGGAGCCTGATGACCTGTAACACAGGTATATCGTACCTAGCACGGGCATCAGTCTCACACAAACATCAATGTAATCAACTATTTAAAAATTGTTATCGATGCCAAAATGTTTGTGATGAGAATTAAACGATTTATCATGTATTATTATTAAAAAAATTAAAGTAATATTTTCTTTATAATATAAGGATAACATTATTCTAACTCCAATTTAATGTACTATCGCGGAATTATGCGCTCTGTCACTTGGCGAACAAAATGCTTTGAACGGTTTTCTACAGTAGTTTTTACTACGCCCCGCCTTCGCGTCGGACGCGCCAATCCGGGCCGCGCCGCACAAAAGTAAGACAGAGAGCATTTCATTGATTGAATAATGAATTAAATTGCATTTGTTTTAGTTGCAATTTGTCATCCACATCGTGATCGCGACAGCGCTATGAGAAAAAGTAAGACAGCGATAATTACATGTCTATGAATGAATTTTTACTACGCCGCTACCGCAAGCGATTATGGCATTATGGGTGACACAGCGGGTCTTTCCGCGAGTGTACAAGAAAAATACCTATTAATTTTGTTTTATTGATTGATCGAAAACTCATTCAGAACGCGTGCACTGTCCAAGAAATAAGAAAACCGTTTCAGCCCTGAAAAGGACCACGTCGTTTCACTCATGAATCAACATAACCTTATAAATTAACATAATTTGTACAACATTCGGCATATTCTTAACTTAAACTTGATTAATAGCATTCCTATCAAGTTTTCTTCGCTTTATCTTTCATGTGACTTGTGTGGTACAAGTTGAGAGCTTTAATTCCTTCTATATTTGCATGTTTCGCCAACTCTCCTGGGAGCAGGAGCCTGACTGCTGATTGTACCTCCTGGCTTCCCATCGTGGTCTTCTTCCCATGTACCACGAGTCTGCTGGCTTCCACAGCGATCTTCTCTAGCATGTCGTTTACGAAATTATTCATTATCAACATGCTTTTCCGTGTTATCCCCAAATCTGAGTCCTGTGTCATCGAACGAAGGAGTCTGTATATGTAGATGGAGAAAGACTGGTAATTTTTCTTCTTCAACTTCTTCGATTTCGATATCGGCTTCTCGATTGGCTTCTCCATCGACTTGACAGCCTTCTTGGGCACTTTTGGTGGCGCCATCTTCTTGGGTATGCTTGTCAGAGAGAATTGTAGCTGTTTTGTATTGTAGTTTTGCGGTGGCTGCGAATTGAGTGCTTTTATATGAATATTTGGTGTATGGCACCTAGCAACTATGTTGGTTAGACAAAATTTGGTTGTGAGCCAATGAGAAGCGACTATTTTTTTTTTGGTGGGTAAAATTATTCCAAGTATTCGCTTATTTCATCATCACCCTATTAATGCCCCCACTGCTGGGGCACAGGCCTTCTCTATGGAGGGAATAGTGAGATTGGGCCTTGACCCACCACGCGGGCACAGTGCGGATTGGTGGGTGCTAACGACTGCAGATGCAGTCCCGACCAGAGGCTTAACATGCCTTCCAAAGCACGGAAGAGCTCGAGATAATAAATTTTTGGTCACCCATCCAATGTCCGACCACTGCGAAAGTTGCTTAACTTCAACGATTGCAGCCGAACGCGCTAACCACTTGCCCCATCGAGCTCCTCACTTATTACTAATCGACAAAAAATAAGTTTGTGTTAATAAAAGCATATGAATGAATTTTTGTACATAGATATAGTAAGTATAGTACCCGGATTAATATTTAAGATACTAAGTATTTCCCTATCGTCTGGGATGTTTCTGTGTGATTTAGTAAGAATACGAACTAAAGGACAGATTTCCTTGATTTTATGGGGCATGCGGCTGCCAAAACCTTTAGATATATAGCTTGCGATACCAAAAATGTGTACATAATAAGTTTCTGTAATTGGTCTAATGTTTTTTTTTATATGTTACTGTTAAAGATAAATAAATAAGTAAATTTCAATAAGACATTGAAACTTTATATTGTCTAGCTCCTAGATATTCAAACAGAAAGGTCAGTCAGGATATGTGAAAGAAGGGTTTTCTAATCTCCGTTCTGCTGAGCATCATCATCATCACCGCGCCACCGAGCCTCTTAAGTAGATTGCACAAAGTATTTCAACTAAAAATCTACCCCCTTTTAGAAAACACTCGAACTCTCTATAAATAGCGGGTGCGTTATAACCTTACGTCATTCGCAACCCGTGCGTGTTAGTCGTGAAAAAAAAAACAATTAAAAAGTCAAAATGACAGGACGCGGGAAAGGAGGCAAAGGTTTAGGGAAATCAGGTGCCAAGCGTCACAGAAAAGTTCTTCGTGACAACATTCAGGGCATAACGAAGCCGGCGATACGGAGATTGGCCAGAAGAGGCGGCGTCAAGCGTATTTCTGGCTTAATTTATGAAGAAACGCGCGGTGTATTGAAGATTTTCCTTGAGAACGTGATCCGGGACGCAGTTACCTACACAGAACACGCGAAAAGGAAGACCGTCACCGCCATGGACGTTGTTTACGCTTTAAAAAGGCAAGGACGCACAATATACGGGTTCGGCGGATGAAAATTGGTTGTTCTTATTGAAGTTTATTAAATTGTTGATTAATTTTATTACGTGTTACATTTATTTTTTCCCCTTTAGCTATAAAGACAAGGCCCTTTTCAGGGCCGCATTTGCATCAACTTTGGTTTTGTTTCACAATGGCGGCAGTGGTACGTATTTTTAATTTAACAGCTATATTAGAGAAAGAGAATGGGATTTAGATTGGAGAGCGCTGTAGTGCTTTTCTACCGTATTTGTAAGGTTTTACCCCTTTTAGACATGATTAAATACAAAAAAACCGCAAGAAATCACAACAACAAACAAATCCATATATAAAACTTAGACGTTTTACAGATTGCTGGGTTTGATTGCCAAATAAAAATCTTAATGTTAGTTCCGTTTTACGCCACACCCTTTCTCTTTCCGCACAGAAACTAAAAGAATATTTAATGATTTTGTTTAAAGTTTTTTTGTTAATTATAATAAATAATAATAGCTGAACAAAAGTTATTTACTTATATCAAAAGTTTATTGTTTGTAAATGTCACTTAGCCTTATATCGTGAATAAAAAACAAGGAAAAACTATTGTATACATTTGACTGTGTTGCTATTATTTACTGGTATTGGGCCACGCCTTCAAAGCACATCCAACCTTTTTTTATCTATAAGGTGTTAAAACAATAATATAAAATATGTAATGTCCATAGATGAATGATTGGCCTCGCTTCAGTCGAGTGAAGCGAGACCAATCATTTATCTATGGTAATGTCTATAAATGAATATGGCTGTGATAAATTTAAAAAATGTCAAATACCAACACGTCAAATCAGGGAAACGACACAAAAAAGATATGTTGAGCATATTGCGGATAAGACTGATAACTATTTTGGCCAAAGAATTCGGAAATAAAAATATTTAACAACATAAGCCCAAAAATGGAAAAATGTAAAAGTAAATACCTATTTAAAAGAAAATTAAAAAAAGTTATTTTGGATAATTTTGTTGTAGAGGACTTTGGTTAAGAGTAAGTATCCTACGTGCGAACCAGCGCATAGGATACTTACTTTAAACCAGGTAATGGTAAACCATTAGATAAATCTGTGTGCCAAATTTTGTAAAATATTGTATAGCATTTGTATAGTGGTGGTGGGTATACACACACACATATATATATATCTAATATATAAAATTCTCGTGTCGCGGTGTTTGTGGTTAAACTCCTCTGAAACGGCTTGACCGATTTTCGTGAAATTTTATATGCATATTCACTAGGTCTGAGAATCGGATGTAATCTATTTTTCATCCCCCTAAATGTTAAGGGTACCCCCCCCCCCATTTTTTTTTAATTTTAGTTACATTTTTTTTATGATATTTTTGTATGATACATCATACAAAAATATCATCATATAAAAATTGCAAATTATTAATTTTGGGCGGTGCGAAGTTCGCCGATACAGCTAGTATTATATATATGATGTTACAAGACAGACCAACAAAGAAAATATAAAAAAAAACATTAGTTCAGTTTAATACCGTCTTCGCAAAAGTTACTGCCAGTCATAAGCACGTCAGAATAGCAAACGTTTCAGTAACGAAATTCCGTTCCGTAAAGTCTTAAAAGAAAAATAATGACAATGAATCTATTGCTTTGTTAAATAAATGAATGAAACAATTATTAAGACTTAAATTTTTTCAATCTAAACAGTGAATTTTGATTAAAGAAGGTAAAATTATTAGGTAATTAAAAAAAAACTTGATGTGGGTACCCTGATTTACAACCTCACTCGTGGTGGCTACCCTAACGCATATAAAAAGCCTGACGCATTCCAAATTTAAACACAACGTGACAATGGCTCGTACCAAGCAGACCGCTCGTAAGTCCACAGGCGGAAAAGCGCCAAGGAAGCAACTAGCCACAAAAGCGGCTCGGAAAAGCGCTCCAGCCACTGGAGGCGTGAAGAAACCACACAGATACCGTCCAGGGACTGTGGCTTTACGAGAAATTAGGAGATACCAGAAGAGTACGGAGCTGTTAATAAGAAAACTGCCCTTTCAGCGGTTAGTGAGAGAAATAGCGCAGGATTTCAAGACAGATTTGAGGTTCCAGAGCTCAGCTGTGATGGCGCTTCAAGAGGCGAGCGAGGCATACTTGGTTGGTCTGTTTGAAGACACCAACCTTTGCGCTATTCATGCTAAAAGAGTCACCATTATGCCTAAAGACATACAGTTGGCGAGGCGTGTTAGAGGAGAGAGGGCCTAGCTTTTTGACTCCGTAGCGATTTAATCGCTGATATTTGACAAAGCTCTTTTCAGAGCTGCATTTACTTTTCGATTATTTCTTGATGACGGTGCCCGTCTGTGTGGGTTTTTACAAGCTTTTATTTAACTTGTATGTTTGTTACGGTCAAATCTTACAACTCAATTTTAAAGCACTTGCTCTCAACCGATTAAGCTGAAATTTGATATGCTCGTTCAGTTCGGATGACAATGCATGATTAACAGTGTGACGTCATTCTAAATCCAATATGGCGGCATACCCAAAATGGCGGACCAATCATTTTTAATGCATTCCTACAATATGGGTATCAAATTAAAGGGCTTGCTGAGAGTAACTCGAAAAAAATGTGACGTCACTCTCAATCCAATATGGCGGACTTCTAAAATTTGAAAATCTATTTAGAAACAGATATCTTTAACTAATTTAGTTGAAATTTTCTTTTTAGCGCATTTGAATAAAAGCTTGTTTTTAAAAAGGTTTTTTTAACATAATTTTATTTACGCTTCATTCCCAGTAGTTTAGAGTCCACGATCTTTGCCAGTTGCATAGAGAGACAAGGAGAGATATTTTTTATTAACCTTATGACACAAGTGTTACAAAAAGAATGAAAAAAAAACATTTAAATTAAATAAAACTAGTTTTAACGGGTTAATTTTTTTAATGCGCGTTAATTAATTTTGTCGAATTAAATAAAAAATCAGTATTCTGACTATGCAGACCTGAAAAGGCTGCGAAACGTCAATAAATAAATAAAGTTTCGTGCATTAACCCGTTAAAACTAGTTTTATTTAATGAGTGATGTGCGTGAAAACCTAAGAAACACATTTAAATTAACATAAAAAAAAGCAACATTAGAGGCTAACTTAAAACTGTAAAAGTTATTTATCGGTTAATAAGGACCCTGCCTCAGCATGAAGTTGTTGCCACACGTTATTATATTTTATAGCACAGTGTGACCTAAGTTGCCTATTTCTGCACGGTGTGTAAATGAATTGACCAACTTCACTCATGTAGAATTAGTACATTACGATACGCGTAACTTAACTTTACTATGCCAATCAAGGAATAAACGTTCATGGATACATTGAAATTCTATTTTGTTGTAATGATATTTGATTTTTTCCTTTTGAAATATACTTTCAAAATGGTAATCTGAACCGGAATTCTTTCTTTTCAGAGTTTGACTTGCAGTCTGTATTGCAATACATGAATTTTACTTTCAAAACACTAATCGCATCCCCCGACCCCCCCCCCCCCCTCTTGCCCGCGTCCGGGGCGGGTTTATGTCACACTTGCTATAAAATAGTATACGATACTTGTGGCCTAAGTTGTCTATTACTGCACGACTTGCTAACTTCACGCCGTGCAGTAATAGGCAACTTAGGTCACGCGTATCGTAATGTACTATTATATGTTTAACTGTAGCAAATCCCTAATGAGAAAACAAGTAAAATCACTTCTGTCCATACCTCAAAACTAATTAATTTCCTTCGCGGCTGTACCTGCTTATTTTTGGAGCGTTGTGACGGTAGATCAATTAACGGCGTAGGTGATTTTTTAATATGCACAAGAAATGTCAAACTCAAGTCAACAGTCAAAATATTTTCTTTACTTATTTAAATACTATCTTCGTTTTCTACAGGTGACAATATTGTTAGGTACATATTAAGCATTATTCTAAATAAATTTTTAATAAGGATATATTACACATGTACTTAATAAAAATACGACAAGTATTTTGCATTTAAGAATACATTTTTGTATGTAAAACTTTGTCATTCTTAGGACAAAAGAGTGCGAGTATACATATGCCTTATTCCTTAGATATATCTGTTTTCCTGCCATTGATATTATTATTATTTTCTATAACCCTTCCTTTTTCTCCTTCACATTTATTTATCTTTCTATTATGGGTTGCCTGGTAGAGATGGCTGCCTACCAATAAGGCCGCCTATATTGTGTACGTTCTATCTATCACGTTTTTTAATTTACTTGTGTTTTCTTGTATGGTGAATTACAATAAAGAATATTATTATTATTATTATGCATTTGGAAGACAGTACATTTAATCAATAAGAAGTCATGTGGCCTTACTAATATTATGAATGTGTAGTTTTTTATGTATGTTACTCAATCGCGCAAAAAATGCTGAACGACTTTGATTGAAAATTGGTACGCATATGGTTTGTGACCAGGGGGCCATTCACCTAACGGAAATGCTTTGGAAAACGCTAACGCTTTCGATTTTATTTTGTTATTTGTGACCGCCGAAGGTGTTCAAATATTGTTATTACCAATGCAAAAGAAAAAAGAGCGCGAGGCATTTGAAATCCTCATCATCAGCCTATTAATGTCCCCACTGCTGGGGCACAGGCCTTCCCTATGGATGGAATAGGGAGATTGGGCTATGACCCATCACGCGGGCCCAGTGCGGATTGGTGGGTGCTAACGACTGCAGATGCAACCGGGACCAACGGCTTAACGTGCCTTCCGAAGCACGGAGGAACTCGAGATAGAAGATTTTTGGTCATCCATCCAATGACCGACCACTGCGAAAGTTGCTTAACTTCAACTATCGCAGCCGAACGCGCTAACCACTTGCGCCATCGAGCTCCTCAAATTTTGAAATCCTCAGGCGGCTAGAAATATCAAAATAAAATCGTAAGCGTTAGCGCTTTCCAAAGCATTTCCGTTAGCCGAATAACCCCCAGGCTAATAACCCATAGCTATTAACGGGATTGTTACCATGTACAGTGAAACCTGGTTAATTGGGATCTCAAGGGACCAAGACATATGTACCAATTATTGAGGGTATCCAATAATCCAGTTTTCCAATTAAGCAGGTTTAAAATTATAGTTGTCTCATTTACAAAGGCCCCCGCTTACAGGGGTCGAAATGTGCCGTTATTCCCTTGTTTTTAGGTCAAAACCTGAGATAGTACTGACAAACAAAGCATGCGCGAAAGACGACGTGAAATGTATGTAAACTAACATGTCAAAACGTGTTACAACCTGATTAATTAGTCTCACTTATACACTAAGATTAAAACAAAAAGGGTAGATACGGTACGCTCATACTTGCATCAAACAAAAACTGATCCCACGGCAGCGCGAACGGGACGGCGAGATCCGCGTCACTGCATTACCGACCCGAGCGAAACAGCACGTTAAGTTTCAACGGCAGCGCGAACGAGACGGCGAGATCCGCGTCACTGCACTACCGACCAATCACGCGACCAGTACTCGACGTCACTACAGAATAAGATTCAAAACAAACAACAATTTTTATGAAAAAATATATTTTATAGTACTTACTAATGAAAAGTGATGCTGTGGGTTTTATTTTTAGTTCTTGAGCAATTTGAGCAATTCTTAAAAACATACTTAGGCATTGTTTTATCATATAAACACAAAATATTATCAATATTTCTTTTTGGCGTTCACATGTATGTCGTTTGCATGTCAAGTAAAGCGATTAGGGTCGTGGACCACAATTTGTGCGGATCACTTTTGTGAGGCTAGTGCCGTATCTACCCTTTTTGTTTTAATCTAAGCTTATACAGGTAATTCAGCTACAGAGTCTCAATTATAGAGGTAAACATCGAAAGAGTCCCATTGACAGAGGTAATTTAATGAAAAAGAACTGGGACTTCAATGCAACTCTCAATAATAGAGGTTTCTCACTTATCCAGGTCCCACTTAACCAGGTTTCACTGTACTTTGTTTTTTATGAGTCTTCGTTATTTCGGCACTGTTGCAAGCGCCAGATCACGGAGTTACTCCGTAAAGAATCCCGTTACTAGCTATAATGTTAATGACCATGAAAGTTTAACACAATATACTTACCTCGGATAAATTATTGGTTCTTCACAGGGTAACCAATTATTTTTCTATGAAAAATCTATTTAATTACTAAATCAAACATTACAGACACCGCCACGCGTTTGACACATACAATGTTGTTTTTGCCAGAAGAACACACACAATGAATATAGATTTATTTATTACTAATTTTTAAGCGCCTCGTTTACCTACCCCCTTAGATGAGAGTTTGAGTATTTCCAATAGAAGTAAACAGTAGATTTATTATTCTTATTGTAAGTTAGAATATTTACAAATATAATATATTTTCCTTTTTTTTGTACTGATCGTTCTACTGCAGCTAGTTTACGGAAAAAACGATAATATGCACAACTTCAAACGCCTCAATCTCTCAAAATTTTCAAAACAAAATTAATTACTACGACATCAGAAATATCTTTTTGTTGCAACATAATGTTATCAAAAAACAGCTAAAAAAAAATGGTTGCCTGTAAAGTCGGTTTTACGGGCGAAGATTTTACGTGACAACGTCTTTTTCTCGGTAGAATATTTATTGATATGAATATAATTAAATTGCACAATAGGAACAAGGAATTGAATGAAAATAAGAATTGCACAAATTTTAACTATAGAAATATATTTTGTTTACTAAAACATTGTACATGTAAACTTAAACTTAACACGAGAGACTCATCGTAACGTTACCGAGCGTTACACTTTTTCATAAGTGACTCCCAGCCGCAACCTAATTTAAGACGTTGTCACGTCAAAACACGAGTTTTCCCAAAAAATAATGCAGGTTTATCTCGTATTTTGATATTGAATTAAATAGAATTATCATTATATATATATATATCATTATCATTGAACTACTGAAATATGTGTCTATTTTTATAATTAGTTCATTTATAATTATTTTATAAGACTCGAAACATCACCCGTAAAATGCAATATATACTAGTGTAAATCTACCTACGCGCCGATCAGTACGGCAGCGGCGCAATTTTTTAAAAGGGCTCTTAACAAATAACCAAACTTCGGCCAATGGGCCTCGTTATTAAATATAACAATATTTTTCAAACCTCCTCATGGAAATAAAGAAACATTGCAGTCCCGAAAAGGACTTTGTCCATCGCGCCATTAGATTATGGCTTTCGTCA